ATCAACCCATCAACACCATTATGGTTACCAACCCTGTTGGCCACTGCCATGGCTAAAATTAGTTCACCGTCGGTTACAATAGAAGCACGTTTTCTAATTGACAATGGCTCGGAAGTTACGTTCGCCACAGAAGCTCTTGCAAGGAAGTTCAATTTACCACGTCAACGGTCTGTCATTACCATTCATGGAATTGGAGGAATCATCGCAACACAGGCTAAAGGAGCTGTATCATTCACTCTTCAGTCACTTCATTCTGATCCTTCAGTTATAGTGCTCGCCCATACACTCAAATCATTGACAACGATGCTTCCATCGTTTAAAACATTAAGAGAAGCATAGCCGCATCTAAAAATCTGAATTATACAGATCCGGACTATTTTACACCCAGACTTGTAAATATTGTTCTTGGAGCAGATGTCTATAGACAAGTCATCATGCCCAAAATAATTAAGGCAGCACCGTCCATGCTAATAGCACAATTGTTCATATTAGGATGGTTAGTACTTGGTCCAGTCAATGAAACTAAAGATATGAGCACAGTATCATTCCACACTTCAGCAATCGAAGTAGAGAATATAATACAAGAGCTACTGACAAGATTTTGGGTTCAAGAAGAAGTCCCGAGGAGCATCAAACATCAACCGATGAGCAATGGTGTGAGGATCATTTCAAAGGAACTCGTTCTCAAGACTCATCGGGGACCTACATCGTCATACTCCCAATGAAGAAGTCAATCGAACTCCTCGGTCACTCTTATAATACCGCACATCAATGCCTGCAAAGTTTGATAAGGCGCTTCGCGAAAAATGAAACGTATCGCCAATTCTACCAAGAATTCATGAAGACATATTACAACCTCAATCACATGATCAGAGCTTCCACAGTATTCCAAGATAAACCAAAATATTACGTGCCTCATCATGGCGTATTAAAACTAGACAGCTCCACTACCAAATTACGTGTGGTATTAAAGGACTCAAACCCATCGACTTCCGGATATTCTATCAATGGAAAATGGATGTAAAAATGTATACGCAGATAAAAGTCCATGACGTTGTTTGTGATCTACAAAGAATCTTATGGATAGACGAACGAAACAACGAAGTACCATATTATCGGACAACAGTCACATATGGTACGCGAACCGCCCCATTCCTAGCAGTAAGAACACTGCTACAATTAGTAGAAGACGAAGGAGAGAAGTATCCTCTTGCACTACCTTCCAATGTTTTAGATGCTTATTTAACTAAATATAAATAAGCTTTTATAATTAAACACTAAATTAAATTTATATTACACAATCTGAATAATTCACGAATAAGCTATGCGTGTAAAAATTAACCTGCGATTTACTACAGAGACAAATGTTCTAAAAAGTGATGAATGATTCATATTGGCAGCTGTATTTGACGATTTTGAGTTTGCAGCATTAATTTTTTTGTTGATAAAAGGGGCAACTAATAGTTCGAAAATTAATAAATTCGTTCATTTTACATATAGTCAAGCATAAATTAAATTTTTTTCCCTTCAATTTTCAACGGCATCATTTCTATTTATTTTAAAATTACGGATAAAATTTGTTATTCATTTATTCCGTTAGTCTCTTTGATAATTTTTCGTAGTATTTATATTATATTTATATTATACGTAAGAGTTGCGATGATTTTTGTTCGGTTTATATGTTTATATTAATTTCCCTCCAACTTCGTTATTAATTAAAATAAATAAATAATTACAACATGGACTAGTAAGTTTCATTCCTAAAATGTTATTATGAAAAATATCTATACTAGTTTGTTTGATTTATTATTCGTTGTATATTCTTTGTTCACTATCTTTATCTTATGTAAATCAAAACTAAAATACATGGAGTTATTAATATATTCTTATAATTTCTCAATATCTTGACACTTGCGTTTAAGCTTCCACTAAGCGAAGTTTTCAATAAAATCGAATTGTTATATACATCAGTAGGTTTAGTTTCTTTCTTTTATCTACAGTCAAATCAAAACATATATGGCAATCACATACTAATATACGATCATTTCTACATTTGACCTTATATGAAACAATCGATTTTTCACTATATATGTATTAAATATTATATATGTATGGAATGAGTCGCAGTCACTTTCACTGTGCAGCGGCTTAAGGATCTGATAAGAAAACTGTCTAAATAGTTTCACTTGAACACTCGAATAGTGTAGATAATGAAAGATAAATATGCTTGTGCAATAAAAATCGAAGAATATAGATTGACTTCTTGAATTAATAAAATGTTGATACATAGTTCAGTGTGTGGTCGATTGAATTAAAATCATTATATTTAGAGTTCAAGATGAATTTAAACATTCTCTAATAACTTTCTATACATTTAATGCAAGAAGATAATTTTAGAAAAACGTTACAGGACTGGTAAAATAGTAATAATAGCAGACATTTGTCTATATAACAAGGAAATATTGAACCGATATCCCATGTATTCAAGAAACTTCGAAGGTAGTGTGATAGCTTAGAGCTATGGTAGCTGATAAATGCAATCAATTATTGCAAATGTCAGAAATAAAGTTAAAAATAATAAAAATAAGAACGAGGGTTAAAAAAGCCATTGTGTGTATATGTTAAGATGCATATCTGATATTTACTACACATTAAATGAAAAGATTTTAAAATACGGAAGCAATTAGTTAAATTTAATAATTACAGCTTAGATCTTAATATATAATAATAATATTATTATATTATTTAATAATATATTTTATATATTATATATTATATAATATATAAAATAATATATTATAAATATTAACTTAATAAATACACAAGATCTCCAATTTTTTGGAATAAAGAGACTCTTCGATATTCCAACAAAGCCAAAATAATTTACATTCTATTATAATTTTAACTCATAAATTTAATATTACTATTATCTATTATCAAATAAACATAATTTAATAACTGTAACATTTAAAAATATGTGTTTTAGCTCAAATTATACAGTAAATTTTATATAAACAATTTAAGTGAAAAGGATATTTAAAAAAATTTTAATCAATTCAATGTAATATCACAATTGCATCAAATAATAAATAATTAAATAATATTATGGCAGTTAAGAAAATATATATCTTATTTAAAGAGAAAGATTAGAGGAAATAGTGTCGTCTTATCAAACGAATAAAAAAGAAGAAAGCAGAGAATGAGCGAAAAAATTGTTAGGCAAATAATATTACAATTAATCAGTTTTACATGTTGTTAACAAACTTCAATAATTACGATGGTTATGTTTGTATAATCGTAATTCATCCAAAATTTTAAACTAGCTCTCACTTCCATTATCCTTAATTTAATAACTATTATTTTGTAGAAAATTATACCTTTTCTTAATTTTATACAAAATAATTGAGTATACATTAAATTAAAAAAAAATTAATCGGAGCTGTATATAATTTGATTAATAAGTATTAATCATTTAAAATCGTGTTTTCATATAATAGAAGACTTAAATAAACAAACAAACAATTTAATTAGATACAAACAATAATTGATATGTAAACTTAAATTGCAAACCATTCTGTATAATGGATAAAAAATTGTAATATTTCAAAATTAAATATATGTTGTAATAATAGTAAATTTTAGTAATTGAAAAACGAATAACAAGCGTAATAATGTGTATGTATGTGTGTATATAATAATAAATATATATGGGCGTGCGCGTGTGTCTATGTGTGTGTGTTAATGTTTTCTCATTTGCTATTGTATATTTTACGTTTTATATAACTTATGTATATATACCTTATTTAATTCAGTGTTTTATTTTTTATTATAATTTATACCTAATGGATTAAAAATTATTTTTTTTTTATTTAAGCATGAAACTGAACTTAATGTGATAAATCCTATACTGCTGAAGAAGTATAAATCAAAAAAAAATTATACAAAGTCTAAAAAAAGAAATAAAACCAAAATTATTGTTGACAAATCTTATAAAGTAAATAAAACAAATACATTGGAAGAATTATTAAATCTGAAAAATAATTACATTAATGATAATAAAAATAATAGTTTCAAGAATGAATCAGAAATCACACAGAGATATGTCATTTATAATACCGATGAATTCTTTTGTAACATACCGAGTACAGCCTATGCTAGAGTTGTTATTAGTTCTAAAGTTAAGAATAAAAATTTATGGTCATTGGAGAGTATACTAGCTCAATGTCAGATTGATACCGATTTACGATCCAGCCCACATTTTTCGCTACTTTGTCAGCGGAGACTAAAATATAATAAAAAATGTTGTCGTAGTTGGTCTGTAGCTAATTACATAGCAATTTTATCAAATAAAACATCCTGTTTAACTATAACAGAACTAGATTTAGTGAAAGTCAATAAACTTTTACAAACTTGTTCTTATTTTTATGAAAATCTTGAACTAACATTTGATTGTGCAGAAAATTTGATATGTCAAAGAAAGGTACCTGCTTTTTGTTACGCTTACAATGCAGTTTATTATCTACTACATTATCTTTTAGATATAGAATTTAACGTTAATTCTAATAATAGTAATAATTCTCTGCTACATTCAGTAATGATTATACTACCTATAGCAACAAGTTCTGAAAATTTAGACTATTATAATGACATAAGTGTTGCTCGTTTAAACCATAAATCCTTATATGTAGCAGCTGTGCAATTTGGATTAAAAAATAGACTATTTGATCAATTGTTGATATCAGATTCTTTTCTAATACTATTTGGATTTGGCTTTATAACTATTTGTATATGGTCCTATACTGGATCATTTTTAATAACTATAGCAACATTTTTAGTTATTATCTTTAGTTTAGTTATTTCGTATGCTATTTATACGCTAGTTCTAAAGATCAATTTTTTTCCATTTATGAATTTGCTAACTATTATTGTGGCTGTAGGTAAGATTATAATTATGAGAAAATAAAATTTTATAAAATTAAATGAATCATTTTTTTTTTAAGGTATTGGCGCAGATGATGCCTTTATTTTTTGTAAAGTATGGGAATGTAACAAACGTAAAAAATCTTTGAACATGAACAATGGATTAACTTGTCTTGTACATGAAACAATGAAACATGCTATACCTTCAATGTTTGTAACAACATTAACAACGTCAATAGCTTTCTTTGTATCAATTATTAGCAATGTTACTGCTGTAAATTGTTTTAGGTATATATAAAATTGAAATCTAATAATAGTAAAATTTAAATTATATTTATATTTTAATTTTTAGTATATTTTCCGGAATAATAGTGGTTATTAACTTTCTGCTAATGCTTACTTGGCTACCTGCATGCGTAATAATAGCTGAAAAAAGTACTCATGTTCAAATAATATTACCAAGATGTTCTTTTAGCAGAAAAATTATTCAAGTTTTACAAGTTTTTTTATATAAAGTTACATATTCATTTACCAATGTTCTCATTTTAATAGTAATTTCACTAAAGTGGTTTTGGTTTGTTTTCTTTTTTGCTCTTGGAATTGGAAGTAGCTGCATCGTTTTTAAATTTCCAGGTCTTCAGTTACCGGATTCTCAAGAATTCCAACTTTTTGACAGTTCACATTTATTTGAGCAATACGATTTAGTGTATACAAAACGATTTAGATTTGAAAATGTTAATCAGGTAAGTCATTGATTTTTTTTGCTGCTTTTGTTGAAGCTCAGTCCGAGGAATTTTTTAAAATTAATATCGAAAGTCTGCAAAAGTTTGGTTCAAATATCCAAAACAAGTAAATTTATATAAAAGCAAAGTACTTTACTATTTTCAAATACCAATTTAAGTAGCCCAAGACTTGTAAGATTGAGATGTATTGCAATCTAATTTAAAATTTCTGATACATGTAACATTCAAGCTACAGAAAAGCTACATAAAAATTTGCAAAGGCAAATTTTACAAACGACACTGTTTTGATTATTAATGATACGATACGCGTGTAACATATTATTTCGGCTTTTTTGTCAATTAATATTAGGTAATTTCTATCTTGATAAGTGTACTATCAATCACCTACTCCAAGTTCATTTGCATAAGCTTCACACGATCAATACATAACATAATATTATTTATTCATGCAAAAATTTGAAATTTATTATAACGTACAAGTCTTTGGATTCAAATACTTTATTTCTTATGTGGTTGAATTCCATGCAATTTAATTATAAATACAGATTATTTGAAAAATCTTAAAAATTCAGTTAAAAATTTTAAATTAATAATTTACCTAAATGGTTCATAAAAACTCTATTTTTTATATTATGAAATTTAGAGTAATTCGTATTCAAATGGAGGTAGTTTATGTACGACTTATGTATTCGATGTGCTTAATTTAATTCTATGTTTTATATCTAAAAATTATCTATACTATATATTTAGGAATGTATTTATTCAACAATCAATATTAGGATCTATCAATTTTTATAACCTATAATAAATTTTACGTGTATATCCAGAATCTGAGTTACTTCAAGTATTTTGAATTGTCTTGTTCCAATTTTCTTAAATTTAATATCAACTGATATATTTCAATTTCACCGTTTGTAATATATAAAAAATTTCACTTATCTTGTACGAAATACTGAAAAACTTATTACTTACTGATATTAGATAAAAACAAAAAATTATGTACAAACAATTAATAACAGCTCACTGCATATTTTTAAAAAACTTATGTATCGTTAGAATTCTGTTCATCTAGGTCGTGGGACCAAGATGTTTAGGATTAGACTATGTCCATCAGTTTACTGGTGGGTGAAAAGTCTGGATGAGTGTAAGGGATATTTTTACAGCTACACATAATGATTCTAAGTTGACGATGAGAATCTCTGAGATCTTGCCGTTCCTTGTAATTACCACGTCGTGTTAGCATGCACTACATACAGAGGTAGGAGGTCGGTAATCTCCGGATCTTCTTGACGGACTGTGCTTGCTGATATATTATTACACTGAGAAAGGTCGTAAATCTCTGGATACTTCTTCGTATAGTGCCACGTGGTGGATATCTGATTGATGGACTCCTCCTAGATGACTTATAGAGTGGAAGTGTGAAGAAATAGTTCGATACCTTAATGTAGCGTCGGGTGTGATCTGCTTTTACTGACTTGTGGAAGCGAACACTTGCTAAGACTGATCTTTGGCACTGAGTAAAAGAGTCACCTGCAACCGCTTTATGCCCTTGATCATTATGTGTGAGGTTCGATGATATTAGTTTACCTGCAAAGCTTTGTGCGTTCGAGCACACTGCATGCGGTTAGATACTAAGAGTGCGTGAGTAGTTCTTGAGTGACTAGTTCTTGGCTGAATAGCGCCCATCTCGTGGTTCATTTGCCTCAAGTATCCACGTGGCAGCTTTGATGGCTAACAACAATGGAGGTGATTATGGTGCTGGAAACAATGGATGTGACTGTGGTGTGAAAAACAATGGATGTGATTGTGTATTTGTTTGTTCGGATGTCATGGCTTCTCCAGATATTCAACGACCGTTGGAGTCTTTTCCCGAAATGATAACATTCGAGAGATTCTCGGAATTTCGAACACTCCGCCCGCCATCAGTAATTCTATTGATGATCATTCCTTTGGTCGGGAATTGGTAGTTCTGAGAGTTTGTGTATTTGTCTCACCATTGTGATCGTGGCTGTTTTTAGTGTGACTACTCTAGTTAACCCATCCTTGCCAGAATGAATATTGATTACTCGTGTGAGGAGGCACTTGCAAGGTGGAAACCGCTTGTCGATGATAAGTACCAACGAGTCACTGTTGATATCATTCTGTGGATGATGCTGTTTGGATATCGATTGTTGTCGTTTTAAGTAATGCGTTCATCATTGACTGTAAAACTGTTGAACAGATTGTTGTATAAATTGCCATCTAGAGAGTCTTGAAGTGATCAGGTGCAATGGTTCAGGTGTTGTTGTGAGTGAATTTCCGATGAGAAAATGGCGTGGTGTTAGCACAGAGAAGTCATCAGGATCATCGCTCAACGGATTTAGAGGCCTTGAATTCAAGATTGCCTCAATCTCATTTTGCTCAACCATTTTGCTTCTATGCGAGACGTAGCGGGTGAATTGAATTCCCATCGAGAGCTATCTTGCGAGAGGATTGTTGCTATCCGATGATGTTCTTGGGAACCACAATCTGAGTACAAAGTATGCGGAATGCCTTTGCGAGCCGAAAATCTGCGATATACCACGATGAATCCTTCTGTTGCATAGTGACTATCACCTCGAGATGTACAGCAGACGTAGCAAACCACATAAAAGCGCAAATCCATGCCTTGTGGATTTTTGTACCTCGCTCTTTCCAGGTTTTAATGGTTAAGGGTGCAACATAGTCAAGACCTGTATAGGTGAAAAGTCGTGATGGCATGACTCGAGAAAGCGGTAGTTGATCCATCAATTGACAAGCACGGGGCCCCTTTGCCAAGTACATATAATGCATCGTAAAGTATGAAATTTCACTGAAATCCTTCCACCAAGAAGCTGAAACTGCTGAGGGTGTATGTCAGAATAAGTTGGATGCCTCCGTAGAGAGTTCGGAGATGGGCATAAGCAATTATGAGATCTGATAATTGCCAATATCATGGGAGAATAGTCGGGTATTTATTTTATTGTTTTAATGATGTTCTCATTAATCTTCTACGACTCTAATAGGAAGGATCTTGAGTTCGTGAGGAAAGTAGGGCTTAGGTTGCATTTACCCAACAAATGAATTTTCTTTGAATTTTCCAAATCCCCTTAGGATCTTTGGTTGGTAAGGAGGCAGCGATGTTGCCGCTGGCGAGATGAGCTGTAGCGGTCTGAGTGGGGAACGCCTGTGTAACTTCACTGGTAAGGGGGCAGCGATGATGCCGCCGTTGCCGCTGGCGAGATGAGCGCTGTAGCGGTCTGATGGAGGGAGGATATCCGTGTCACGTCACTGCTTGACGCGTGGGAGGATTCCTCGTACTGTATACCGTGTATTAGTATTGTTGCTTACTTAGTTGGCGGGAGCCGTGTATTAGTGATTCGTAAGAACGTGTGTAATAGCATAGCTTACGTGTGTGGAGTCGATCTCAGTTATATTGATGGTTCGTAAGGACGTGTGTAATAGCGCAGCTTACGTGTGTTGGAGTCGATCTCAGTTGCATTGATGGTACGTAAGAACGTGTGTTGAGGTCGATCTTTGTAACAGCGTTGGTAGGCCGAGTGAGCTTGGCTTCCGTTGAACTGGAGTCGATCTCTGCAGCGTTGGGTGGCCGAACTAGGTTGGCTTACGTTGAGCTGGAGTCGATCTGTAGAACAGCGATCCGATCTTGATGAGTGCTTCATTGAACTAGTAAGAGAGCGAGAGCGTCAAGCGCGTCTCCTTAAATATCCTAGTACAGACTAGCGATTCCGGTGAATTCTGGATTACTCTTGTCATGCTGATTATTAGAGTGACGTCACTAGTCTGGCCTTGGGGAGTTCGTCGGCCCTTGTTAGTCGGAATTGTAATGTAATATTCGAATATTTTGCGTAGTGAGGTTTCCCGATTTCGCAGAATTGTGTCTATGACTCGGCGCGCAAATGTTTCTAACTAAGCACAGGAGTGTTTATCTCTCCCATTTTGTTTACCGCGTAAAATTGCTGTAATCCGTAACATGATTCATTATTTCTCCTCAAACGTGCAAGTAATCTGATGCATAAAGCTGTTATCGTCAATAACTTAATGAGGGTTGAGTACTTGTAAATAATTTCCGAGTGATAGATTTGCTGTTCGTTGCTCTGCGTCGGCTGAGTTGGCCGTAAGTCCGATGTGTTAACAACGGTAGTCCTGTCCACCATAGTACATGATCTTGAAACTGAATAGTCGTTAATCCTCGGGATAAGCAATCTACAGGGATCGATGTACCGGGAATGTATTTCCAGTGAGCATTAGGAATAATATCCTGAACTTGAGTGATTCTGTTTCTCACAAAGTCTTTCCATCGTGATGCATGAGACTTCATCGATGTGAGTGATACCCAAGAATCCATCCACAAGTGGATTGCATATATTATGACATATATTATGAGTTTTTACAGCAACAAAGCTGCTGCCAGCTCTACTCTTGGGATGATGAGCTGCTTGAGGGGTGCTACCTTCGTCTTGGAGCACACAAAGACAACTGTAGAACCATTTAAATTGTGGAGGGCAAGGTATATGACTGCAGTCGTTGTCAATGGAGAGGTATCAGTAAAACCATGTAGTTCCACTGTTGATGTGTTTTCAGTGTTAAATGATCGAGGAATCGCGATTTTGTTCAACTCTGTGTGCGCCCGTAAGCAGCGATCTGACATGGTAGTGGTTCATCCCATTTGAGTTTATGTAGCCACAGTTCTTGTAAGATAATTTTTACCTTGATCATAATTGGCGAAACAAAAACCTAATGGGTCAACGATTTTAGCTATTTCTGATAGTATAGTGCGTTTGATGGAGCCGTTAGTTCCAACTGAGAGTGTTGTTGAGAATGTGAATATTTCCTCATAACAATTCCATTGTAATCCAAGTATTTTGGTTGTGCAATCGTCAAATGCAATGGATAATTCCTGTTTCTTGACTGCTTTAATAGCGGCGAGGACCTCTCGACTTGTTAAGAGCCATTTTGCCAGCAGGAAACCGCCCGCCATGCAGAGGTTGTGCAATTGAAGTGCGGTTTCGATAAGCTGATGCGGTGTGTCCGCACCTTCAAAGATGCCATTAACATATCTGCCAAGCGTGTGTGATGGATGGCACTGCCAGAGGGTATTTCTCTCCCTCGTCTTCTAGCAGTTACAACAATGTTCTAGCTGCTAAGAATGGGCGGTTCTCGTGCCATAGGTATCTGTGGTCAGATGGTATGGTATTTCCTTGTGTTGTTATTCTCTGCAGGTCCCAGTCTTTCATGTGTATTTGTATCTACCTATACATTTTTGTGATTTCTGTAGCGAACAAATGTCGATATCGGCGTACCCAGATTAACACGTTCGAAATTTCTGGATTACAATTGGTTCCATTACATGATTCATCAAGTATCCTATGTCGATGTGCTAGAGCCGTTGAACACGATTCTTAACCTTGCGGTAGTGCATTCCTGTTTAAGTATGCTGTGATGTGGCAGATAGTATTGAGTTTAAAGTTGGGACACTGGAGAAACTCTCTTCATGCAATTAAATTTCTCATACTCCATCATGCATCGTGGATAGTGTGGACGATAATTTTCGTCTCTTGAGAATCGCCGAGGACTTCAACAGATTCCTTGAGTGGGATCCGGACGCTGTATCTTCCAGTTGAGTCACATGAATGTAATTGAGTGTAGAGTTTTTCTCGTAAACGATAAACCATTGGCGTTTTTCTCGAAATGATAACATTCGAGATATTCTCAGAATCTCGAACAGTGTACAATCCATAATATTAGTATCTTAAAAAATTCTTAGCTAAATAAATGATCTAAAATATGATTGTAAAGTTTTAAATAAAGTATAGGTACTTAATAATAGTTTAATAAAGTATACGTTTTCATAAAATTTAAAAATTCAAATAAAAATTCTTAAATTAATAGTGGTTTATTATAGATTAATTTTAAAAATTGTATGTGGATATATCAGTTTTAAATTCTATAGCAATTAACATTTCATTAGCAAAAACTAATGTTTATAGTCAGTATTAAAATTTTTATATTAATAAGTGTATTCTAATATAATACCACGTGCGTTGTAATATTTGAAATAAAATATAGAATTATGTTATTATATTAATTTTCTTTTTAAACATATTAAAATTAATAATGCTTTTATGAATATAAAGTACACATTTATTTATTTTATGTTAGGATGATAATAGCGAGTTACTTCCGTTACGGTTTGTTTGGGGTATTTTGCCAGTAGATAATGGAAATTATTTAAACCCTGAATCAAGAGGAGATCTAATAATAGATGATAGTTTTAATATTAGTGATCAAAAATCACAAATTTGGTTGCAAAATTTTTGTAAAAATTTACGAGTGCAATCGTTTTATCAAAATACTCCTGGACCACTTCTACCAAATTGTTTTATCGAGTCACTTCAACATTGGATGGAACGTCGATGCGAAGATCCAATTGATTCAGCAATAAATCGATCACCTTGTTGTGAAAATAGTACTTTTCCATATAAACCAAATATACTTAATCGTTGTACTGCAGAAGCTATAGCAGAAATTCATCGTACGCCTTCACATCTCTGGAATTTTAAATCATCACAGATTTCTCACACTGCAGGTGTTAAGTTTCTTAAGAATAATATGAGTGTTTTTTATTCTAATGAAAAAAATAATAGTACTTTAATGTCTTCAAAACTCACTTTTGAAATTCAAGTAGTAATTGTTGAATACGATAGTAATATTCCGTTTTCAATGTCTTTCGCAGAAATGAATAAGTTTTTTAATCAGGTTTGAGTTTATATATTTGTTTATTTTAGTGATCTATTGATACTATTAAATGTGATTGAATTTAGGTCGAGACTTGGATGCAAGATCAGCTTTCAACAGCACCTCATGGCATGAAAAATGGTTGGTTTGTAAGTGATTTAGAATTTTATGAATTACAACGAACGCTTTATGAGGGTACAATATGGTCCATAATTGTATCAATGATTTTAACTCTCTTTATTTTGGCCTTTGTCACTTTGAATCCAATAATTAGTTTATTCGCAATCTTATCTGTTGGAATTACGATTGCCATTGCCGTAGCTGGACTAATATTTATTGGATGGAAACTTAATGTTTTGGAAAATATCACTATTTCGACAGCTATTGGTAAGTAAAGTTTATTAATAAATATAAGAAATATTTATAAATCAAATATTTGGTATTATAATATAAATATAAAAATCTTTATTTTTTAACTATATGTGTCTGGATCAGACTAATAAACCTCCCTTTGATGGTGGGTGGAGGTGTTGCTGTCAAGTGGAAGGGACAATGCAATTATTCAATACTACATGCAGTGTTTCTTGTCTTTCCTTTATTAAATACAATAATATAATAAATAGTTAATGATCATAAAGTGTATGAATGAAGGTTTGAGTGAATAAATTGGGGAAGTTTCTTCAATTGTGTTACGTATTCAGGAGAGTGTGTGTACTCTTCGTGGTGTGAGGAGTGACTCCTTCCCTGCCGAGAAGTGTCGCTATAGTAGTATGCGTGAAAGCCGCCGCTCTCGTACCGAAGCCGTCTAAGTGAGACCGGGTTACTGCTGCTTTAGTGTTGGTGCATAAGAGCTGCCGCTGTCGTACCGAAGCTTTCTAGAGAAGACCGGGTCGCTGCTACCTTAGTATGCGTGAGAGCCGCTGCTGTCGTACCGAAGCCGTCTAAGGGAGGCCGGGTCGCTGCTGCTTTAGTGTGTTGGTGTGATCGGTTAATATATGTAGTAGTATGATTTCGATAATTTCACTTTTGATTATGTTAGCACCTGCGCTTTACTAGTTTATATTTAGTTAACGGATTCTGAAAGTGTGGTGTCACTATTGGATTGTTAGATTGCATATGGTTTGAGTATTACATACTGTTCGGGATTGATGCAGTCCCGTGAATTTCAAACAAAAGAAAGGTCATACGCGCAGTCCGGCGTACCGCATGTCCGCCTAGGCTGACCGCGGGTGCAGCAAGGCTGATCATCACGTGCGTCTAGGCTGATCCGCACGTGCGGACCGAGGCAGGTACTCGAGCAAAATGTTTACAAACAAAATTCGGCAAGTCCAAGCAAGTTTACGATCTGAAATATAATTTACTGCCAGCCCTCACAAAAAGGGACGCCTGCGAAACTTCTAGAAGCTTCGATTTCTCACGCCTAAAGAAATTTTCTGGAAGGGACGCGCATCGACACTGTTGCCGGCGCTGAAGATGCCGCATGCACATTTAAACGCAACACGCCATGAGGCGACGCTCATTCGTAAAATCACTTCGCTCTCACTCAAGCGTAACTGCCGGTCAGTGCATAGTATACTGTGAAGACGCCGCGTGGCCATATTTTCGGCAGCATAGTAAAGAGTACCCGCGTGCATAGAAACGATAATTGGCAGTTTTTTAATAAGTGATTACAGTGAGGCCAATGGAATTGTAATCAAGGGGAACATTACCTACACAGCATCTAATACATCCAACCTGCAGTTCACCAGGTACATATTTATATTAATAAATAAACAAGTCACATCTCGCGCTATAGTCGATCGGGCACACTTACGCTCTCTCGAACTAACCTTCGACATCGTACAGGCCCGCTAGCGCAAACAGGGCACACTTACGCTCTCTCGAACTAATCCTCGACATCGTACAGGTCCGCTAGCACAAACAGGCCACACCTATGCTCTCTCGAACAAACCCTCGACATCGTACAGGCCCTGAACAGCTGACTCAAGAGTCACTGTGGTTCGCACACATTGGTCATAAAAGAACAACAGTGATCGACTAATAGACTATAAATACAGATTGTTAAATCCTTCACGAATTAGAAATCTTACCATTAATTGTTTTTACCTGTGACTAGATTCTTCTGCTGCCCCCTTACATAATTAAACACAATTGATTACATAATAAATTCCATTAAACATCTGACACTACATCAAGTATAACTATTCATCCATTAAGCATACTTGATTCTATACCATTATCCCATGCTGCCTCACAAGCATGATAGACTGACGACTTCAGCTGACATTGACAACATCAGCATAACCTCAAAGCAACACAGTTATATTCATAGAAACCTTCATAGTATAAGAATTACAAGAACATATCATTTGATAATCCAACAGAATTATTTATCTCTACACAACAGTGCAATATTATTATAATTGTTTTACAATCCTTGTTTTAATAAATATATTATATTTTTCAGCCTTGTCTGTTATTGTTTTCCTTTAAAATTATCCTGCCGAGAGACTAATCCACTGAACTATTGAATTGGCAGGTCGAGCCATAAACTAATCCTTTAAAATCAAACACATACGTATATCGCTACAGTGAGTGATGACTGTAGTGTGACACTTGAAGATTGAATAGTGAGCCCGTCGTGATGACTGCGTAATTGTTACTAGACTAGCCTGAGCGCTACGCGTCAAGCGCAGCCCTTAAATATTCTCGTGGTAGTTTACGACGCCGGTAGCGATCCGGTATCTGTTGCTATGCCGATATTTGTCGCGACGTTAATAGGGCATAGCGTTGGAAGATTCATTGGCATTACTTTTCGGAATTATAACCATATCTTCGTGTTTTCAGCGTAGAAACTTCTCAAATTCGATGACTTGTGTTTATAAACAAACTGTCCGGGAGCTCGTGTCCCTCCCACTTTTGTATTCCGCTTTTAATTGTTTCAATCAATAACAATATGTGATATAATATTAATTGAAAAAAAATAACTGAAAAGAAATTGGAGTTTGTTTATTTTTAGAAATAAATGTAATTAAGAATGAAGAACGAATATTTTTTTTGACAGGTCTTATATAAAATAAGTAATAAAAAAATGGAACACGTGAAAATTTAAAGCATTGGAATAGTTTCTATTAACTGAATGTAATTTTTTATAAAAAAATTCCATTTATTTAACACAATCTTACTGCAAATTCCGAAAACTTCAGTTTTTAAATAATTTAAAAAAATGTCCGATAACATATATTTTAAATTATGTACCTTTATGTGATATTTTATACAGATATAATATTATGAATCCTGAACAAAATTTTCAGTAAAATATATGTATGATATAATAATATGCTAATACACATATTAACTCAGAAAACAAAACTATCAATTCAATATACTAATTCTATTTGTTAAATGAAATATCTAATGTTATTTGAAGATATATTATAAAAATTTAATAATATAAAATATTCATAAATTAAGCGACTTAGAAACCATTTTTATAAATAGTTACACGTATAAAATATATATTAAATGTGTATGATATATGTATATATCATATTTATTTTTATTTATTTATTTTTTAAAATAAAATTTCAATTGTGAAGTAAAATTTAGCTAGTGCGAAGTTTAAAAAATTGTGAATTGCGAATGAATATAATTAATTATAATATATGAAAATGAATTATCGATTAAGATTTGACTGTATGTACGTTTGTAAAAATAATACAGCTAATTTCTTACTTTGATACAGAATTTTTTATATAATTATAAAATAATTAAAAATTGAGATTAATTGGTACAATCATGACTGAAAAATCGTGGCAAAAGGATTTAATATAAAAAAATCTTGTATATTTTTTGTTTTAAAATCTTTATCAAAACTTTTATGTAATCATATGTGTTCGATTTTAAGGATTTATTTAATGGCTCGAACTGGCAATTCAATAGTTCAGTGGATTAGTCTCGTCATGATAACTTAAACGAAATTATAATTGGTAGGGCTCAAAAATAATATGTATTTTTAGCAAACACAATGTTTATTATTTGTTAAATATTATAATAATATTGCACTGTTGTTGAGAGAGAAGATTATTCTATTGTAATAACGAGGGTGTTTCCTTGTGTTCTTGATTATTGTAAATTCTATGGATATTACTGTGTATCTTGAAAGTTGAGGTTATGCTGATGTTGTAAATATCAGCCTGTGTAGTCGATCAAGCTCACGAGGTAGCATGAGAAGATGGCGTTTAAAATAATGTATGTTTGGTAGTAATTATGACAATACTAATAGTGTAAAATCTTGATTGAGGTTGGTACGTAATCAATTATGTCTTTACCTATTTATGGGAGCAGTAGAAAGGCTAGTCACACGCACGAGTCATAATTACACGTCTTCGAGCATTGAAGGCTTGATGAAAATGTATTTATTATCGATTCTTATATGAATTGTTGTCTGGATTTGACAATGTAATTGACATGTTGCGTCAATCGTGTCGACTTGTACGATGACGAAGTATTAGTTCGAGAGAACGTGCTCCATCACCTGTCGACTTCTTGAAGACGAGTTTTATGAAACTCAATTTGCTCGTGTCTGACTAGTTTATTTAAATAATATAAGAAATGTGTACCTTGTAAATTACCGACAAGGTATGTTGATTTTCTATGTGGCTGCTGTGCCCCCTTTGATTATGATTCCAGCAAGCTTCACTGTAAGAAACAGTTAAGTGAACGCGAAGTAGAATTACAATTAGCCTATAAGCCTTTTGAATACGCACACGAATTGAAGGCGTGATCGTTCCGTGGCGGCTTTGCAGAAAAAACTTATCATAACATGGCGGTCCTGCTGACAGTATATCGAGACCCGTGCCCTGGTTTCTACTGGTAGAGGGTTAGATCGGTTCACTGTGGTTGGGTCATGGCAAGATGTTAGCCGCAATCGCAGTCCAGCAAGCGTGGTTCGGCGAGAGATGTTTAGGAAGAGAGCAAGGCACGCCGCGTGCTTGCCTTATATATCCATGCAACGGCTCGCTTAGCTGGCAATAAAGCATCGTCGTTGCTCCACTGGAATCTTACACGAGGCGTAGAAAGAAAAACTTAGAAGTTTCGAGAAATCGACGAAAGAAAAAATAAGACATTTAACGATAGAAACTTCCGGGCGATGTTATTACTCGAAGACCATATAAACATTACGGGCCATTTGAAACCAAAGCATAACAAGTATACGAAAATTCTCGTCCAAGTGTTTACAGAAATCTGAGATCTAATAAGGCCGGCGATGCCAACAATTGGCGGTCTTGAAACTGGCTTCAATCTCGAACAATATGTATATAAAATATTTTAAATTCTATATTTTTTTTAATCAGGGATTTTTAGTCACAATATCATCATATCATATCATATCAAAATTGTATTCAGTACATCATTTCATTTTAAATATAAAAAAGTCTCGAATCAGAAATGATTTTTGTAACAGAAATTAAAGTATTTTTTATCACTCTTGTAGTATATAGAACGTTTTCGCTTTTAACTCTGTAGTCATTGGCTTTGATGCTTGTATCATTTTCTGATAACAAGTACTTTGAATATCGCTTTAGTAAATCTAAACAAGTTATTTATGAATTAAGAGGTATTCATTACATTTTAAAATAACAATTTAGTATATTTACAAAATTTTAATTTTCTATGTATCGTTACTTTAAGGTATTTATTGTAGTTAGAAAGAGCTAAGTGAATCCTATATATGTATCCCATAATCTCCACTATTAATTACAATATCGATTTGATAATATACATGATTCTAAGTAGTAGACATCTTATTGTTTGAATTATTCCGGAGATTAATTTACTTTTGTGCTTATTCCATTAACATAATAAGGTAATACTAATATATAGAAAGTTTTTATTATATTACAAAATTTAAGTAATTTATATTACAAATTATAAATCTTTTAAACTTTTAGGTCTTGCTGTTGATTTTAATTTACATTATGGTGTTAGTTATCGTATAAATACTGCCAATAATCGACTCGAACGAGTTAAAATAGCTTTGGAACAAATGAGTGGACCGACATTAATGGCTGCTCTAACAACTAGTGTTGCTGGTGCTCTTATGTTACCTTCACAAGTCTTACCTTACATTCAAATTGGTATTTTTCTAGTACTGATTATGGGAGTAAGTTGGATATGCGCAACTTTTTTTTTCTGTCCTTTACTTTCTATTGGTGGCCCATCTAAATTTTTGCAATTTGATTCTTTAAGGTAAGAAATAATTTAATTTATCTTAATTATATTAACTATAATTTTGACTAATTACTCATTACTCATAGGTTTAATACATCACTTCTCCATTCAAAAAAAAATAAAAAATTGACAACGATTGTAAATGAATCTATTGAACTACCTATAAAACAAAAGAAATCTACCGAAATATCAATAGCAGAAACGAGGAATAATACAAATAAGGAATTTCAATTTCATCGTGATTCGTCATTACCCACATTTACTCGTTCGATCATTCATAACGCTGAGATTCATTACACAATAAGCAATGGCGAGAGACCTGATCTGGACTCATAATAACATCTAAATTACTATTGAGTGAATGTATAATCAATTATAATAATGCATAATTTCAATTTTGTATTGAAAGCTTTAAATTTAAAAAAATTACATTTAAGCTAACAAAAATTTAGTATTACAATATTTATATCATGAATGTCTTATTTTAGTAAAAGATAAATTATAATTATACATTTTTGTTGTTCAGTTAAACAATCGTACGAAGGTAAACTAAAGTAATATAGTATAACATTTTAAATCTTTTTTTTAATTATATAAAAAGGAGTGAATTGAACAAATATTTTATGAAATAACAAAAAGTATCGATTGATTTTTATAATAAATTTATTTCAAAATATGTATACATGAAAGAAGGTATCAAAAATCTTTGTACATTAAATTACTTAATCATATTAATGTTATACAAAATTAAATATCTAAAAATAATTAAAATAAGATAAAATTTTAAGATTTTAAAAGAATGTTATAAAACTAATAAATAATATTTTGATATTATATAAATATCAATAATAAATAATATTTTGATATTATATAAATATCAATATATTTAAATATACATCATAAACTCAAACTTATTATTTAAAGCAAATATAAAATAGATTTAAATACGTGTGTTCGAAATATTGTAGGGATGTAATTCTTAGCTCGAACTGCCAATGTTTCAATAGCTTAGTTTGCCGCCCGCCCTAGCAGACGCTCGGGAAGGAGTGAGATGTAGGTGAAAGGGCTGTACAAGAGTCGTGAAAGAGTTGGTTAATTATATTTATTATACAATTTATTACACTATTTACATATGGATATTGTAGAATCTTCTTGTATCTTATATGAAGATATAATTTCTTGATTGGCTTCGTAGTATAAATAATTGCTGCACACTTCTGATTGGAAAGTGTGAGATAATCATGATGATTGTCTTATGGCCGGTTCTGTTGCCGGCTGACAATAATTGAAGAGAAAATGTGTATCAACGTACTTACAGCGATATCGTAATTCAATCTGATTCAGCGTTGAGAGGGACACGAATCATGTGCGGCGTGACTCCTTTACTCACCAGCATAAACTATTCTTGATCAGCGTTCGCGGCGAGAGGGACACGTATCATGTGCGGCGTGACTCCTTTACTCACCAGCATAAACTATTCTTGATCAGCGTTCGCGGCGAGAGGGACACGTATCATGTGCGGCGTGACTCCTTTACTCACCAGCATAAACTATTCTTGATCAGCGTTCGCGGCGAGAGGGACACGTATCATGTGCGGCGTGACTCCTTTACTCACCAGCATAAACTATTCTTGATCAGCGTTCGCGGCGAGAGGGACACGTATCATGTGCGGCGTGACTCCTTTACTCACCAGCATAAACTATTCTTGATCAGCGTTCGCGGCGAGAGGGACACGTATCATGTGCGGCGTGACTCCTTTACTCACCAGCATAAACTATTCTTGATCAGCGTTCGCGGCGAGAGGGACACGTATCATGTGCGGCGTGACTCCTTTACTCACCAGCATAAACTATTCTTGATCAGCGTTCGCGGCGAGAGGGACACGTATCATGTGCGGCGTGACTCCTTTACTCACCAGCATAAACTATTCTTGATCTGCGAATTACTAGCACTTATTTCTGTGTTGAGTGAATTGTTAGATTTGGCTTTTTCGGACACTTTATTTCTATAATTTGACCTTTCCCTAGACTGCTCACTCTCACTCTGGATGATTTGTTCTTTTGTGTCGGAAGGGTGCCGATTTCCAGACGTATGCTGATTGTACACGCCTTTTTCCCACTTCCGACAGGGGGATGTCCGAAGAGCATCTTTGGTGGTAACGCGTTGCGTGGAAGTTTGTCCCCTCTCCTGGAGTGATCATAGTGGGGGTAATTAGTGGTCAAGCATTTTTGCCTAATCGAAGTGAGCGACAACATGTGGCTGACTTGAGAACAATGACTAGAATTCTTGGTAAATGGCACACGTGCGACTTAGAATCTCGAGAGCCGCGCGTGCCGAGTTTCGGGTTGCAACGGGTTTAAGAAATGTTTTCCATTCAATTGTTTTGAAATATTTTAATCCTCAAAATATACTAGTATAAACAGTCTAGGCGGGTTTTGATGTGAGCTCGCAAGGGTCGTTTTATTGCTTTAAAAACAATAGCTATGCGGCAGGTCAAAGGCCATAAATGGCTGTTTACGAGTTCACAGATGTACAAACCTTTTCAAGTCTCATGTGGTCTTGGCGAGACTTTCTTAGTTTTTCGTATCCGTTTGATAATCCCCCTTTTGTTGATTATTGAAGGTTTTTCTAGTAAATGTAATTCGAGAGATTTTCTTTTCATTCTCGAACAAATATACTTAAATATACATCATTTATAAAAAATGTATTAATTAAAGGGTTCGCCTGTTAAATATATACAAGAGTTGAATTGAGTCAATTTATATATAGTGAAATATATTTCACACGAGTTTACTTTATCTTATAAGAATGCATTATAGCTTTGTTTTGTGATTAACGTGTAGGTTGTGATTGCCGAGTAGGTGATCAACAATATGTAAGTTATTATTATTAATGCCGTACAGTTTCTCTATCAAATGATCAAGCTCTTTATATTTTAAACGATGAATAAAGACAATATATATTCTACTAGTACAGGTACTCTTCTGTCACTTACCTACATAAGTTAAATAACGAAATACTAATTCAGCAATGTATAATGTATTATAATAAATTTTTTAAAATGTCTCTTGTATTTATTAAATCCTAATCCTAATTTATAGTTATCAACTAGATTACACAGTTTTTATATTTATATAATATTCTTTTTATTAAGCGTTCTATTATAATTTTTTTTTTTAGTTTTATTTGATATAATAATTACTATGTTTTAAAAATGGTAGCAATTTAAGTTTATGACAAGAAAGTTAAGCATAAGAATTTTTAATAATTTAAAGAATATGAAATTCGAAATTGTCTGGGATTAGACTGAAAACTTTCCTTTGATGGTGGGTGGAGGTGTTGCTGTCAAGTGGAAGGGACAATGCAATTATTCAATACTACATGCAGTGTTTCTTGTCTTTCCTTTATTAAATACAATAATATAATAAATAGTTAATGATCATAAAGTGTATGAATGAAGGTTTGAGTGAATAAATTGGGGAAGTTTCTTCAATTGTGTTACGTATTCAGGAGAGTGTGTGTACTCTTCGTGGTGTGAGGAGTGACTCCTTCCCTGCCGAGAAGTGTCGCTATAGTAGTATGCGTGAAAGCCGCCGCTCTCGTACCGAAGCCGTCTAAGTGAGACCGGGTTACTGCTGCTTTAGTGTTGGTGCATAAGAGCTGCCGCTGTCGTACCGAAGCTTTCTAGAGAAGACCGGGTCGCTGCTACCTTAGTATGCGTGAGAGCCGCTGCTGTCGTACCGAAGCCGTCTAAGGGAGACCGGGTCGCTGCTGCTTTAGTGTGTTGGTGTGATCGGTTAATATATGTAGTAGTATGATTTCGATAATTTCACTTTTGATTATGTTAGCACCTGCGCTTTACTAGTTTATATTTAGTTAACGGATTCTGAAAGTGTGGTGTCACTATTGGATTGTTAGATTGCATATGGTTTGAGTATTACATACTGTTCGGGATTGATGCAGTCCCGTGAATATCAAACAAAAGAAAGGTCATACGCGCAGTCCGGCGTACCGCATGTCCGCCTAGACTGACCGCCGTGCAGCAAGGCTGACCATCACGTGCGTCTAGGCGATTATGTTAGCATTAGCGCTTTATGAGATTAGGTTTAGTTAACGGATTCTCATAATATGGTGTCACTATTGGATTGTTAGATTGCATATTGTTTGAGTATTACATATGTGTATCGCTACACTGAGTGATGGCTGTAGAGAGAAGTTTGAAGATTGAATAGTGAGCCCCATCGCCTCGTGATGACTACGTAATTGTTACTAGACGGAACGCGGCGCATCAAGCGCAGCTCTTAAGTATTCTCGTAGTAGTTTGCGACACCGGTAGCGATCCGGTGTCTGTTGCTATGCCGATATTTGTTGTGACGTCGATAGGGCATAGCGTTGGAAGGTTCATTGGCACTACTTTTCGGAATTATAACCGTATATTCGTGTTTTCAGCGTAGAAAAATTTCTCGAATTCGCTGGCTCGTGTTTATAAACAAATTGTCCGGAAGCTCATGCCTCTCCCACTTTTCTATTCTGCTTTGAACAGTTTCGATTAGTAACAGAAATACTGTTACGGATTGAAGTAGTAAAAGGCGGAATACGAAAGTGGAAGAGGTATAAACATCTATACATTACGTTGTAAACACAATTCAGCGAATTCGGGAGATTTTTCTACCCCGAATAATCGAATATTAGATTATAATTCCGACTAGCAATGCCAATTAACTCTCCACGGCTATATCCTAGTGACGTCACGATAATAATCGGCATAGATACAGACACCCGTGCGCTACCGGCATGGCAAGCTCGTATGAGAATATTTAAGAGCAGCGCTTGATGCGCATCGTCCTTGTGCTAGTACTAACCACGCAGTGTCTACGACGGGCTCACTATTCTACCTTCAATCGTCACCACTACAGACATCGTTCACTATAATTACTCACGTACGCAGGCATCAAGCAGTCTAAAGAATTCATAGCGACGCCACAACGATATCGGCTCTCACGCCCATGTTAGTAACGCACCCGGACATTCCTTACAACCACACCAATACCGGCTCTCACACCCACCAATATCGGCTCTCACGTCTATGTAAGCAGCAACACAACACTAACGTTCCTTACAAGTACAACTATATCGGCTCTCACGCCCACGTAAGTAACGCACACTACCGTTACTTACATCACATGTATACCGGCGGACCTCCCGCTCACGTAAGCAGTGACGCAACACGGACGTCCTGCCCACCACACAGACAGCAGCGGCACTCACGCTACACCGGCGGCTAAGGCAGTATCGTCTCACGCGCCCCTCCAATTAGCGTATACTACTACAGCGACTCGTCTTGCAAGGAGAAGGGATCGCACCCCACTCTACCGAGAGTACACATACTCTCACCATCGCGTACACCAATTGACTAAACTTCACCACATAATTTACTCACGCTATCCATTCGTACACTTATGACCATTAGCTAATTATTAACTTTATTATATTTGATAAAAGGAAAGACATTAAACATTACAAGTAGTATTGAATAATGGCATTGCCCCATCCACTTGCCAGCAACACCTCCACCTACCATCAAGTGTTTATTATTTAGTCTGATCCCAGACAGTAACTAATTTCACAATCATGAATAGTCGGTACATGGAAGTGATTCATGTAATAAAAAGAAGAGGACATGTAGTTTATAAATTTTCTTACTCATTGATTTGTAGTTGTTTAATAATCAATATCCGAGTTGAACTATTTTCATTGTACATGTTCTTCAATGCATACTTCCCTCTTTTTTTTTAATATATTGTTCGATATATTTATTTTCTCTATCAAAAGTACAATGTCTTATCTACTTTTCTCGTTTTGTATGCACCTATTCTACCTTTCGTCCTTAATAGACTATTCAAAATACTTTCCATTATCCTTTAATATATCGCTCGTTATTTTTTTTTTCATTCTAAATATATATTGCCTTTATCATACATTTAAATTGTAAATGTCTACAATTTTTATCGTCGAACATTTAAATTGGTTTCATGTAAGATTACAAATAATGGTATAATTATTTAATGTTAGTTTCAAAAATTTGTTTTAAATAAGTTGCTCGTTTTATTATGCGTAACAATTATAATAGAATAAAGATTAAATATAATCTTTTGAAATGAATGTAATATTTATTGTACTTTATTTGAAATTTGAACTTAACTAAGAAAATTAGATTTAATCATATGCTACCAAAAAAATCATAAAACGTGGTTATATGAGTATAACACTATAAAATACATCAGAATTTATGATGAATTCAAACTCTTTCGATTATTCTTCTATATTTACGCATTTGTATTTATAGCCATGACTTAAAAAATAGCTAATTAGATTTCATAATAATGTAAAACTAAAAGCATGTATTTAAATTTCGGATGTATATACAGATGATACCATAAAGTTACATAAAAAATGTGGAGGCTACGCTAAAGCAAATAAAAAAAAGTTATTGTTTAAGAGCATTAATAATAATCATGATCGATTACACTACCATGTCACTATCGGTTAAATAGGTATTGGCGTTTTAAAAATTAGTATGCTAGTATGAGCACTAGAATATTAAATTTATTTAAGATTGTTACAATCACGAATTATTGCATATACGTTTGTCTGAATATTAAACGTCTGTTTAACAGTATTTTTTAATTTCGATGAAATTAAGTAAACAATAAAATAAAACTAAATAATAATTGAATACAAGGTATTTTTTATAGTTATAATAACAATGAAATTGTCAAGTTGAAATTTTGTATTCACTCTTCGTTTTTCTTATATTTTTGTTGTAGAATAACTTTATATTTATATATTCAATGGTGATTATAACCTTTTGTATAGATAGTTGATATTAAATTTTAATTCATCTTTTTTTTTATAAATATTTCATCGAGAAAATAATTATGTTATCATCACCAAGTGCACCATCCTCTAGTAGCAAAACTAACTTGTCGGTAGTATGTTAATTTAATTTGAAGAATAAAATTTAGAGAATAATTATTGCATTATAACCTTAAATTTGTAATCGACTTGCGATAATATGAAAGTCAGTTGTACGATTACACTATTTTGTTTTAGAAACCAAATTATACATTAAAATATACATTAGCCGGTCACACTAAAGCAGTTTCTTCTGTTAAATTCAGCCCAAATGGAGAATGGCTTGCTAGTTCTTGTAAGTATTAAATTATACATGACAACATTGTCATGTCTGTCGTGCGACCAGTAGAGGCGCGTCAAGAGCAATGAAATCGTGATCTCTTCTTGGCTCGAAGCCCAGTAGACGACTGAGCTTCGTGATTGAAGGAGATGCCGTGATAGGCGCTGCCCTCGATCTATAAGTCGCAAGCTCTCTAATTGGACACAAAAAAAGGGAAGGGATAGTTACCACGTTGAAGTCCTCAATGTAAATAAGTGGAAAAAAAGTTCCGTCATCGGAGTCCGACGACAAGCACTTACGTTGAAGGCTTCATGGAACAAGGAAACGGCAAAGTTCCCTGAGCTGAGTCCAAGACTAGTCTTCGTTTGTAGTCTCATCTACTTAAAGCGTCATAGCCATCATCTTCCAATTAAAGTTTCTCCAGAGCCAGGTCACCGAGCATGCCTAATTAAGGCCGTTTCAAAGATACACGCAAAATTATCTTAACTAATTCTATTGTCTGTACCTAAGGAGCATCTGTCTAGTGCCTCACACAACAATCAAACCAATTTTACTATTCAGCGCCCACCTTGCTGATCCTAACCTCTAACCAAGCACGTCCCCACTCGCACATAACACACATCGGCAAGGCAATCCTCGCGCCATTTAGCGCTCTTCTTGCAGAAACAGAGAAACCGCACGTTCTGCTAGCGCACGAAGCAATCGCAGATATCAGGCGGCTCTACTGGAAGAAGTGATAAGAGCTTTACAACCTCTCACTTCCCAAGGATAACACCAATACACTACGTCAAGAAGATCAGGAAATGTATAACTTTCTACCTTTGGTCAAAGTGTATGCTAAAGCCGAGTGTGATCTGCCCAAAACCAAGATTGATATCAGCAACAAGAATCATTCATGTATCTTGAAATTAACGGAATAAACAGTATAACAAACAGATGTGTTAATATTAAATTTAATTCGCTATCCCTTACATTTGTCCGCACATTTCTACCTCATAACAGCTCGTGTTCTCTGAGTTATTCTAAACATTTTGGTCCTTCAAGGCGGATTTGGTGAACAAGCCGGATCATCGGACACATTTTGTACAGAACCTATAGATTTAATTATTTTATATTTGAATTAATATTTGAAAAATATAAAAATTTTTTTAATAACAATTGGATTAAAATTATTGATTTAAAATATTTACAAGTGTACCTAATTTTAATTTTTTCTATTTAAATATTAGTTCAATTAATATTTATTTATGAAATGAGTGTAAATGAAATCTAATGAGTGTAAATTTTAATGAATAAACATAAATGTCTACTTCGCATGCGTGAAATCGAACTTCTTATTTTTTGTATTTTAAATTATCAGGAATGTATTTAAATATTAATGCTCTCATATTTACATTACATAAAAGAACGCCGTAAATGATTTATTTGCTTACATTTCTTTTTATAAAGTTGAATTAACTAAGCAGATTAATACGTATTTGTCTAATCTGTACTCTGTGCACAAAATTAAGATCGAATCTTAATTCTTTCTTTGTTTATGGTGGTTATGCAATCTTTTGTAAAAAAATTTCACAGCATACCCAAATTAATTTAGCATTTTTAATTTTCAGTCCTATTTTAGTGTTATTACGAAATTTGTGTATTTATTTAAAATAATATCAAAGAAATGGCAATAGGTGATATGAAAACACTTCAAGATATAAAAAATTTAAATGATTATTTATCTGAAAGAAGTTATATTGAAGGGTTAGTATCTTTAGATTTTGTTCATAGTATTTTTTTACTTATTTGTATTTTGAATCTACAGATGGCAACCATCACAAGCTGATGTAGCAGTTTTTGAATCTTTAGAAACTGTCCCTGCAATAGGAAATGTACATGTACTTAGATGGTACAATCATATAAAATCTTATGATCACAAACATTTACCTGGTGAAAAATCACTAACAGTATTTCAAGATCATACAATAACTATTGATTCTGTTACGCAAGTTGATGATGATATTGATTTATTTGGCTCAGATGATGAAGAGGATGTCGAAGCAATAAAAATTCGAGAAGAAAGATTAAAAGCATACTCCGAAAAAAAGTCCAAGAAGCCTGCTTTAATTGCGAAGTCAAATATTCTAATAGATGTGAAACCATGGGATGATCAAACAAACATGGATGATATCGAAAAGTCTGTTAGATCCATTAAAATGAATGGTCTTGTATGGGGTGTCTGTAGGTTTATATTGAAACATGTTTGAAAATGTTCTGTATTTTTATGATTTACCACAAATTTTTTTTCAGCAAAACTTGTGCCTATCGGTTATGGTATTAAAAAACTACAGATAATTTGTGTTGTTGAGGATGAAAAAGTTTCTGTTGATGAACTTTTAGAACAAATTGAAGATTTTGACTTAGTTCAATCAACAGATATTGCGGCCTTTAATAAAATATAAAAGAAAAATCAACTTATACTAGATGAATGAAATAAATACTTGTTTATAAATATTTTTTATTCCATATATTTTCCTTATCTAGAATTATTGTAATCAATAATTTTATAATTTTCTTTATTATTTAGAAAGCAAAGGACACAGTCTCTTGGTTTTTTATATTAAAATAAAGTTTAATCTAAAATAATAAAAATCTATTTTTAAATTGTTACTAAAATAATTTTTCAAAAATCCATTTATTTTTTGTTTAAATCATCTATTAAATAAACAAAATTGTAATAACATTACAGGAAAAATTGTAAAAAAATGTATATATATGTATACATGAATATATTACAGGTCAGGATAATCACTCGTAGATAAATTTTTCTGTAACAGGTCCTGGTAACATTAGTTTTTTCAAAATGTATTTATATTTAGAATTAAATTTACAGTAATTGCATGACGAACATATTTATGAAGAATAATGTCAAAACAATTTTAATTTGCTAAGAAAGCATTAAACATGTAATAATTATTTATACTTTGCTTAGGAGACATGAAATTATTACGAATGAAATATAGCAATTTTTGTAAAGCATGCATAATCAAGTTGTGATTTAAACAGAAATTCAAAATCTTTAAGCTTTATTTTTCAATTTGATTCAATTTTGTTCTATTTGTAAAAATTATTTTTTCAACAATATTTTTTATATTTGCAAATAGACATATTTTATTATACATATTAAAACAAATTATATAAATATATAGAAAAAATATTTTTAAATGATTACACAATATTATATTACATATATAAAATTTAAAAAAATTGAATAATCAATTAATAAATATTCATACATTATCTTATATAGTATTTATTTTATATGTATTATAATTAATTACATAAACTATTATTAAGACTTCAGATATAAAATAAATGACCTAGTTTAAAATTAGTTTTTACGAAAATTTACAAATACAACAATTGTTTAAATCGTATATAGATAAAATCAAAAAAAAATTGAGCCAGGACAGTTTATGTATCACTCTTCCACAGTTTAATTGTTTTATCATTTTCTAATGCAGCTGAAGCAATAATATTATCTGTTGGATGGCATGTTGTACAAAGAACAACGTCTAAAATAAAAGTATATTAACTCATTATTTTATTACGTATTTATATAGACATCAAATATACCAGTATGTCCATGTAATTTTTGAACAATTTCCTTTGTTTGTAAATTCCATATATATACCATATTATCTTCTGATCCTGATACAATCCACTAAAAAGAAGTAAGGTTTAAATATCTTCCATTTAAAATATTAAAATATATGTTACTATTATTTTATAATAAAATAACTATATATTTTGTTATGAACTTTTTTTTTAATAGGTTTAATTATGCACAAAATATAGTAAATTTTTATTACTAATGAATACAAATACAAAATAAATTGTCTTCAAACATGATTTATGGAAAATAAACATATTAATTTATGTATATATATATATATATATATATATATATTTGATTGGTAATAAAAGGTTTTTTTTAAGAATAAAGAAGAAATAATAATGAAACGAATAATATTTAATAACATGCACAATGAAAAAATAATTTTAAAAAATTACTTCGATTGCATTTTAAATTTTCTAGAAATAAGATTTATAACTGTTTTTACCACTCCTTAATTATTTATTCACAATTTTGTTGACTAAATAATGCATAAAAATTATTTCTATTCATATTCTTTTAATATAAAATTGATTTTCAGTCATAAAAATGATATAAAAAAATATAGAAATTTGAATTTTAAATAAATTATATATTAGATACTTGATAAACGAATAGTATGCAGATTATTCATAATTTCTATTACTTATAGTCAATCACATACTCAAAGTTGTCACAAATTGTACAATTAGTTAAACATCAATCATAATTTTTAATGTAGTATACTAATTAAAATCTTATTAAATATAATATAATAAACGGTTTAAAATTGAAATAAAAAAAAACATGATTTGTTGATCAAATTAAAGTTCCAATTTTTCTTAAATCGATTAAAAAAAAATATACATATAGTAATAAAATAAACAGTTTTTTAATTTATAAAATAAAAATGAAATGAGTATATTAAAATTTATTTTTTAATTGAATATTTTTAAAAACTTATATTTATATATTATATATACTTGGAAATGTATAGTGAGTTATGAAATTGAAAATATCATAATATAATTAGTCTTCACATAAAATAGATAATGCATTTAACAATCGCTCTTTTTACAATCAAATGTTGGAGGTTAGATTTCAATTATTTTTACTATCTTATTATAAAGCACCTTTAATAAATATATGAAATTAATTAAGAATATCGTAAAATATAAACATTTTGTTTTGTTAAAAGCTAATTCTTAATAAGACTAATATTAAGAATAATAAAAAAAAGATAAAAAAAGTTTGAAAAATATTTTTTTAAATCAATGTACATAGAATAGATTATATAATAGTTATTTAAAAATTATTAAACTATATTACATGTTAATAAAATTATAAAAATAAAATATTGACATCAAAATAAGGTATAATTTGAATTTTACTTATTTTAAATTAAAGAAGTTTAATAATTAAAGTATAAAATGTATCAATAAAACCATACTATTTAATAAATATAATAACTCAAATTATAAATTCTAATATAATATTTATGAGATAGTGAAAAAACACTGGTAAAGGATCAAAATTTTATTATTTATAAAATAATAACAAAATTATATTGTATTACACATGTATAATTTTAATTTATTCTTAAATTAATTATACTCTTAATTGTTAAAAAAAACTCAAATATAGTTTAAAAATAAATAAAATTTGTAAATTTCATATTTAATACAGGTTAATTATTTAAGACATCCACTGTCATATATCACTTTAAATTACACTATAATATCTAATTCTTAAACTAAGTAACTATTAATATTTTATTAAAGTACTTATATTTAATGATTATTTTTATAAATGTAATAGAGAATATAATATATTATTTATTAAGTTTTGTGTAGATAATGATTATAGTATGGTTATTGTTCTAATAAATGGAATGTCAATTTCTAATAAATATAATAAATATAATAATTCTAATAAATAGAAAATCAAATTTTATATATTTATTTACAAACCTTTCCACCAGTAACAGAAAAATTTGCAAAAATACAGTATTTTTCATTTTTGTGTCCTGTATAAGTTTTTAAACATTTTCCTTTACTATAATCCCATAACTTTAATGTATTGTCTAAAGTAGCTGCTAAAATATATTTTCCATTTGGTGAAAATTTTACAAATGATACTGGAGGATTATCATCATCAATTAATGTTTTTAGACATTGTCCTGATGCCGTATCCCAAATTCGACTAAATTTTTTAAATATAAAAGTATTTTATGACAAATTTTTAAATATATTTTAATAAAATAAATGTTACCATAATCCATCATAACTACTAGATACTATTAAAGAACCATCTCTATTAAAATGTACTGCACTAACAGGATCGGAATGAGCTGGTAATGTTTTCAAACATTTTCCTGTTCTCACATCCCATATTCTCACACTTTCATCAAACTAAAACTTATTAGTAATTAAAATCATCATAATAAATATAATTAAACATAATAAATAAATAAATAAAATACCGATCCAGATACAATGAGATTTGACTGAGGATTAAAATTACAGCAGAAAACATAGTTACTGTGTCCTTTGAGAGTTTTTAAACATTTTCCCTAAAAATAGAAATATTATTTAATCGTAAATAAATTAAAAAGAATTTTCAATAAACAATTTACCGAACTTAATTCCCAGATCTTTAACGTTTTATCATCTGAAGCTGAAACCAAAAGTCTACTATCACTGGACCATGCAACATCAGAAATACCTAATTTATGGCCAGCTATTGCTTTTTCAAATTTTCCATCATAAGATCCCCATATTTTTATAAGTTTATCAGCAGCTGTTAAATTTTACATATATGTTTATTATTTATTATATTTAATTTTATTATAAATTCTACGTAATTTATATCTTTGTCTTATAAAAAATGATATATTATAAAGATTTGAAGCTATGTTCTTAAACAAATGTGTAATCTGGTTCTTACTATTCATAAATGTAAATATTTTTCAAATAATTTAATACTTACAAGAACTAGCAAGCCATTCTCCATTTGGGCTGAATTTAACAGAAGAAACTGCTTTAGTGTGACCGGCTAATGTATATTTTAATGTATAATTTGGTTTCTAAAACAAAATAGTGTAATCGTACAACTGACTTTCATATTATCGCAAGTCGATTACAAATTTAAGGTTATAATGCAATAATTATTCTCTAAATTTTATTCTTCAAATTAAATTAACATACTACCGACAAGTTAGTTTTGCTACTAGAGGATGGTGCACTTGGTGATGATAACATAATTATTTTCTCGATGAAATATTTATAAAAAAAAAGATGAATTAAAATTTAATATCAACTATCTATACAAAAGGTTATAATCACCATTGAATATATAAATATAAAGTTATTCTACAACAAAAATATAAGAAAAACGAAGAGTGAATACAAAATTTCAACTTGACAATTTCATTGTTATTATAACTATAAAAAATACCTTGTATTCAATTATTATTTAGTTTTATTTTATTGTTTACTTAATTTCATCGAAATTAAAAAATACTGTTAAACAGACGTTTAATATTCAGACAAACGTATATGCAATAATTCGTGATTGTAACAATCTTAAATAAATTTAATATTCTAGTGCTCATACTAGCATACTAATTTTTAAAACGCCAATACCTATTTAACCGATAGTGACATGGTAGTGTAATCGATCATGATTATTATTAATGCTCTTAAACAATAACTTTTTTTTATTTGCTTTAGCGTAGCCTCCACATTTTTTATGTAACTTTATGGTATCATCTGTATATACATCCGAAATTTAAATACATGCTTTTAGTTTTACATTATTATGAAATCTAATTAGCTATTTTTTAAGTCATGGCTATAAATACAAATGCGTAAATATAGAAGAATAATCGAAAGAGTTTGAATTCATCATAAATTCTGATGTATTTTATAGTGTTATACTCATATAACCACGTTTTATGATTTTTTTGGTAGCATATGATTAAATCTAATTTTCTTAGTTAAGTTCAAATTTCAAATAAAGTACAATAAATATTACATTCATTTCAAAAGATTATATTTAATCTTTATTCTATTATAATTGTTACGCATAATAAAACGAGCAACTTATTTAAAACAAATTTTTGAAACTAACATTAAATAATTATACCATTATTTGTAATCTTACATGAAACCAATTTAAATGTTCGACGATAAAAATTGTAGACATTTACAATTTAAATGTATGATAAAGGCAATATATATTTAGAATGAAAAAAAAAATAACGAGCGATATATTAAAGGATAATGGAAAGTATTTTGAATAGTCTATTAAGGACGAAAGGTAGAATAGGTGCATACAAAACGAGAAAAGTAGATAAGACATTGTACTTTTGATAGAGAAAATAAATATATCGAACAATATATTAAAAAAAAAGAGGGAAGTATGCATTGAAGAACATGTACAATGAAAATAGTTCAACTCGGATATTGATTATTAAACAACTACAAATCAATGAGTAAGAAAATTTATAAACTACATGTCCTCTTCTTTTTATTACATGAATCACTTCCATGTACCGACTATTCATGATTGTGAAATTAGTTACTGTCTGGGATCAGACTAAATAATAAACACTTGATGGTAGGTGGAGGTGTTGCTGGCAAGTGGATGGGGCAATGCCATTATTCAATACTACTTGTAATGTTTAATGTCTTTCCTTTTATCAAATATAATAAAGTTAATAATTAGCTAATGGTCATAAGTGTACGAATGGATAGCGTGAGTAAATTATGTGGTGAAGTTTAGTCAATTGGTGTACGCGATGGTGAGAGTATGTGTACTCTCGGTAGAGTGGGGTGCGATCCCTTCTCCTTGCAAGACGAGTCGCTGTAGTAGTATACGCTAATTGGAGGGGCGCGTGAGACGATACTGCCTTAGCCGCCGGTGTAGCGTGAGTGCCGCTGCTGTCTGTGTGGTGGGCAGGACGTCCGTGTTGCGTCACTGCTTACGTGAGCGGGAGGTCCGCCGGTATACATGTGATGTAAGTAACGGTAGTGTGCGTTACTTACGTGGGCGTGAGAGCCGATATAGTTGTACTTGTAAGGAACGTTAGTGTTGTGTTGCTGCTTACATAGACGTGAGAGCCGATATTGGTGGGTGTGAGAGCCGGTATTGGTGTGGTTGTAAGGAATGTCCGGGTGCGTTACTAACATGGGCGTGAGAGCCGATATCGTTGTGGCGTCGCTATGAATTCTTTAGACTGCTTGATGCCTGCGTACGTGAGTAATTATAGTGAACGATGTCTGTAGTGGTGACGATTGAAGGTAGAATAGTGAGCCCGTCGTAGACACTGCGTGGTTAGTACTAGCACAAGGACGATGCGCATCAAGCGCTGCTCTTAAATATTCTCATACGAGCTTGCCATGCCGGTAGCGCACGGGTGTCTGTATCTATGCCGATTATTATCGTGACGTCACTAGGATATAGCCGTGGAGAGTTAATTGGCATTGCTAGTCGGAATTATAATCTAATATTCGATTATTCGGGGTAGAAAAATCTCCCGAATTCGCTGAATTGTGTTTACAACGTAATGTATAGATGTTTATACCTCTTCCACTTTCGTATTCCGCCTTTTACTACTTCAATCCGTAACAGTATTTCTGTTACTAATCGAAACTGTTCAAAGCAGAATAGAAAAGTGGGAGAGGCATGAGCTTCCGGACAATTTGTTTATAAACACGAGCCAGCGAATTCGAGAAATTTTTCTACGCTGAAAACACGAATATACGGTTATAATTCCGAAAAGTAGTGCCAATGAACCTTCCAACGCTATGCCCTATCGACGTCACAACAAATATCGGCATAGCAACAGACACCGGATCGCTACCGGCGTCGCAAACTACTACGAGAATACTTAAGAGCTGCGCTTGACGCGCATCTCTCTTACTAGTACTAATCACGCACTCTTTACGACGGGCTCGCCATTCTACCTGCAATCGCCATTACGATAGCCATCTCAAACATCAAACAATCTAAAGAACTATCACGGACGTTCCTTACGACCACAACTATAACGGCTCCTGTCACCTACGTAAGCAGCAACGCATCACGGGCGTTCTTTACGACTACAACTACATCGGCTCTCATCGCCTGCATTATCGACTACGTAAGCAGCAACGCACCACGAACGTTACTCACAACCACAAGTATAAAAGGCCCAATGGCCACGTAAGTAACGCACACTACGGGCATTACATTACACCTATACGAGCGAATCTCCCGCTCACGCAACAGTGACGCAACACGGACATCCTCCCCACCACACCAACAGCAACGGCGCTCACCCTAAGGCGGAATCGACTCACTCACCCCTCCAGTGTGCGGCTACCACTACAGCAATTCATCTTGTAAAGGGAAGGAATCGCACCCCACTCTAACGAGAGTACACACACTCTCATCATCACTTAACCAATTGAAGAAACATTCATCTATTTGTTAACTCACACATTATTCTGACACCTATGATCATTAACTAATTGTTATATTTATGATATTTAATAAAGAGGAAGACAAGAAACTCTCAATGCAGTATTGAATAATTGCATTGCTCCTTCCACTGGCCAGCACAACCTCCACCCACCCTCACCAGGAGGTGTTTTAGTCTGATCCCAGACATTTCGGTCCTTCGAGCCGGATAAGTGGAAATCAGTGCATGCGTCCAATACTACTACACCAAAGGAAACAACCATGGTAATAATATTGCAAGCAAATAATTGATCACAATAAAGAAAGTTTCTTCAATACTGTAAGTACGTCATTATTGCACTGATTATAACAAAATGTGTACCCAAGACAAAAAAGAAATCAAGATATCAGTGAGTGCAAATACATCCACCGCCCACGAACGCACTACACGTAGCTCAATCAAGGAAAAATAACAAGCGAACAATTAATGAAAACCCATTCTCAGTGGGCCCGGATTACCACTATAACAACTTTGACTGACAGTCTCGGCCCAGAACGCACAGACATCAGCCTATATGAAGCACTAGCTATGAAAAACAAGATCGATGAAATGCACATCACGTTCATAACGGAATACAAGTTCATAGAAACCAGCTGGTCACAATCAGGCATTGCTCACGAATACTTTACAAAAAATGCTTTGGTAGAAGAAGCCATTTATCATGTCAAGGCTACAGCGCTGATTATGAAGTTATGTCAAGAATTAGGTGACACGACACAACCAATTAAAACCACAATAAAGAGAATAAGCAATAGTCTCAGTACAAGGAGCACAAACTCCAACATGGATGAAGTACTATCTATTGAAGACACCATATATGACATTCATAATATATTCGCAATGGAACATAATTGTATTGAAAACACCTGTTCAGCGACAGGTGTCATCCACGAATACTGTACAAAGGGTATTGTATGTTGTGTGTGGGTAGTACTGTACAACACCTCCACCCATCATCGCCAGGAGGTGTTTTATTCTGATCCCAGACATTTAGATTTTAATTTAGTGTAATCTCAAATAAAATAAACGGAATCATTACTATCTTCTCAAAATTAGAATTTTCATAATTCGTTAATTATAAAATTTTAATTAAAAATAAATTCGTCTAGTATACTTTTAGACTTTTATTATGTATTAATAATAAAAAATAAAATTTATTTATTATTTAAATTTTAGATGGTTTGAAAATAAAGTTTTAGTCTACATTTAATTTCGTATTACTCAAAAATATAAATTGAATCCAAACTTAAGATTTTTTTATAATATTTTTAAAAATAAAATTACAATTAAATTTTATTATTATATGTTTTATTTTGAAGTTCTCAAAAACTTTTGAAATTCACTTGAAAATTCTAACTTTACATTAAAAAAAACAATTTATGCGTTTTTACAGTAAAAAAGTATCTATATATATATATATACACGTTTTTATAAAAATACTATTAAAAGTTGTATTAAATTACACCACAAAACTTTTTTAAAATAAATATATTTAACATATAATTTATATCAGCTAAAATGATCTAATTTGGAATCTGCTATATCAATAAAACAAAAATTTATAACTTCTAAAAATATAAAAATATAACTTATGTAATAAAATTGAATTTATAAAAAAGAGATATTTTTCATATATTACAAAGGAAACACGGTTTTTTAGTTTATAATTCGTATATTTAATGAGTTACCAAAACGACTTGAAATTCAAAGCAAATCAATTTTTTGATCAAAAGGAATTACTGATTAAAAGATTCATTAATACATTTCAATCATTTTCAAAATAGTAATTTCGAAATTGAAATCGGCACCATAGAATAATTTTATATAATAAATACATTTCAATATAAAAGAATGTAATAAGCAGATTAAGATCTAAACTTCATTTGTAATTTATTTCTATGTACAAAAAAATGTCAAAACGAATTATTCGTAAAAAGCGTATAGTAATTTATACTTTAATGCAACTGTCGAAAACATATCGCTTTTTTAATTTATTAATCCGTCGAAAATTACAAATTTATAAGTTGGAAAATATATTGAATATTTTAAATAAAATTTTATTTCCGACTATTTGTTAACGATTTCCTTTTTGTGTATGATTAATATTAACTTTTACAATATTTTATAATGTATAACCAATATGATATTTAATATTTATATATTGATATTGTTTTTAATGACTGTTATTTTGTTTCGGGTTCACCGGTTTATTACGAAACAGTTATTTGTTTGAATTTAATTCTTTTTTAACTATATTTTTGAGATTCATTGCTGTTTTTAAAATTTTTTTAAACTGTTTATCCAATTTCTCTATTTTTTGAATGTCAATATATAAAAATTCTTGAGACACTTTTTCATTAAAAAATTTGGTGTGTATTTTTCAATACTTTACATACAGTACAATGATCTTTAAACAAGTTTTTCTTAAAATTTAAATACAAAAATACATTGTTATTTTTCAACTTTACTTCATCGTTTTCAAAAGATCATAGGCCTAAAGCGAAATTTTTTTACAAAATTGTAAATATTATAATGAAAGTAAAATAACAAAATATTTAAAAATGTTTTACTTCAATTTTTTATTCCAATATTAACACAAATTTAATATTAGTTATCTTTCTGAAATTGTACACTGAATTCTTAAATAAATTATAAATATTTTGTTCAAACAGTGATTTGAAGAAATAAACATTTAATGATTCATGTATCTTGTGTAAAACATAGTAAAATTTTTTAATATTATTTATAACTTAGTAAATATTTTCAATTTTAAAATATTGCAGAGGTCTTAAATACTAGAAAAATCTACAAAACTGTTTCAGAAAAACTATTTTAATTTTTTTTCTTCAATTTTATATATTATATTTATATTATATAAATTAGTATAATTATGTATTTTTATTTGTTTGAAATAACATTAATTATAATAGTGTTTTTTCTATTCGCACAAGAACATTTTCTCTTTATTTTTTATTTTCTAATTTTAAAGTACAATACGAACTGTTTATATTTGCAGTTTCTTATTCAAATTATTTATGCTTTGATTTTTATGCATGTTTATTTTAATTACTTATATAATTTATATATTAATCAATTATATCATTATAATAGTATCTAGAATTGAAAATTTTATCTCATTTTTCAATAATATATCTTTAAAATACACTGACAAAGTATAAAAGTAAAAATTAATATGGTTTCATTGGATGTGTTGATATTTGAAATAATACTTGTATACTTCAAATGTTAGAAAAATTTTAATAATTTTTTTAAATAATATATTTCATTTTCATAACCATAAATATATTTTTTAAATTTGCATATATCTTTTTTTAGGAGCTTCGACCAGTTGTCTAAATTCTATTTTTCATTGAAGATTCTTTATTTTCTTATTTTTATATAAAATTAATTATTTGTAGCTTTATAAACAAATACAGTACTGTTATATCAATGATATTTAGATTACTTTAATTAAATTTATTGAAATATTATAATAAGTGAAAAATATTAACTAAACCAATATATTATGTTCTTTTTATACAAAACTATCAAAAATCTTTTGTTTTTAAATGTGGAGTAGCAAAATTATTTGATATCAAATACTTAAAATTCGGTTTAAAAAAATATCGAGACTTTAGTAATATATGAAAAGTTTTAGATGATAATCAAATACCTAAATTATAATAATATAAAATGATTTATGTTATTTAAAATAATTGGTTTTTAAAAAATAATTCAAAAACAATAAAAAGCATAGGAGATCATTGTTAGATTGATATTAAAATTTAAGATATCAATTAACTTTTAGAATAAAAAATTAATTAATCCGAATAAATCCACTTACATTTAAAAATGAATTATTTTTGTTTTAAATATTGTTTCCTTTATACATTTCAACATTATTAAACTTTAGTTATATATAAAAGATAACCAAGTTCAAATAACTATTAAAAATTGTAAATCTCCAAATTACTAGACGAAGTATAGACCCTATTTAATATTCTCTAAGAAGTTTACAATTGCTTCTTTATCTCTTTTAAGCCATGCAGCATTTAGCCTTATAGTTTCAATACTTTGTTGTACATTTCTTTCAGCACCTGGAGTGGGATGATTATCAAAAAATTCCTGAATATCTTGAGCATAATTTTCTGTAACAAAGTGCTCTGTTGTACACTTAACTAATCTTGTCAATAAAAATCCACTTTTATACCGATCAACCAATTTATCATAGTTATCCCTAAAAAATTGCCATGCAAGGACACGACCATTATATGTCATAGTTACTGACATTATGACAAATACTGTGTCCTGAGGTTTAACATCATCGCTCAATGAAAATTCAAGAACTCGACTCAGTAGAGTTTCATCTTTAGTGGCACCAAGGGAGCTAAGAATTCTATTTTTTTCTTCATGCATATCTGCCTCGCGATATAATTTTAACAACGTTTCGAAAGTGTCAGTATTACCATTTGAAAATACAGCACGATATACTGGACTTCGAAGATCAGCAGGTAGAATTGACTTTCCTGTTACATAATCTTTAAAACGTCGCTGTGCTTCTTTAATTGTAGAATCATCTTCAAAAGAAATCATGCGGTCAAGGACTAGAGTTCTGTAATAAATAATGATAGTAATTATATTAACACAACAATGCAGATAGAAACAATAAATTATTGATTTGTATGTATACACAATTATTTATGGATGAAACTAAATTATTTATTTATTAAAACATAATTATTTAGGGATTCAATTATGTAAAAAATTAAATATATTTTCTTTGAAACACATCTCAGTATAAAAATAATTTTATAGAGAATTTAAATAGTGATTATGATGCTATGCTGCTAAATACTTAAAAATTAAATAGTATGCATACTTTAAAATTTGTATATTTTATTAAAAAAATTTATTTTTAATGTAATATATCAGCAGAACTTTGATAATTCTAAATAATGCATTCAAATTTAATATTTCAAAAGCACTTCATACATGAACAGTATGTTTAAGACTAAATATTTTTAAAAAGTCAACAAATATTATTATTCATTGAATATTTCTTAAGATATTTTATAAATATTTTTAAAAAATTGTATTCATTTTACAAAATTTGCTTGTTTATTTGTATTGAACTAATTTATAATCCTTGTGTGAAATTGGATATCTATTTTTAAAATATAGTTAAGTAATAAGCCAAAATTTTTTGTTAAAAAATTAATTTAACTCTGATGCTGGTCATAAATTATATCAAGAAAGTGATAAGATCGAAGTACATATTACAGTTACTAATCATATAATTTTTCGACCTTCAAATGTATCTATCTTTTTAAAATAAAATTTAATTTGAATTTTTTTACCTTAGTAATGTATCTAAGTGACTTTCATTTGACTTTTTATCCCAACCTAGCTGAGAATGAATACTCATTAATAATGAGCGGCCAAATGCTTTGTAACTGGAATGAATTCCTAAATGAGATACCAAAATTCCAATTTTACTTAAACAATTGATTATACTAGACCACACTGTATAATTATTTTCATTTTTAAATGCTTTCATTAATTTTAAAACTTGACCAGTTGAAACATATCCAGCTTGAGATAAGGCAAACAGATCATCTAAAAGTCCTAATCGATCAAGAGGTGGTAAGGTTTGATCTTGAATGACAGGTAGAAAATCCTCAAGTAATTCACTACTGTAAAGTGTTCTGTAGACACCAATTGTTCCTGGATTAATTTTAAGCCAAGAACTTTTAAGTATTCCATGAAATTCTATTTCTTTTGTTTTTGTTTCCATAATTTCATTTCTTAAACATATTTTAGGATTCTCAGAACTGCTTACTGTTATTGGAATAACCCATAAACTGTTATCATAATCTACAGAGCCATCAGCTAAGAATCTTTGCTGGGAAAAACTTAGTATTCGTTTACTTGAATCAGAATTTTTTTCTGTAACTTTAAGAAGAGGAAAACCTTGTTGTTTTGTCCAAGTTGACATGACATAATGTACAGGCTTCTTACTAGCCTCCTCTAAAGCATACCATAAATCTTCGGTTTGAGCATTAGCATATGAATACCTCTTTAAATATAAATTCATACCTTTTCTGAAATCGTCATCTCCTATAAATGAATGGAGCATTCTAATAACACTTGCACCTTTATTGTATGAAATATCATCAAAAATTTCATCAATTTCTGCAGGATGCCCAACAGGTACTTCAATTGCATGACTGTTTTTTAATGCATCTAATTCTAAAGCTTTGATATAAGTATCTGTTACAAATTGTGTCCAAATATCATACTCTGGAAATAGTAGATCAACACATAAAAATTCTACAAATGAAGCATATCCTTCGTTTAACCATAAATGTGTCCACCATTCCATTGTTACAAGATTTCCAAACCACTGATGAGCTAATTCATGCCCAACAATGAGAGCAACCCACTGTTTTACAACAGCTGAAGTATTATGAGAATCAACAAGAAGACATGTTTCACGATAAGTAACTAAACCCCAATTTTCCATTGCTCCTGCACTTAAATTTGAAATTGCAATTAAATCAATCTTTGGCAGTGGATATGGTATATCAAAATATGATTTATAATATGGAAGAACTTTAGTAGCTACATGCAATGCAAATCGTCCTTGTTCTTGTTTACCTTTTGGAGTATATACTCTAACTAAAACTCCATCACTACTATTATCTTCAATGTAATCAAATTCACCAATAACAATTGCAACTAAGTATGTTGACATTATTGGTGTAGTTTCGAATTCAATAGTTTGCATATTTGAAAATACTGATAAGGTTGATTTTATTGGCTGAAATAAAATAAGTAAAATAACATAAACTTAAAGAATTTTTAAACTTTAGAACTTACCATATTTGAAAGTGCTATTAAATCATTTGGAATTGTCAAGGAAATGTCAAAAGTTGATTTCAAAGCTGGTTCATCCCAACAAGGAAAACACCTTCTTGCATCTGTTGCTTCAAATTGGGTAACTGCTGCATATTTAATAATACCATCTGAGCTACGATACATTGATAATAATATTTACTTTACATTTACAATTACGTTAAAATAAATGTTTATTATTTATAACAAAAAGAATAATACAGAACTATTTACCTTATATATTTACTACGATACAGACCCTTCAATTTATCATTTATTTCACTTTGAAATTCAATACACAAAAAGCCAATTTTTCCAACAGGTAATTTTTGTAGAAAAGTAATAGTAACGGTCTCATTTTCGGCATCTAATTTAATATCTTTTGATTTAATACATTTATCGATATCATTATTGTAAATAACGGATTTAATATCAATATCACAAGAATTCAATATGACTGAGTCTGTTGATTCTATTACCTAAAAAATAAATATTTGAAAATATTTTATACAATTGCACCACTTTTATACTAGTTTACTTTAAGTATACATATAAAAATAGCTACCTCAATAAAGACATTCAATTTTCCATCACAAATAAAGGTAATAAGGTTTGGTTGCAATTCAATTTTGTAATGAATTGGTATAACAGAGTTTGGCAATCTACAAAACGTTTTTTTTTCCATTTTCATCATTATTATTAGATTATCTTAGAGGTCTGCACTCGAGATCTAATTCTTAAATTTTATAGTAAAAATGAAAAAAATTGTCTATCACTTTGAACAAATGAAGAAATTACGGTTATATTGAATGGTACACTAAAGATTACTGTATACAGCGATACGAAGATAGTTTTTTCAACTTTGTGCAATAGCAAATTTTGCGAATCGATAGTTAAATATCGTATTAGTTTAAAATTTTTATTCGAAGGAAGACTATTATAAAGATACAATCAAAGCTGGTATCAAATAACGGTGCACAATCTAGAAAAATTCAAATATTATGCATCATTAGTTTTTTTACTTTTGATAAATATTGAGTGTATTATAAAAATAATAGTAACGTAAAAGAATAAAATAATTTTTTTAAATTCTGTATTATTTATTATTATTAATATTATATTTATAACGAATTAAAATATTTTCTATTATAGTATTTTCAGTAATAATTTCTTTATTCCTTGAATCCATGTATATTGAATTACATACATATATAAAGTTTTGCATACCAAACATTTAACCTAAATATACTTATTCATACTGAGAAGCATTCCTTTGTTAAGATTTTATAATTATATACAATTTTTATTACACTAAATTCTATCGTAATAAATAATTAAGAATACCAAAAATTATTTTTTTTTTATATTATATGCTTACTTATAATATATTAATTGCTTTTCTCAAATTTAATAGTATTAATAGTCAAATGGTTATTTAAGTTTGGCATCGCTAGTCGACTCTCATTTCGATCTAATTTTTCTACACATAGCCTCTTATTTTGAAAAAGCTGAAAAGAATAAACGTAATGTTATTGCTGCGCAGAATCTAAAAAACTCAGGCTGAATCTTTGATTCTTTTTATAAAATTAACTGTTTTTTTTTGTTTTTCCTTATCATGTATTTATTTGATCATGAATATAATGAAAAAAGAATTATTTCAATTTCTTTATAAAAATACGAAATCAATATTTCGTACGACTTTATTAATTTTTTTTATTTGTATATTTAAAATTAATTATATTTCTTTTTTCTGCAATTATATTTCAAATTGATTAAACCTTAAAAAATTTTCATTCATTTGCATATTGTTCTTTGTTTGCATGTATTAAAATTTTGATCATTTATAAAACAAATTATTAAATATTTAAAAATAATTTATTTAGACAACTAAAAATATAATTAGAATAATAAAATAATATTAAGCAATTACAAGAAACAAAAATGACATTCAAACATAATAATTAACTTTATAAAAATGTAGCTTGTTTGTAAAAATAAAAACTAATTTATTTATTGGAGTTTTAATTATCTATCTGCGATGTATTATGTATATATTTTATACAAAAATTTTATTTACTTCCATCAACTATTTTTAATACAAATGTTATATTTTTTTTAAATATAGCATAATTAAAAAACAATCAAAGCATACCTTCACCATGTCATTTATATTAAACTTTTTTCACTTATTGAATAGTATTACTTGAAAATATAAAAATATATTCAAATATTTATAAAGTAATATTTATTACATAAATAACTTAATACTTTTCAAATATATTGACTGTATTCATAAATTATATAATAGTTACTATTTATATTACAATTTTATATTACAATATAAAAATATTAACCATTATGATCAATATTTGAGAATATATATTTATGCAAAACGATTTATTTTTATAAAAATATAAGAGAAAACAGTTCAATCGTGTTTTCAATCGTGTATGTTATCTGCTTAAAAAGAAAGAAAATCAATCTAAAGGAGTTTGGAAAATAACAAAATTTCTAATATTTATAAGCTTTTAAACGTCCTGCAATTTTTCGTTAATTTTAAATATAACTTTTTTCAAATGTGTTACATATAAAAATTACTAAAGATATTTAATAATAATATCTAATGTATTTTATGATAATTCATTATATGAATAGTCATTTACATAAAATTGCCAATTCATTGTAACAAAATAAAATTTTCTATATATAATATATTGCCATATTGATTCTGTAATTTATATTTAAATACATTCAATTTTATGTTATATTATAATATCATAAATGATAACTATTATGTTATAGATGTTATTCCTATTATTATATAATATAATATAACTATTATTATACAAACGATCTAATTTAAAAAATTCCAAATCAAAATTTATGGACTGATTTATGCAATAAATACAAAATAAAATTTATTAAAATCGTAATACTATGTTAAATAATAAAAATATGTACGCAAAGTGAAAATTGTAAATTTATAGAAATGAAATATTTAAAATTTAAATAATAAATATACATTTATGAAAATTATCTTAGGAAGTGATAATCAAAACATTTAATGAAGTATACTAATCTAAATATATCTATATTTATGTAAATCGTACAAATATAGTTCCAAATATATAAAAACAAATTCTTTCGTTTAATTTAAAAATACATTAAATATAAAATAATTATCTATGAGATAAAGAATTATTATGAATATTTTAATTTTACTTTCAATATAAAATTTCAAAATAATTAATATATTCATAAAATTGGATAGTGGCTAATAATTACAATTCATAATATAGAAAGATAACAAATAATAACATCGATGCATTATCAAATAACGAACATTAATTTAGTTATTGAAGATTTACACCGACCATTATAACATAATAAAAAAATTCAATAACAATTAACATATATATTTTTGAAAGCTTTAAACAATTTTACTATATAGAATTCCTTAATTAAAAAAATATATGTGATAATTTACTTATTTAATGCATTGATAAAATATATACATTATAAATATTATATCAATCAATCTGAGCTTTTCTAACATTTACAAGAAATGATTTATGATGGCATAATATAGATTATATTGAGAAATTTGAGAAATACGTATAATTAAATACGTCAAAAATAAAAAATACTTTTAATCTATTAATAAATTTTAAAAAATTACCAAGTTTTAGGAAATGGAAGAAATTTAAAAAACTGATTTTTTCAAATACTGACACAAGCACAAAAATAAAACTAGTTTTATAAGAATAAAATAATATATTATAATACATAGTTATATATAATAATATATAATATTAATTAAATTACAAAACAATGTACTACAAAAATCTTTTTTAATAATAATCAAATAATGGTTATTATTAATAAACAATAAATAACTTGGATGAAAAATATATGAATTTTTTTTTAATAAAAAAAAGAATAAATAAAAGATATAAGAAAAAGCTATGACATGATATTCTATGATAAATGATATAGGAAATAATATAATTTTAATTCAAATGACGATTTAACTAAAATAAATTGTAGAACTTTATGAAACAATTATATAAAAATAAGCTCAAAATTCCAAAAGATGTGTTTAATACATTTCAAAGATATGTATTACATTACAACATGCATAATATGTAATAGATATTAAAATAATTTATAATCAAAGTTTCATTGATCAAAATCATTAAAAATATTTTTACAAATTGTATTATGGAAATACATTTATAAACATTTATTATGATCATATTTTATAAATAATGATGATGCAAATACAATTAGTTACTATATAATTACAAAATAATTTTTCATAAATAGAACTATATTTCAATTAACCGATTATAAAAATCAAACGGTTATAACTACTTATCAAATGATAAAAAAGTTTTGCCTGTCAAAATTTTAATAAAAATTGGTACAATAAAAAGTACAATTGTACGTTTTAATTAATTGATATTTATAATATATTGATATTTATTATATAAGTCTATTATTGTATTACTTTATCTTCTTTCGTTCATCTACAATACATATTTCCTTTAGGTAATAATTATGAAAAAAGATGATCTAAAAACTTTAACTATAGAAATATAAGTCTGCACTTCTTGAAGTATAACTATTATATAGGAATTAAAAAAATAATAATCTGCAGTTTAATTATAAAATAATATCAATAAATTAATTACATAGAATGCTCAGATACTTCAGAGTGAACATATATAGAATGTATCTATATAAGACCTATATAAGATTGTTCAAACAATCTCAAATTGACTCAATTGTAAATTCTAAAATTTCAAAGAAACTGATAGTATATAATTATAAATAGGTCCTATAATAACCTTTTGATAGACAGATTAACCAAGTAAATAATTTCAATAACATTTATTATATAAATTTTAAATTAAAGGAAAATTTTGAATTTCTTCAGTAACCTATTGTCCTAATACTAAAAAATCTCAATAAATGAAAAAATAGATAAATAAACTAAATAATATAAAACATAAATAATATAAAATATAATTTCACAATATTAATAAAAATTAATGCAAAGGAATATGTTTAATATTAAAAAGTAGTAGCTGTATAAAATATAAAAAATATTAAATTGACGTAATTTAATAATGTTAAATTAATTTTGCAACTATTTGCTAATGTTTTGATTCTTCCTTTATAGTCTAAGTTTTTTTAATTTTTAATTCTATCATTTTTTAACGTACCTCTATCTAAATTATGAATTTGACCACGTTTGAAATAAATAATGTAACATGTTTAAAAAGGACGATCACAAAGGGGACAAAACTATACATAAAATAACTTATTTTTTATTTAGTACAAGTATATTTCTTTGGTATGAACTCTAAATTATAGACGATAGTTATAACTAACTAACGCTATAAAACTAAGAAGACATTTATATCCAATTAATGGGCGATGTAAATTATTTATATCTAATTCATAGTTAAATATGAACATAAATATAATTTATTAAATGAAGAAATATAACATCAAATTTAACAAATATACATAAATTATTATTATGTGGTTACAATGTATATATTAGAAGTAATAAATTAGTATTAAGTACTCATTTTACATTCATTTGTACACCAATTGCTTATGATACAGTTTGCACAAGAAATGAGATGATAGAAAGGCTCTATCAACAATGCCAAAAAATAAAAGATGGGAATCGCTTATTGTTTCGTTTACATTTTTTATGGACTTCGTAATTTTGCTAATATTTGTAGCAATATCGTTATTAAGGTGGAAGCATTTATTTTATTCTTTATGAGTGATCACGATTATAAATATATTATTATTGTTAATTTTTTAAAATTATTTTAGGTGAAAATTAAACTTTTATATGTATATATAAGTATAAATATATACAGTTACTATTTATCTTCATTATTTTATTATCTTCAAAAATTTTTATTCAAACAAAACGTTAAAAAAATTAATAAAATATTTTAATAAATTTTAATATACTTTTTTTTTGTATTGCAAAAGATAACCATCTGAAGCATACTTTTACAATATTCTTGATAATGACGAATAAATTAATTTATGAATAAAAATATAATTAATAAAGTAAGACATTGAATTTTGGAATTCTATAATAATATATAGTAAATAATATTAATATAACAATGAGATATTGTTTATTAAATTAATTACTCTATAATAATTATTGTTATAATACAAATTTTCATTATAAATAACGGTAAAAATATTATAAATAATTGAACACTAGTGATTATTTTCTATTCTTTTTTAATTTATATAAAATAGAATTAGCACTAATTTTTATTATTGTAAAGTTTGTTTTTCTAACCATTGTATACACTTTAAATACTATTAAATATGTCAACTATTACATAAAATCTTATGAATTTATTTTATATTTATGCGAATAATTTATTGAACTCTATTCATTTTTTAATTATATTCTAAATTTTGAAGACACGTTTTTCTTTACTTAATATACATGAAAAATTTGTTTAGAACTAATAGAAAAAACAAATTAAATAATTCAAAATAGAACTATGAATTCGAAAGAATAAATAGTTTATCTTTATTATTTTACTATAATCTAAAATTGATAATTATTTTGATGTTAGTTTTTATTAAAAAAAATTTCTAATTAGATTTTACAGAAATAAATTTTGTTCAATTAATGCCTATTTTAACAAGTGATTTAATTAAAAAATAAATACCATATTATAAATTGAAAATAAAATTTTTATTACTATAAAAAATTTATATTCATTGATTATATATCCATTACATCGCCCACATAACCTTCATCAGGACTTTCTGTGTGCTCACGCACTTCTAGGGTCTCTGGAACCCCAATTAATGGTATTACTTTGTTTGGACTATCGATAAGTGCTAGGTTCTTAATTGTTCTAACGTTTGTTTCGACTGTCGGTTGGAGCATTGAGTAAGGTGATAGCATTATTGAACTATTATAATTCTCTGTAAATCGTGAGCGTATAAGTGGCATTGGAATTGTGTGTGTGTCATTCATTTCGATGACTGAATTATTTGTATAAGTATGAGCATATGCTATAAGCTCAACTTCATGCGCAAAATGCGTTCCACGATGAGTCGTTCGTACATGAGTCACGTCTGAACCTAATTTTGGTAACCCAAAATTTAAAGGATATCCATCACAATCTAAATAGCTACAAACTGGCTCAGAATAAAGTTGATAAGGTCGTTGATAATTAAATTCAAAATATTTATCATTTCTTAGCTCATGAATTATATCCGGACCTATTAAACTTTTTTGCGGCAAGTGTTCAATTTTACGGCATACTATTTCAACTTGGTCAGACGTATTTTGCAAACATGTATCATTTGATTTTGAATTAGTATTCATAGTATAGGTACAATTATGTACGCTATGTATTTTACTCGGTGATTTATTAGATTTTTTTTTAAAAATAGATAAAGAAGTAACAGTTCTAATGGAAAAAACTTTTGAATTATTTTTTGAATACGTTCGCAAATTTTGGGCATATAAAAAAATTCCTAGAAAAAGACAACCTAATGCTAATAGACTGCCCAGTAGAGCACTTGTAGTTATGGCAGCAACATATCCAGTTTTAAAATCTTCAATTGAGGGATCTATTGTATTGTGCTCACTGTGTAAGACAAAGAGTGTCAAATTATCCGAAGCTATACCTGCCGCATTCTCTGCTTGGCAAACAAAGTTACCTTCGTCTAATTCTTTAACATCTAAAATGTTTAAACTAGTAATTATCTTTCCACTCTTACTGTACTGGCTGTAGGTATATCTGAAACATAAACTAATATATATTTCTATATATACACTATATTATATTATTAATAATTTATTAAAATAAAACTTATAATTAAGTTGATGATATTATATATTTATATATATAGTTTATTCATCCTATTTTTAGAAATAAATATATATATATATATATATATATATATATATATATATAGTATATATTATAATTATATTTGTTTTTTCTGATAGACATAAATAAATAAAAAATTAATAGTGCATTACATACTAAATTTAAAGAAATTAACAAATCTGTGGGAATAGATATAGCGGAAGCATTAACATAATAAAGTAATACAGAACTTTGACATACATCGCATCAAAACAGATAGATGACAAGCTTTAATATAAAAATTTAAATAATTAAATAATTCTGAATAATTGTTATTTATTATAATTTATAAACAATATCGGACAAATTAAAGATACTAAATTCCACCATAACACTCAGAAATAAAGTTTTTAAAAATTGAGGTTATTTTTAAAATAATCGAATAACGAAGGTGATAAAAATTCAAGATAGAATTATGAGAATTATATTCTAGATTAGATTGAGTATTGGTGGATAAATATGAATAATAATAAAACTTTGACTGAAAATTTTATTTGCAAAAAAATAATATTAGAATATGATATTGGAATAAATAATATAGTTATATAAATAATTAAATTCATATTTTATCTAAGTTAATTGACATATTGATTAGAATATTTCAAGCATAAAATTTTAGACAATATTAAATAACAAAAGATACTATCCTACCTATCTACAATTTTAATTGTAAAACATATATTATCTTATATTATTAAATCTTCAAGTTACATAATTTATATAATAGCTTTGCCAATGAAAATCAATGTATAATCGTATGATTCAATAAAATTTAAAAACAGTTAAATTAAAAAAAAACGTTTTTAATAAAAATAAAGGTAATAAAAAATAAAGGAAAAATCCCTTGTGATAAGCAAGAAATTATGATTGAAATTTCATTTAAAATGGAAATGAAAAATAAGGATTGTACTATTATAGACACAGCTATAAAGAAATAGCTAATCAAAGTTATAGAAATATTTTAAAACATTTTACTGATATCTTTGTATGCGTATTTCCTAATAATAAATACATCATTGAATATATTCTTTGTAGTATGTCAATATTTTTCAACTGAAATAAATATTGTATTTTTCTTACTGCTGAATAAATTATAGCACGTTCTTATCTTGAACTGAACAATTGTTAATACTTAATTATAGTTTATTACTGTCTTATTTTTATATATAACATTAACATCCTTTATAAATTATATAATTTATTTAACATTTTTTTCAGCGTTTCAAAATCTAAAAATAGTATAGTAAGTATATCATAAATATACCTAAGTATATTTTTAAATAAAGATTACAATACTATTTTATGATATTAAAAATAGAAAATAATTATAACCAAAAAATAAATTTGAATCATGGGAGAGAGAGTTAAATAATATTTTTATTTCAATTGTCAAAGTTAATCGATAATAAGTACCTTCAATCAATTGTACATAATTAATATTAATAAAAATCAACATGATAAATTAAATAAAAGTTTATATCTATAGTTTTCTTTGTTTTTATAAAATATAAATTTTTAATAAATTGTTCACTTATTAATAAATATATTGTTAAATATTTTTATTTGAAATTGTTATCTTCAGAATTTTATGCAGATAATATATAATAAGAATTAATGAATATAATAAATATATAATAAGTTATTATTGAAAAATAATACATTTTTTATAATATATATAATTACGATAATATAATAAATTTATCTTTATAACGATTTTTATTAATATACAATAAAACATCATTTATAAAATAAAATCAATATTAATTTTAATACTTTATTAATATTCCACACAACATTTAAATCAAAGTAAATAAACAATGAAATAAAAATCTTATTTATAAATTTTTTTCCTTAAGAAAAAAAATCTGATAAAAAGAATTTTATAAGAAGTAAAGTATTTAATACATACTGGAATGCGAAATATTAAGTACTTCGAAACCTTTAATCTTTGTTAGAATATGAATTAATTAATAAAATATTTTCATTTTTAACTGTTAAAAAGATTTTTTTTAATGCAACAATATCTTTATGTGTTTCCTAAAAAGTTTTTGAATTATCATAATTTATATTATATGTGTTATATTATGTTTTTATTTTTAACTATTAAAAATATATTTAATGTTTAAATAGATTAGATTGTTTTAAACAACAATCATCAAAATATAATTATCTTCCTAATGGAACAAATTTACAAAAAAAATTATGTTTAATTATAAAGTACACACCTGAATTTTTCTTCTTTTATTGCACTATTCTCAAGATTAAGTTGTTTGCCATTTAATAACCATATAATTGCAGGTTGTGGCACAGCCTGTACTTCACAATTTAGAGTCACATTTTCTCCTTCATAAATATTTAAGTAATCAATGAGTTTCACCCTTGGAATACAAGCTAAGTCTTGGATTTTCAGTGTTCGCACCGACCGCTTCATCAGCGTTAGTGGTTCTGCACAACTCGGTTCCATTTCTTGTGATGTTTGAATCTGGGAAGCCATTAGCCAGTCGCGTAATGTGCTTAGTAAACAATCGCATCGCCAGGGATTTCCATGCATAGATAAATCGTGTAAGCTGGCTGATAATGGAAGTACATTTTCTGGTACGCTTGTCAGAAGATTATCATTTAACCGTAGCCATTCGAGTTTATGTAAATTTGCAAAAACTCCAGATTCAATTTGCGAGAGCTGGCAATGACTTAAATCGAGAAAACTTAATTGACTTAAATGAATGAAATTATTGTGTTGTAATACTTTCAGAGGATTACCTGATAAGTTTAATCGCATAAGATTACCTATTGAAATAAATGCTTCTGAAGGTACTCGATCAAGTTCGTTTTCTGAGAGTTCAAGTTCTACTAAACCTTGTAAACCCGTAAAGGCACGAGCTGACACATATTGAATATGTGATCGACCAAGATAAAGTTTTTGTAAATTGAACAACCGTAAGATAAAGAAACAATCAGATGAAAGGTTGAGCAACTGGTTACCTGATAGATCAAAGACTTGTGTCTCCTCACGCGCACCTTGTGGCAGACCTTGAAACCCACGAGATGCGCACTCAACCCATTCCTTACCAGCTTTCCACTTACAGATGCATAAATTAGGACAGCTTGCAGCTGTATGCATTAACAGTAAGTAAATCCATAATAATATACACATTTTGAAACTGATGCAAAAAGTCCTTACAAGTCAACATCAATGTTCTTTGGGCACTCGCAATCTGTACGACTCTACAAGTACTTATCGATTTTCTCTTCAAACTAACTAGGATTTCGGAGTTCGATACATATGCGCACGCACATAGAATTTGTATATATTTAATGTTATAAACGTCTAGTAAAGTAAATATAGAAAACTAATGCCTTGCAAAACTAATGTATATGCAAATATATTAATAACTGTGTGACTTTGATGTTCATAAAACTACGTAATTGAAAAATTGACAAATATTCATTACTAAAAAATATACAAACCATTTAAAAACAAAAAAATAAATAAAATCAAATTTTTTATAGAACAATTTTTTCAATTTTTACTTTACAAACAGTTATATCAGTAAATAAAACCAAATATTTATTGAAAACGAGCATAGAATTTTATTAGTTAATATGCTGTGTATATAGAACAAAAATCATAAAATCTATATTGCATAAGAATAAAAATCTTTATTTTTTAAATTTACTTGTGCGTATAAACAGTAAATATAGTTATATATTCATGTAATTTAATAAAATTTTGAAAAAATTTAACAAATTCTTTTTAAATAATTTGCTTATTTCATTATATATATCATATTTTATTTAATTTATATATATTATTTAATTATATATTTTTTTATAATCTAAAATCGTAATTTTTAAAAATAATTTAACATAAAATCATAGAAATACAAAAATATAAAACATTTGAAAATAAAAATATTAAGACAATTAAAGATATATTTGAATAAATAAAATTTGATAAATGTTGAATGCACTTTTTTTTAATATTTTTTTTTACATCATAAACCTAAAAAACTGTAAACAGTTTGCACTCGATATAGGACTTGTCATCGAATCTCGTAAATCAAGAAAGGAAAGAACTCTTCGTCTTCTGCACTCATTGTTGCAATATGTCCTTCAATTATAAATTCATAAATAAATTCATAAATATATGGTCCGCTAATACAAAAATATATATGTAGTTCTCTTTTGAAGAGAGATAGTTTTCTCCATTACTTTTGTAAGATCACGTTTTATCAAAATTTCATTTATGAAATGTCAACTCTAGAATAATTGATTGTAAAATCATCGTTATAAAATGCTCTCCATTTGATTTCAAATAATATTTTAAGTTATATGTGGTCGCGGTATTGAATTATCGATTTTCGAAGTATTGTATTAAAAGTTTATTACTAATTATGAAATAGCTTCAGAAAAGTGCAGAAAGTAAACCTAATAAAAAATATTTATTTTTACATTAGACTCAACATTTTCTTTATTACCTATAATTAAAAATGAATACATAATGGTGAAATTTAATTTTAATAAAATATAATTTGTATTCAAATGGCGATAGCTTATAGATTAAACACAATTATTTAGTTCTATATTTTATTTGTACCTAAAAAACATTTCTATAATAACTTATTAAAATTTTTAAAAATTTAAACAAATATTTTAATAAATTTCTTTAAAAATTTTACTTGTTTCAGAACATAAAAAAATATGGTATAACCTTAATAAATTTTGAATATATATACTAACATAAAATTAGCACTATTGACATATGTAAAAAAATGTGGATATAAGATCAATAAATATTTCCATCACTGAAATTGTATTAATAATGAAAAAGCTTTTTTCAATATGAATTAATACATTTTTTTAAATAAAATATAATTGAAGTTAAACAAATAATATAAACTTTTGTAATTTATTTAATCATCATTTAACTCATATTTAATATTTTCATTACTTTAATCAGGAAGCTTCAAATAATAAATTTCATTGTAATTTAATTTTTTTTATTTTGTATGATATATTGTAGCTGCTACCTTTATTTATTGATAATTAATTTATTAGTAAAGTCTAGTTTGTATTTTAATATTTCATTATTTTCGATACTAACTTAAGCTTTGTAATAATTTTTAAATATTGTAGAGTTGATTCGATGTAATCAAAAGTACCTTTTAATCTATTATGATAAATCACTATATGATTAATGATTAATTTTTTTTTTTTATTAAAATTAAAGTTATAAATTTAATTTACATTTTGTTTACACGTATATATGAATATATTCATGATAAAAAAATTATTCCATCGTGTAATTACTAATTTTAAAAATTCTATTTCAAACTTTAATTTTATAAAGAATTTTCAAAACTTTTATTCATTATATTTTTGAATTAAAATAATTACGATATAAATTTTATATTACTAAAACAAAAAATTTCCTTTGATTTTAATTATAAAAACACAAAAGAACTTCTTACATAAATTTTTAAATAAAATCTCGTAACTAATTGTAAATTAAAAAGAATAATGCGATATTAATTTAAAAAAGAATAAATCTTTTATACTTTAAAACTTGATACATAAATAGTTTTATATAAGTGATATCTAAAATATAATAAACGTATTTTAAAAACATAATCAAGGTTGTTAATAAAATCAAATAATAAAAAATTAAGTTAAAAAATAGATTGAGAAGTTTTTCCTTTATTTTGATTAATTTTTGTACTTATTCTAATTGTTTTAATTATGAATTACATATTTTGCTTATTTAATTCAACCAATATCTAAATGTATATATTTGTATATATATATAATACATCTAGAAATGTATATAATAGTTTAATGCTGAGCTAATTTATAATTGAGCAATAAAACATAATTAAAATATATTTACTCATAAATTTGGTTTTAATACTTCGTAAAGTAGTAAATACATGTCATAGAGTAAGATTTCATAAGTGTTTTCATCATTTGTTTTTTAAACTATTTTTTTAACCGTGTCATATGAATAATTCAATAAGTATTTTATAATAAAAATTTATGTTCACAAAACAATGTTAATCATTTATTACATGATATAGTTTATAAAAATAATATGTATATTGATCTTATATTAAAATATAATAAAATTCAACGTATGCTATTTTAAAATAGTATAAATATGGCCATTTATCTGGATACAAAAGATACATTATTAAAAGAAACATGTAAAATTAATTAATTTGTTAAAAGTAACTTATGTAAAGCATATGTAACATAATATATGTAAAACAGAATCGCTAGTTTTCACAGTATCTTCATTATTTACACCACAATTATAATTTTTGTAAGCGACTCCAAAAATTAAGTCTGTTACACATATTAATATTAATTACCCTTATTTATTGTCATAAGTCATCGTTGCTTTAAAGGGTTTTCATTATCTGTCAATTGAGATTGATTATCATTTTCTTGCTGTTGATGATCAATATTCTCTTCTTTTTGATGATCATGCTTATTATGCTCTTCCAGAGTACTTTCAAGTTCATAAATATATTGAATAACGCGCTGAATAACCTCAAGCTTAGAAAGTTTTCGCTTGCGTGGCATATGTGGAACAAGATCGCGTAGCTTACCAAAGTAGGCGGCAACTCCTTCAGCTTCGAGGTTTTTCCGACCTCTAGTAATGAAAACTCTCCTCGTTGTAGATGACACTCGTCTTCCAACGGGACTTGCTACCATCGCCTTCATGATTTGTAAATTGATCTGTATCCTGATGCTCTTCTTACTTTGTCACACTTTTTACTGCTTTATATTTATCTATATTTTTTTCACATATATACATTAACTGATAAAAGAAATTTTCTAAATAAATTATTCTTCGAAATATTTTCGAGTACTATGTGATCTAGTATGTCGTCCTCACTCACCCTTGTAAAATATTTTACAATCAAGCTCTACTCTACTACCGACCAGTTTAGTGCTATTATATAGAATATATGTAAACGCCTAGAAAATTATACTATTATCTGTTAACAATTTTATTTCTTATGATTCTTAGATGAAACCATTAGTGTAGAATTAATCATATAATTTTTTTAATATTGTATTGTTTTACACAGTAAAAATTATAATAAAAACAACTATCTACCTTTGTTTTAAAAATACCAGCAATACTAAACTTTCCCACGCTCGAGACACATTCTTCTACTAACCAGAAACTCGTAATCATTCGGGTTTTCTCGGAGGTATTCGGTAGTGTTGGAAGAAAAGATGAGATTCGTACATGTCTCGTGACAGCTTTTCTGTTTAGAATAGTAATGTGTATACATATATCTTCAAATTATTCCTTAAACATGCACTATAATTTTCTATAAATACTGTACATCTAAATCGAAGTCATAATCATATACACATGCATATATATTTTTAATATTGTAATAGATTTTCTATAAAATTATTTTTTCATTTTTTTAGCCATTCTATAATTTTCTAATAAATATTTAACATAAATTACTACACATTTATAATATGAAATATGAAAAATATTTTAATACGCTAATTTACTAGTAATTTGAAATATCAAATTTTAATTTCTAATGTAAAAATCAAATATTATTTATAAATGGAATGATAATAAATTTGGTTACGATTATTTAGACAGTAATATATTTATTAAAAGTTTAACACTGTCATATAAACGAAATTACAATGTTTACTGTAATCTATTAATTGTTTTACTGGTAAATAATGGATCAACTGTTTATTGAATATATTTTCTCTACATATATATTTATTAAAACTCCAAAAATAATATTTTCTGTTTTTAAATTATAAGTAATAAATTAATTAACATTTTCATATAATTTGTGCTTTTTAAATAAAAATAAAGAATATTTTCTTTAATACATTACATAATATTTTGTAAAATTTATTTTAAAAATATTAAGTGTAAAAAAATTATTTATAAATTTATAACTTAAAACTGATAATCTGTACGTTCAATTTATATAATACATACTTAAGCTCCTTTTTCACACTCTTTACCTATCAGTTTGAATTTAGGTATAAACTCGCTTGTTATAAAATATTATTTTTAATACTTTTTTTTTAATCAGATTTTACAAGATAATAATATATATATATAAATAAATAAATAATAATATAATATACAATATATAAATTATAAATTTAGAAAAATAATTAGAAGTTATATAAAATTTATTAATTCAATTTAATGTATATTAATTAAAGTAGAATTGAAGTAAAAGTTCTAGTGGTATATAAAACTAAGAAACAACTACAATAATTATTTCTGTATTTAATCCAACTATTTGAACATATTTAAATTTAATAAAAATATTTATTAATACTAAGTATTTATGTTATCTAAATAAATTTTTATTTTAATAGACTACAGTTTAAATCTGATTTTAAAAAACTATTTTGGTAAATAAAGTTTAAACTGAAAATCTATAAATCCAACGTTCAAAAAGATGTATTCTTTTATATACAATCCTCTGGTATATATGACTTCTAAGCTATGTATTTGAAATTATAATATCATTGCATTTGATACTAATTTATGAACATTGATTATAAAATGAATTATTTGGAACTATTTCTATTTCATTCATGATCTAGAAATAATTTTCTTTACAAATTTTTTTTATGTATTCAAATGTAACTCTGCTTTACTAGCACTATTTTAGTATATATTTTTTGAAAATAATATTTTCAAAATTATTATTAATATTTATTCTGGGGGTATATTTTCAAAAAAGAATGTTTGTATTCGTTTTTATATTCTAACGATTTATGTTCAGACCATCATTACTTTACTTCACAATAAAATGTATTAGTTTCGAACATTATATAAAAAATATACTTTATTTCATCATGCGTAGTGACAAAAAATGTAATTATTTAAAAAGAAAAATAGATTTACATCAGTGTATGCATTAATATTTATTCTTATAATTTTAAATTTAACATACAAATTTTTTAAACCAAAATATGGTATTCTGCACAATAGATAACCAAACAGCTACATGTACATTAAACAAATTCATCTTAAAAATGCTATAATCAATAAAGTATGATAACATTTACGGTAATATTTTTCAAATATTTTTATTTGCTTTAATCAATTCAACCAGAATTTATTATGATATATATGATATATTTTCAAACACGTCCATAGTTACATTGCTAAATATATATTAATATTTATTAATAAACAAGAATTTTTAATAATTGAATTTTCACAAAAAAATTTTTAATTAAAAATTAAATTAAATTAAACATAAATTAAAGCATTGTTTTACTTTAATGTTGTGAAAATACTTTAAACATACGTTCGAGTTAACGTGATTAATTATGGTAGGTAAATAATAATATAAATACCTTAAGAAAAAGAGAGAATAAATTAAATGGATAAATATGATATATACAATTGACACATATAAATGTTATTCAAAAGATTATAAATTGATAAGAATAAATATTATGTAACATAATTAACTAAAATAAATAAGTTGGAATATAAAATTTGATAAAAAATATTCAAATTTATTTTTAATTTGCCTTTAAGTTAATTTTTTTTATTCATTTAATGACATGTCTTATTAATTATTTTATTAAATTTCATAAATAATTCTTTTATAAGAATAGTATTAAGGAATGATTTTATAAAAAATTATTATATTTAATGCTTTTATTATTTTTATTTCATTTTCAATTTTGCTGAATGTGTAAAATTAAGTTATATTTTTGTGTTACAATGATGTTAACTTTAATGAAAAAAATTTATTGATTATTTGACAAAAATGCTTTATATATTTATATATATATATATATAGATATTGATATTTTATATTTTATTGTCATTGGATAAATCTTTGTTTTAAAAATTAAAATTACTATAATGAAGATTAAGTAATAAATAAACGAAAAGATATTATTATAAGACATTATAAGCTTTCTTTATGAGTATGAAGGAAGAATTGTATATTATAATGGCATGGAGAGCTATCAAAATAAAAGCAAGACAAGAAAAGAAGGTGCATTGATTTGAGAAGCTTGAAAACTGGGATTACCGTTAAATACGTTTTCCGTAATCTAAAATCGTTAAATGATAAAAGAATCAGTATTAAATATAATCTTAATAGACCAAAATAATAATTACAATCAATTCACACCTTACTTAAATTTGATCGATTCTAAATATATAATATTTAAATAAGTAATAACATATGCTATTAGAAATATTGTTTTATTTTGAATACTGTTTATACTACATGCCAAGTTATGTATGAGTATTTTAAAGAAAATTTTGCACTTGATATTTATTTTATCAATGAAAATATTAAAAATAGTTTTTAAATTGAATTTATTTATTGTATATATTTTTAAAAGTATCTTAATTTTTACTTGTTATATTAAATTTTAATAGGTATCCGAACTATTTGGATATTTGCATTTTAATTTCAGTGATATACGAATAAATTTTTACCTTTTTAAAATGTTTTATAATTATACAAGGAAATCTTTAAACAAAATTTTTTATTTTGTTATAAACACTTTTAAATTACTTTTATAATAATTGGACAACTTACCCTTAAAATTGCTTATACTTACCAATTTTAAAATTAGAGTTTCAGAATAAATGGTAGATACAAATAGATGAACATATAAAATAAAAATAGAAAATAAAATATATAGTAGAATATAGAGAAGTCTGAAGTGTTCAAATTAAATTTATTAACTTTTAACTTAAAAAAAAAATATTTTATACAACATATCCGTTTCCATTTTTTAATACAAGTTAGAAATTCGTATAATAAACTATTAAATATATATAATTTTTGCAATATAATACAGATTGCAATAGTTTAATTTTAATTAAATTAAAGATATTAATAATCTGTAATGAAAATATAAAATAATTTTTTGATTAACTTCTAATTATTGACAAATGACAACATATTAAAATGCTATTTGATAGTCACATTACTTATTATTCATCATATTTTAACAATACAGATATATTTACTTTTAAATGTATGAAAATTAGTTCATATTTATAAAATTATATTAATATTAATATTGTATATGTACAATTTACTTTATTGATTGGGACAAATTCAATTAAATTTAATAATGAAAATCTATTTCTTTTATATATTTTTTTGTAGACATAATTTATGGTATACAATGAAATAAGTAATATTGCTGTAAAGGAAAATATGCAAATACAGTATAACGTATTTCATTAAAGAAGGATAGAAATCTATACTACAATATGTACCTTTTTTTTATAAAAACTAAAACTAAATATACACTATAGTCATGTACACTTTTTAATATTAAATTTTACTAAATTATGGAAATGTTCTAAAACTTACGAAAAAATATAACATTATTTATAATTTTTGGATAAATAAAAAAATTATCTTTTATATAATATCTTTATTTACTCATAATGTTAAAATGAAAATTTTAGTGTAACTGCTATAATAAAAAACTATTACATAATACAATTTTTTTTAAATTCTACAAAATATTAAATAACTATAATCATTTAATTTACCAGTTACTATTATTATATTTGTAATATTACATTAATTTTCAGCATTTTGTGTTCAGTGACTTTGAAAAATAATATAATTGCGTTTAGTATATAATTGACCTTTTTTATTTGGACAAATTTTGATTCATTAAAATTGGATGTATTTAATTAATATAAATGATAAATAACTAATAATGAAACATTTTAATAATCAATATTACCCAATGTTTCCAATATAGAAGTGTTTAGTTAATTCATATAATATTGTATTGATTTAAGTAAACTATCTTTATTAATATACTTGTTTTATTATAGATCTAGAATAAAAATAATATAAAACTTAAGGATTATTCAAACGAATATGCTTTATAAATTACAAAATTTCATTAATTTATATTATATTTATGTATTTCTGAATTATTTTAACTATAATTAATATTTTTTTAAATATTTTTTATTAAATGCATTTTAAAAATAAAAATTTCATTGAAGCAAATTTGTTAGTTTATTTTAAGTTTTACGCGTTTATATATTTAATTTAAAGCTTATAATTTTTATACCAAAATTTAAAAAATTGTAAATTATTATAAAAAATGTAGTCATCTAAATATTTTACAATTAAATTATCTAAAAAGTTTCATATTGGAAACACATAAATAACATAGATGTATTTGTAAATCTGACTTCATAAAATATATTTTTAGCATTTTTAGTTAAAGTAATTTTTTTTTAATGTTATAATATGAATCTATAAATGAATAGCTTAATATTATAAATAAATGAAAAACTATTTAATTGCATAAAATATTCCCTTTTTTTAAATGCCATTATTCAAGTCGTGTATTTGATAATCAATAAACACAAATAATATTGTTGACATTTACTTCTATACGTATTCGATTATATTAGTTCTGTTAATGTCTGATTTTTAAATAAACTGTGCAAAATTGTATCGAAGGTAAAATGAGCGCTTTCTCTCTTGAATTATGTATATACAATTCTATTTTGCTTTTTCGTTATGATTTTTCCAATTTCCTGTATCCATTCGTACTTTTTAAAACATAATTCACATGTAATATTCATTTTGAACAATATTTTTATGTATATGAATAATGCACACATACATACATATTTATGAATAAAATAAACAAAGAAAAATGTGCATAATAATAGCATCGAAGTTTCTTTCGAAATTTAATTGTTTACATTAAGTTATCAAAACTTTTTCTTTTTCTGGGCGCTCTTGAAAAATGTATAAAAATCAGATATTATTAGTAAATATCTTCGACGCTGAAAATATAAATATTAGGAAGTTGGTCACACGTTTATAACAGAAATTTGTATAAATCGAAAAATTTTACGTTATCGCGTGAAGTCTAAGGGCAAAATATTTCTAATTTGTGTGTCCAATTTGCGATCTCTGGTATTATTGAGATTTAATACCGTCTATCACGTGAGTCTGAACGAGAACGACGATCTCGACTGCGACTGCGTGTTAATGATCTCCTGCGTGGGCTGCGTGAACGTGATCTAAAATAATAAATAAAATTTTATTATACAGTTTTATTTAATTTTTAAATTTCTTGCCGTACCTGCCCTCTTTGTAAATAGTTCTTTGTTAAATATACATTTTAAGTAAAAATAATACAATTACTAAATTCCAACAAAAAGGGTAAGCCTATTTTATATATAAATATATTTTTAATTTATGACTAAGACAATATAATAAATAGAAGTTTGATAATATCCTATATTCCTAGAGGGTAAGGCTAGTTAGACACAGCATAATCAGGGGCAAAAATAATTTATTGACCAAATAAAATAAAAATTAATAATACAATAAACAAAGAACATTTATTTGAATGAAAATTATAATAATCAATTTTATTAAGTATTACCCTTCGAGCTAATAAAGTCATTGCAAGAAAATATAAAAGTATCGCATAATAAAATGGACTTTGTCAGCTTGAGGAGAAATATCAGAATATAATAAAATAAAAACCGTATTAAGCAATTAGTGGTACAAGTAGTATTAGTTGCAATAGTAGTAGCAATAGTGATAGCAATAAAAATAATAGTTACAAAATAACAGACAATAAGAAAAACTAAAATGTTTGTAAATCAGTGAAAAATACCAGGCAACTGTGAATGTAGTGGTTGGTGGTGGTGGTAGTTGGATGGGATGGTAGTTGGTGTATAACAGGTGGTGATTGCTTATTTGCTTTCCCGGAAGTTCGAAGACGAGATGTGGCGATCGGATGTCACAGCTCAAGTTAAATACGTGATGACTTTGTAGAGTGGTTGGAGAGCAGTGGTAGAAGTCAGGAGAGACGTTATTTCGACGGAAGAACTATCGAAGTATCGCGTTGATCGAAGAATTCCTATGATTGTTCCCTACATACTGTTATTTATCTTTTTTTGTTCATTTTTTCTCTTATTTTTTTCAAACTTTTTTCCGAGGGACTTGACTTCAGCGAAACGAGCGACTGCCAGACTTAGTGTTCAGTCGAGAACATTCAGTCTGTCGATCGTACGACTTTGGCTGCGCTATGCGGTGATGACGATTGACGAGTTCGACTGGTGGTGACTGATGGTGACTGGTTGGGAGACTGGTTAGTGGGCAGACAGGCAATATTTTGTTCGATTTTGATTGCTTTTTTCATGGTGGCTGTAGTAGTAGTGGTAGTAGAAGTAGCAGTAGTAGTAGTAGTGGCGGAGAGATGAGCAGAGCTACGACCTGACGGTGGTGTAATCTGCAAACGTCAGTGTTACCAATATAGCCATCAACCTTATTAACAAACCTCTGTCACTCATTACACTTATGCTCTCTACCATCCACTATTTCCCTACTCTATATTGTTACAGTATAACCTTAGTTTACTCTAAGATCTAACATGAATTCTGATTGTATAAATATATTATCGTTTCTACGATAATTAGAATGCTAGAATACGAATAAAAAATGTTAATTTGTATTTCATTAATTTATTGAAATTGTTATAATTATTCTTTGTTACAACTCAAAATATTAAATAAAATTTTCAGAGTACTTTAAGACTATACTGATATTTAAAGCTACTCATTCGCCACCTATTTTAATAAATAAGTTATAGTAGTTTTCTTAACTAAGATGAATACATATTGCATAATTGAATAGTACAAAAGAAGTAGCATAGATAAAACTAGTTTACATTTATTTAGCATAATTTTAGTCGTAAAAGTAACTAATAAATTTTTGGTAATTATACTTACGTGACTTACAATTCATCAACAGATTTTTAAAATGTTGAATATATACAAGATTTACTTAATTATTTACATTCGTTGTATTGATAATAATAATCGAATGAATACTTACTTATTGATATTGACAGTTATTTGATCAAAAGCTAGATATAAATATAAGCATTTTTAACGAATAATTAGTATTAACAAACCTTTTATTGAGTAATTGTATTACTGAATCAATTTGCCTCTGAAAAGACTAATAATTAATTTCTGATTGAAACGCTATCATACCTTCCATATCGGCCTATTGATTTCTTGCGAGGACTGCGTGATCGGGATCTACAAATTTGCCATAGAGAAAAAATACATCGTATATATTCTAATGGCTTATAAATTAAAAGAGGTTTATATTAATTCAATAAGTTTATAATTTTAAATTTATTTAAGTTATAAGTTTTTATAGAAGACCAATAGTTTACAAAACAAACAATGGAACCTATTCGATAATTATTTTTCACTTGATAAAAATAAAAATTTTTTAACTTTCAGTATGTATAGATTCCTTAATGAATAACAATTAATTCGATAATCGATAATTATGATTATTAAAATATTTTTAAAATTATTAAGAGGTTAACATATATTTAATAATATAACCGCAAATCAATATACTCTGTCAATTCTTTAATCTGTACGGTGTATATATTTAGATTTAGTTTATGTATGAAGAAAAACATGTATTTGAGATCATTTCCTTGAAATATTGAAGTTCTTTCATCGATTTAAATAAAAACTTCGAATTTACATAATAAAAAATGTTTTAGTTTTAAGAAATTCTTATTAATAATTAATATTTAAGTTTAATTATATTTAATTTATTTAATTCAATTAATTTAAGTTCAATTGTAATCAAGATTACATTTTAAACTAAAAATTAAAAGGAAAATAATAACTTTTACGTATGTTACGATAAAGTAACGACGGTAATTAGTAAACCTTATATATATATTTAAAAAATTATACTCTGATAGTTATTTAAAAATAAACTAATTTTCTAATAGCAGAAAACTTTAAAATGGTATTGATATTTTTAAAACTTAAAAAAAATTGACTTTCTAAATAAAGATTTATACACTGTTACGGAATAATATTCTGTATACATTACTTACTGAATGGAAATTTATAATATAAAATTTTTCATTAATTCTATGTAAAAATGATTTACTAAATTTGCGTTTTTTGATGATTTTATTTCTTTATAATACAAATTTATAATAGTCGCTTAATTTTTTTTTTATAAATGTAATATAGGATCGCTAATGTTTTTAATTAGGATTAAAGCATATGTTTTAATTTACAATTAATGTAAATTTGAACATAATTACTTGGTGTCATTCAAATTTTGATAATAGTACACAGCCTAATACAAATGTATAAGTGTAATGAAAATCAAAATTTCAATAATTTGGATAGAACGATTAAGCTGATTTACTATTAAATTTGTATTATTAAATATCAGATCATTTATACATTGTTTTAAAAATAAATAAAATCTTAAGTATTCTTTTATTAAAAATATGTTAAACTAAAACAATTAACTGAACCATAACATTTACCCAGTAATCCAGAAAATTTTAAAAATGTATGATTTTTGTTAGCTAAATAAAATTTTAATTGCATTTTTGTTAAATATTATAATTAGTATGAAAATTCCCAGATTTTTTATTTGTAAATGAAATTGCGAAAAATATTCTATGTGTGTGTATCTGTTTTCTAATCAACTGTAACTGATTTAAAAGCAAATATTTTAACTAAAATATTATAATTTGTATAAATTTGAATTTTTTAAAAAATATTTATTTTCACTGAATTTCATATTATGCTGACTCAAAAACTGTTATAAAATTAAATTTATTTTCTGCTTAATAAAAGTATTTATATTCAATTTATAAATACATTTATTTTTGTTGGAAATAAAATATTTATCATAAATATTTATCATAAATATTTACATAAATTTTGTACATTAATTTTAATTTTATGAAATTGTATATCTGTAAAATATCTACATTAACAAATATCTAAGAATGCCTACATATTTTTTATACGTACTTGCCATCTGCTTTCTGTACCAATTCTATTAACTACTAAGATTATATATATATATATATATATATATATATATATAGAGAGAGAGAGAGAGAGAGAGTGAATAAAAAAAGATCATATCCTACCTTGAATATCTTGAAGCACGTCTACGTCCTCCTCCACCACGACGACTTCTACCTGATGACATTTCCACTCTAACTCTAGTTCCACAGCAATGACTAATGAAAAAAAAAAAAAATATATATAATTATTTATGTAATCACATCTGCGTTTGATACATGAGTACATGTGTTTATTCAATGGCATTATGAACAGTCAGCATTTTATGTTATAATTGACTTAAAAATGACAATGATTCGTTTCTTTTTTAATCTTTCTAAATTATGGGATATTATCGGGAGTTTTAAAAACAAAGTTCAACATCTTTTACATATTCTCTATAAAGATTTAGTAGGACACTATAACAAATTATTACATATTTAAAAATGCAAAATATTGATAATTAAATAATTTCAGTATTTGTAGAGATAAGTTTATTATTTCACAGAGTGTTTTTTGATATCATTAAACTCAATTCAAACATATAAATACTTATTAATTTTGAATCATTTATTGTTTTGAGAATTTTTTTTAGATAAGAAAACTAATAAAATAAAAATAATGACAAAAATTGTAATAAGATCAAATTATAAATGTTTTATCAGTGCAATGCAAAATTAAGTTTTATCATTATTTCCTTGACAGTTCCTTAATTTCAATATAAATAAAAAATTTATTTTTAAGTTATTACTTAGATATTATAAGTTTCTTGATATTTTTTATAAACAATAATTTTGAATTTGAATTAGACCAATTTATTAAAATAAAAATCCATCATAAATATTTTATCATTAGTTATGAAAATATTATAAGATTTCACTAACAAAGGATGTACATTGAAATTCTATTATCATAAAACAATTTCTGAGTACCATTTTGTTCTAGGTGATTATTATTTTACAACTTTAAATAATAATCATGTGTTTTTTTAACACTACTTTTACAATGATATGCTGCTATACTAGTTTTTCATAAGTTATAGACATTTATACATTTAGTTCTAAACATTTACTTATTGTTATGTTACACTGTTGTCCAATATACATCAATTGATGTATATTGGAATATAAACAAAACACAACAAAATAATTTTTTGGATTCAAATTTTTTTTTTAAATTATAAACATTTATCTTGTAATTTCTTAAAATGGGAATATTCAAATATATATCTAGATGTAAATTTAAATAATATTTAGAATATGTATTAAACATAGTACAAAACTTTTTTTTTAATTAATTAGGTATTCTAAAACTTCTTAAGTAAGCAACAAATATAATTGTAACAGTATTTTTGTTATATATATATATATATATATATATATATATATATATATATAACAAATTTATATTTATATAACAGTTTAATACATTTTTTATTTAAATATATTAAATTTTAATATCATCAATATTTATTTAACATAATAAAAATTCAGTCAATTCTATTCAATAATAGATATAAGTAAATAATTAAATATATAGATATAGAATTATCTTTATCTTTATCTTAAATATGGATACTTGAGATTGTAGAGCATTTGTTTCCAAATTATATGTAAATCAACATGAAAAACAAATAATTTTAAGCTAATATACTTTGAATTTTAATAGCATTTAAAATTCTATCAAGAACTATAAAGGATTTTGCAATTTTCAAAATGTTATTAAAACGATTTCTATCATTTTATTTATATTTATACGTATTTATTATTCCTAAATGTATTTATTATAAATAATGTTTTTCTCACTATATAAAAGAATATATAATAAATGAATATTTACATTGCATGTAATGTTAAATCATATCTTATAAATGCATTTTATAATTTTACATTGAAATTTTTATTTCAAAATTCTATTAGTTGAATACCTTTTAATATAATAAATATAAAAATAAGCAAAAATAAAAATATTTCAAAAATTTTTTCTTTAAAAAATTAAATTTAAGTGAATTTAACTTACAATTGTAATAAATTAGTTGATTTGGAAAATTGTTTTCTGATAGTATTATATTTTCTTACAATATTTAATTTGAAATATATTATTCTTCAAGATTATTAATAAATTCTAAATATTATCAATTTAGTTATATCTTATTTTATAAATCCTACATTAGTATATCGATTATTTCAATTTTCTTACAAATATTAAAGATATGTTGCTAAATAATTTGTTCCAATCAATGAAAGGGACCATTATATTTCAATTTAAAAATAAATTGTATTAAATAAGCATTGAGTGCTTTTATCCGAAATTGTATTTCAGAGTAATTATCACATATTTTTCTGATTATATCATATTCCGATATTTTTAAAATGATAGAAATTGCCCTTAATCATATAAAGCAGTACATTAATAATTTTACTGTAAAATCATATAAATTTATTTTTATATAAATTGTAAACATTAAGTACAATGTATGCTTATAGCATGGATATAATTTATTGCTCCATTTTACTAAATAACAGCTTATTTTAAATACTTACGTTCCATCAAGTCCCCTTACAGCATCTTCAGCATCTCTAGGATCTTCAAATTCAACAAACGCAAATCCTGGGGGATTTCGAGCAACCCAAACATTCCGTAAAGGTCCATATTTACTGAATGCACTTTCAATTTCATGCTTGCTTGCGCTACTACCTAAATTACCAACATAAACTTTGCAAGAGAGATCCCATTCTCTGTAACGTGATGACATTTTATAAATCTATAAATATAAAAATAATATAGTTGTTTAAATGAAGTCCAATTAATAATATAAAACATAATAAAAACCAATATTAAATATAATGTTATATACAATAAAAATATATATAGCAGTCTATAGGTATGAATACTTTGTACTGATAATGGTATTTGGTGGAATTCATTAATACAATATCATTCGTCATAATTTGTATGTAATTATTATTACACTTATAACAGTCCTTTCTAATTATACAAATTTCTATAATCGTCAGTAGTTTGTTCAAAATATTATTTAAATAAATATTAATTATACAATATTTATATTATACAGTAATGTATTAGTTTTTAATTCTAATTAGAATGCTAATATTTTATAAATGTTTTGTTCTTTATACATAATCTGAACATATACCAAGTTTAAACAATTTCTACTTTTTTTATTTAATACAAATTACATTTTTTTCTAAAATGTTTTTAATTATATTAAATATATAATAAATTATTCTTTTAATGGTTTAAATAAAAGATAATTGATTTAAAACTAATTTATAATCTAAGTGAATGTAATAATTATTTTCAATAGATGTATATTTTTTTAAAAAAGTAGTTTAAAAATCACATGGTACAATCTTTATTCATTAGTATTGAATAAATGAAAATTATAATTATTAATCTATCACATTCAGAAAAAAATCATTAAGTAAAATATTCATTGGAATCAATACGCATAAAATAATTTATCTATTTATTATAACTATAAATATATATTTAGACATATATATATATATAATTAATAAATAAAAAAATATAATTTCTATAAAACATTTAATTATGAAAATGATGAATACAAGATTTGATAATATAAAAGTCATTTAAACTTGTAAGTAAGCTATTTCTTCATATAAAAATATTTATAATTATAAATTTTTTATTTGAACTGCATTGATAATTATTGATGTTCATGTATTACAAGTATTTATATTAAAATTTTCACACTACCGATTTAAAAAAATATATAAAATCATTGAACATTTTTATACTTATTTATAAATATTACATTTTTACAAAAATCCATTTAACACAAATTGTTTGTCCAAAAATTTTTGTTTTTTTTTGTTTTGCCATCATACGCATATACATGTTATGATTTTAAATTCTATTTATAAAAATATTTACTTGTCAATTATTAATGATATTATTATTTTAAACATGATCAAATTCAATATTAATTAATTCATATATTCAAATTAACTATACTCCATATATATATATATATATTTTTTTTTTAATTTTAATTTTTAATATGAAATTATAAATTCATAGAACTAATGTTCAATTTCAATAATATAAATAGAAATTTTCATTTACAAAATGAATGAAATATGTATTCATTAATTCTACTTAGTACATTTCTCTTCTAATTAAAAATTTGTATTATCACATGAAAAGCGATAGTACGTAGTAGAATCGATTCACGCATTATGTTTTATAATACAGGATTTTTTATCGAATAATTGACAAATATAAGAATACTTAACATAATGTTTTTAATTATATAAATTCTTATAAATTAAATGATTACAAACAATATTATTCAAGTATTCACTCACATTTTTTTCCGACGCCTTCCCTTTAAATATTTTAATTTAGTGTTCTATACTTTTTATAGTTTCTTTGCCGAAATATTCGGTTAGAAATATATTAAATGGCGGGTTCAATAGATCTGGGAAAGTAAGACGACCATAGACATAGTAAATGCATATCAATTTTGCTAAATACTGTACAAAATTTTCACATGCGCAATAAAATCTACTATTACGTTACTATCTGCATGATATTAAATGTCGTATCGTTATAATTATTTTTAATAGTGTCTTAACATATATTAAATTGATTTATATTACAAATTAATTTTTATGAAATTCCGAAGAGCTTATTTATTCGCAAAAAAATATCTATTTCTTATTTTTAAAAATAAAGGAACGAGAATAAAAATATCTACAAATTTTAGAATTTACAGATACAGATTCTTTTTTTAGCTGATCACGATCTATTCATTCAAAATTTCAATATTATTATCTGAGCTAAAAAAATTCTATATTTAATTCTAGACATAAAATTAATACATAAATTAAATATTTTTAATTTCCTATGTTTAACACGTATGAAGTATTTGTTTCCATAAAACGAAAATGGTGAAAACAATAATGAATTGAAAGTTTTTAATTAATTGTAATATTATATCGATAAACAATTTGTTAACAATAATTTTATTTTGTTACATATAGTAAATAATTCACACATTTATAATATTTCAGAAATATAAAATGAAGTATAATTAAAAATCGATTTTTTATTAGTAAAACGTACATTGATGATACAATTCATATCTTAATTGATTAATTCAATTAAATGTACAGATTAATTTTTGGTCAAATTTTAATTATAAAAATATTTCTTTCAACAAGAGAATTATATTATTAATACAATATAATTATTAAAAAATTATAAATTTATTAAAAAGAGCATTTTCACTTTGCCAAGCAACAAGGGAAATTACTTGTTCAATAGATTTTTGATTGACTCTAATGTTGAAAATTAGTATGTATTTTATAGCAATTAAATATTTATTAATAATTAATTTTAGTCGCCTATATAAATATATGAAATTTGCAAGTATAACAATACAATACTTAATAGGTTCGAATTAATTATTATAAATTATAATCACTCATGTTTTATAGATTTATTAAATAAAGTTAAACCAATAGATAATTAAAGAAATTATTACGCATAAACGAAACCAATACACTTTGCTGTTTATAAGCATCCATTTCAATTTGCACCTTAATAATAAGGTAGTCTCTGTACATACAATTATAAAGGGATTTAAAAGGAAATGATTTAGAAAATTAAACATGCTTTATTAAATAAATTTTATCATTAAAGATAAATTATAATTTAATATCATCTAATTTTAATTTAATAAAAATAATATACAAAATTAAACGTTTATTTAAGAAGTGAAAAATTTTTACTTGTTTGATGATACATATATAAAAAATAATGTACTGGATTTATTATGAATTATAAGATAAGAAAGCATATAACAAAATATACACATGCATTGTTGACTATATAATACAAATGTAAATTGAATACACAACGTATTTTACCTATTTTATAATACTAGATTTATCAGTCTCTAAATGTAAAAATAGATACATACTATTTAATTCCATATTTCAATAATTGTATAAAGTATGATCATAAATTATTTCATAAATTTAACACATTCATTTCTAACAAATTATTGATTTCAATATTTGATTTTTTTAATTCTATATTAGTATCACATTTTAAATAAAATTCCAAATCATATTATACTACACTAAATAATTTTATACATGTTTACCCTGCTAAAGAATCTTATTTAGATTAAATATTTGAATACACAAAATATTATGTAATTAAAATTTTGAAAATTCAAAAATTATAATCTTCCATTCATGGATTTAATATAAATCCTCATCAGATCACAAGAGAATAGAAGAATTGAATTCTCTATGATTCCTTATGAGTGGAAATGAGTAATCAATAGACACAAAATGTAAATACATTGTGAGAAGTAAATAAAGCATATTCGAAAATGTAGAAAATAAAAAATTGTAAAAACCATATTAATGACACTAATGCCAAATTCTATCATTTAAAAATAAAATACAAACAAAATAAATCACCATATTCTATTTCTGTGTTTCAAGGGTAACTACGTTATTAGAACAATGTCAATAGTTATGTTATTGCTATTTATGTAACTTAGAAATTCTTACTATTGTAACTTAATATTTATAACTTATTTATAATGTTATCTAGGAATCTAATCATATTTAATATCTATTTTACAAATGAAATTAATATTTTATAATGCAAATATTCACTTCTCTTATTCTTTACCATTTATTAATATTAATATATATTTCATAAACTTTAATAAAAGCTAATATAATATAAACTATTACATACTATCGTACTAAAAATTAATGCACCAATTAAACTATTAGAAAAAAAATTAAGGAATTTTCAGTCAGTTGGTCAATAAAAAGCAAACAATAAATGCGTAAATATACATGCATATATATATATATATATATATATATATAATTAGCTACATAAAACAGATGTCCCATATTTCTCTTTTCTACTGTGATGTTTTCATTTCATCAGCTTATTTATCTTAAAATAAATTACTTAAAGCAGACTCGCAATAGAATAACGTTTTTAACGAATAATGTATTGATATTTAAAAAATGTTAGGCTTCCACGGTAATACATCTACGATATACTGTATCTACTTCCATTTTTAAGAATACCAAGCCTAATATTTTCATTCGCCATATATTTCCATTCTGCAGTGTAATAAATTTTGTATTTACACCTTGTATTTCTATTCCATCGAGGCAATAGAATTAAAATTATATTTAATATATGCTGTTGATTAAATATATAAGTAGATAAATAGATCAACAAATAAATTATAGAGTCAATCACAAGATTGATAGTATAATTATATTATATTTTGATATACACACGATATAAATATATTGTAAGTTGTAATAGAATTTTGAAAATTATTATACCATTCTCTTGTTGCATATAATTATAACAAACACTGTTTAGGATTGGACTAAAAACTTCCAGGTATTCGGTGGGAGGCAACTGGAAGGGTTAGCGTATTTATTCAATAATTAACAGGTTTGCGTATCTTGCTGTTTTCCCCTTTATTTTACAGACTACACAATAAGTATGATTCTAAGATAGTGTTGTGAATCTGTAACATCTTGCAGTTCGGCGGTAGTTGTCACGTGATGTTAGCATGCACCACATGCAAGGCTAGGAGGTTTTAAATCTTCTGATCCCTGACCTAGTGCGCTTGATGGTAAATGGTTACACTGAAAGTAAGCGGTCGTATATAAGTAGTACTACTTCGTGCAATGTTCGTGACGGCTGGCGCGCTCGCGCCTTCAATCAATGCCTATTGCGGCTGGTGCATTCGCAGTTTAACTCAAAGCGCGTAAGTGCTTTCAATAAATGGTTTCTCATTTAATTAACTTCACAGAAATTTATGTGTATTACCGAATTCTGTAATCAGTGCGCAGATAATACACTTCATATTTCGTGATCGTTTTTGGAATGCAATCAGCACTATTGACTGCTTGAACTATAACTCACTAAACTTTTATTAAATGTATTGGCTTCACTATATTTGGCTTACTAGGTTATTGTTGCCGAGTCTGACTGAATTATATACGTATAATGAGTAAAACTGACTGACTGATATATGGCGTAATGTGATTGCTGTGTAGAATTATAATAATTGATAACCGATTGATGGAGAAATCTACCGTGAGCGTACAAACCTGTTGAATACACGCACAAAACTGATGGTTTGTAAGTTCCGTGGTGACGCTGCTGAGAGATTTTTACTGCGTGAGTTCACTGCAAGAATTTCACTGCTAAAGAGCGAGACTAGAGACTAGAGACTAGAGACTAGACTTAGAAAATTCTAAGCGACGTTATTAATCGAAGACTATATAAGCATTGTGAGCCATTTGAAAGAAAAACATAACAAGTATATGAAAAACTCTCGGCCCAAGTGTTTACAGAAACTTGAGAGATCTAGAGACTAGTGATGTCGATGATCACGGTCTTAGAAGTTGCTTCAATCCCGAACAAATACCTATATTAAATAAATTTTTTTTATAAATAATTAAAATATATATTCAATAAACGTAAATCATATTTCTTAGTGATAGTATGCACTTCAGAAGAATTAGTATTATATAATGAAAGTAATTATACTTATATTCTTACCACTTCTTTTCGCTGTTTAATTAAAAATATAATTATATGCATGAATTATATATATTTGAACATAATTGAAAGAACTATAAATGCAAATAATAACATACTATTCCAATAGAATAATATTATTAATTCCTAAATAACATGTTAAATTTTATAATTTATTCAAATTAATGATTTACAAAAAATCATAATACGTTCATATTTTCAAATACAAAACTTTTTATTAGATAATTATTATATTTTAATAATATGAACAATTCAGAATTGTTGAACATATTCAGAATTAAAGATTTAAAAATATTAATATTAATAAATCTTTGTTTTTAATACACTTCAAAGTTCCTTTGCGTGTATTAAATTATTATTTTATGTGTTGAATTATTAAATGTACTAAATTGCGTGTATTAAATAAAATAAATTCCTTCCTTTCCTCTATCGTCTTTTATAAGTTTTATAAGCTGCAAGGATAGATATAGTTCAATCATTTCATTAATTTATATAGAGATATTATAACTATATTATAAAGAGCATTTTCAATTGTTGACAGTCTTTTGTGGTTTTTTTGCGAATTCTGCTAGTACTGTAACCGTATTACATTGATAAAAGTTTCGGTATTGTTTTCATATACTCTTATAACTGTATATATATTATATTTTTCAATCGTTTACACTATATTTATCATGAGTCTACACTATATTATCAGACCATGAATATGTAAAAGTTTCTGTTTTTTAATAAATAAATTTACATTTAGTCAATTGAAAAGGGGTTTAATATTCTTACAAATCTAAATACGCTAAATACATTTTTAAGTAAAATAAAATAATATTATAAGGTTATGCGAAAAAATATGTAATATTTGCTACATGAAATAATATATTCTGAACTGCTACGATATGTACGTATTAAATAACAACACAATGAAATATATATACACATTTTATGTTTAAAGTAAGCTTTGAAAGTCAAATACAATAAAGAACAAAAACTACATATTTGAAAATGATCTGCTAAACGTAATGGCTTCGCAAAGGCTACTAATTGATAACTTTACTTGACAATATAATTTTTTTTCTATATAAGTATATTTTTTTAAAGTTAAACAATGTTTTAAAAAATTAATTTAACTTATTTGCTTTAAAATATTTATTTACTTTTTGCAAAACATAATATATTTAAAATACATTATTTAATTAAATATATTTAAAGTATAAATAATAAAAATATTCAATTATTCAATTTAAAAACAACAAAATATTTTCAATTATAATTCTTTAATATAACAAATCAAAATTTTGACCTTCAGTCAATCATTCGGTAATATTTCGGTAATCATTTCATTCGGTAATATTCTATATATTAATTTTCTTTTGTTCTTTTATTATTGTATATGTCACATAAAAATGTTATAAACAAATATTTTTTTCAATGAATTCTATTCATATAATAATTTTATTTGTTTATTATAATAATATAATATTTTAATAAATTAAATAATTCATTTAAATTATGCTTATACTAATAAATTTTCAATTCTTTAAATTTACTCTTATAAGAAAATGTGCTATGTTTCCAACAAACTAGCTATAATTTATTACAAAATTAAAAAAATGTTATTAATTAATAATTTATTATGAAAAATCAAATTTACATATAATTGTTTCTATCAAAATAACTATTTTTAATTTTATTCAATTTTTCAATAAAAGAATAATGATTCATTATAATATTAAACTTCTTAATTTATAAAACTATACAATTTTACATAAAAATTATATTGTAAAATAAATTTCAATATTAATATTATTCATAATAATAACCTATAATTCATATTGATTTTACAATAAAAGGATTTTAATATTTTTTTTAATTTCTTGTATTACGAGCATTTGAATTTTCTATAATTTTTTATTGTTTGATGTTAACTAGATAACTTTATTTTTTAGGATCATTTTTTATTTTCGAAAGATCTATAAGGCTATCGAATCTATAAAAGTTATCATTTCTGTTATATGGATAATTTCATATCAATGAAAAATTTAACCTCAAGTTGTACATTAGCTTAAAGTAAAGTAGTGACAATATAAATATTTAAATTTTATTAATATATAAATTAAGTTAATTCCATTTGTATATAAAAATCTCAATATAATTTTTAATTGATAAATAAATTATGTTATAAGCGTTAAATTTTTACCTGAAAGATTCATCAAATATTAAAAATTGATATTTTTCACTAAGGGAAGTATATGGATTTATCTTTTCTTTTTTTTACTATACATGAATTTTTATTCAAAAAAGTTTAATTTTCATATTTATTTAATGGTTGACATAAAATTAAATGAAAATTATTTTTAACACTTTCAAAAAATTAGAACCTAAAATTTAATTTAGATTTTTCAATTGACTATGATTAATTCTTAAAAACATTTTTATTTAAATAAATTTTGAAAATTATATTAAATTTATGTATCTAGTATATTTTTAATTCTTAAATAAGTTTTTACTTATTAAATTACACCTATATATTTATACCCTTTCTCAACTTTACAATATGTAAATAAATAATATTGTATATATTTTATTTTATATTGGCAGTTTATAAAATATATACTATCACTATATAAAAAAAAAGAAATTTTATAATTATAAATTTTACCATAAAAATATGTTTTTTATCATAGATTACTCTGGTCATTGCTGCAAATGAATTGTACCAATTATTGGAAATAATTGATATTACAGGTACAAACTACTTCCTATAATATTTTAAATATACATTTAATGTTTTAAATGACAAGTTTTGTAATTTGTACAAAATTTATATCATGTAAATAATTATCATATAACCTATATTATATATTGCAACAATATTAAGAACATTTTTTTTTACTATACATGATTTAAATTTTTTAAGGTAAATAATTATATTTAGATATTTAAGTTTAATATTAAAAAAAAATAAAAAGAATCTTTAATTTTTTTAAAAATATGTGATATTCTCTCTGTATTTTTCTGACTTTTTAATAATTTTTTTGTTAATTTAATATTGTAAGTATTTGATAACACAATATGATTATAAAAGAATTTCTATCGTATGAAAAATCTATTTTAATTATTATTATATAATAATAAAATTAAAAATACATATATATAATAAATATATAATATAAAAAAATATATAAGGTACACAATATTTTATATATTGAATATTAATATGTAAAAAGCATTTCTTTTAATCAAAATCAAATTATGTATAACCTACTTGTTTTACCATAGATATTAAATAAAATGAAATTGTGTTGTGTATTTGATAAATCTATGATTATAATCAGTAGAAATATAATTTTCTACTGATTACTTATATAATTCTCATTGTATCATATATCTATTTTGATATGTTTATTTGATCCAAAATAATTGTGATTAAGCTATTAAAAGAATTAATGTTAGCAACAATCATGAAAAGATAATGAAACTAAACATTATAATAATAGAACCGTAAGATGCAGATTGCTTATATTTACTATTGATGCTGAATATTTTTACATTTAATTCTTGTAAACAGTTATTCAACTCATGTACATACTGAAGACACCATTTCATGAAGATAAAGTAATATTGGTTAGTTTAATTGTTTAATGTATTTTATTTATGTGTTAAATAATAAATATATATTTCTACAATATTATGAAACTTGTGATTGTAAATATTAAATCAACTTCCTAATTATTTTAAACCTTTCCAGACTTCAATAAACTTTGTAGATATTTTAATTTTCTATAATCTAATAGTGAAGATCAATTTTAATTATAATATTACAATTACATGAAACGCTTACAAATTTATAAAGACTATTTCTAAAAAAAATTTTTTAATAAGAAATTTAATTGTTACTTTGAATTTTGGAATATTATTGTAGAATATTTTACAAAAGGTTAAACATATGTTTAAAACAAAATTGTAATTGTTTTTTGGCAGTAAAGAAAACATTGTATAATGGTCATGTTTTCTTAATAAGTAAATTGAATGTATAATAAATTATATAATGTTTGTAAAAACATGTTATTTATAAATTATTTTGAATTGAAAGTTTCTGTTGTCAAAAGTATTTATTTAAAAAAAGCATCTATGAAATAATAAAATTGTCTTCCTAAAATATAGATGCATTTAATTTAATGGTAGTAAAGTGGTTATGAATAGATTTTTTCATCACTCGAATGACACCAATGCTGCTTAAAACTAATTTAATCATTTGAAAAACTAATATTACTCATTTTCAATTAAAAAAAAAACAAATTTATATTTTGCCTGAAAATGTATGAATTTATAGTTTTTAAATAATTATTTAAATTTTAGGATAAATAAATATGATATATATTTCATTAAAATTTTATTTTCAAAAATGAATAAAAAAATAAAGAAAAAATAATATATTTATTCTTAAGTGGCATTTAAAATAAATAATTAAAATAACAATATAATTTAGTTAATTTTAATGTATTTTTTAAATACATTTTTTATTTTTGAAATGACAATATATAAATTTATTATTAAATTAAATAAATTTGGCTGGGTATGTCTGTATGGGAGCGTGAATATCGCACGTGAGCGGACTGATAAAAATAAAACATATATAATTTTTTATCAGAACCTAAAATAAAACATTTAAATGCAATATTTAGATTATAAAAAAACTTAATATTGATTTTATAGTATCTTGTTTATTTTAAATCAATAATTTAAATTATTGAATTAGAAAAATCAACACAGTTCTTATTTATCCGAATAAATTTGCTGTTTCACAGATTACGCGTGCGCAATAGAAATGTGCTCAATAAATACGTATATAAACAATTGGCCTTGAGGCTCGTCATTAAAGAAGAATGTACATTCATTGGTAATATTAGTGTGGACAAATTTTGACAATTGACAAAATAAATCGATAATATGTCACTGTTAATTATCATTAACTTATTTAAATTCGAAGTAGTGCAGATAATATGATTTATAATGTAATCAGATGTGAACTGTTAGAAAATTTATTTAGTTGACTGATATATGCAGACAGATTGTAAAATTGTAAAGTACCTGTCAAATTTAGTGGTTTGGCGTCATTTAATGATATCTGAACAATAGATAAAATGGAAAGCAAAAGTTGTTAGTATTAGTTTATGCTTTGTTCAAAATAAATGATTAATCAAATTATTATGCAAGTGAATTTCGCTTTCAAGGTGAGATATATTAAAGTAGTTAATAGCATTAAAGAAAAAAAAAACGTCGGAAGCAGGGTTTTAAGATAAATACGTTGCACCTGCGCAACCCCGTCCGCAATAAAAAATAGATTTGCACTGGCAGTTTATCTTAACTAAAAATAAGACATGCATGAATTACAGTCATAACTGACAAAACGGTTTGTACATTTATTCGTAATTTTAAATTGGTTTCTATATATATTTTGTCTGAATTTATCTGACATTGATCTCTCAACGGCTGTAATCATTGATTCAATCACGTGTCTACTTCATAGCTCTATCATAGAATAAACATCTGTTTCTTATATATTAAAATCATGGTTTGGTACAGTTAAATTATAAGTATTATGGGTGATTCAGCACAGCCTGAACCACAGGAAATGGGTCCATCTTCAGCCTCGGTACCTATTCCGGGTGGTCATAGAGGAGCTAGGTCAGCCTATGATCAATTCTCACCATCGCCATTAGCCAATCCAGCTATTTGGGGTAGTGGTCGTCCAGGAGATCCACTTGAACTCCAGGAATCCTTAGATCCATTACTTTCTTTTAGAATGGATGATGATGACATATTTCAGGTTGATAAAGCAGACCTCATTCAAGGTCCAACTTTAGCTGAACTTAATGCAAATGAAGATACCTTACTTGGTGATTTGAATTTTGATGATCTGCTTCTTCCTGATGAAAATATGCAACCAATGCGAACAACTCCTGCAGGAACCATTGACCTACTTCCTGCTAATAGTTCACTTTTGACTGTAAGTTCTGGAAATTTTGCTCCTAGCAGCTTTCCACAACAAATGCAGGTATATCGAACCTGTTCTCAACTTGCTAGTACCTCTGTTTTTGGCCTTAACAGTCTCACAGGTATCATTGATCCAACAGAAACTGTCAGTCAACCAGCATTTCCAAGTCCTAATACCAGTAATATAGCAGGTTCTGTATTTGATAATTTTTTTAATGTAAATTGTACTGTGTATTATGTAAATTGTTAAATTTACTTTAAATTAATTCATTACAACAGTTAAAAAAAAATTGTTAAATAATAATTTTTATTCAATAGGTAGTTCTACAGCTAGCTCCTCAACTTCTCCACATCCAGCTATAAGACCTATTTTACAATCCACACTTCATGAACTTTTGTTAAGAAAAGGTGAAATTGGTCAAAATATTCCAATGCAAAATCAGATGGAAATAGGTGGTGCATCATCTATGAAACATAAGATTTCAAGACTGTCAATGTCAGCTCCGACACAATCTATGGGTCTTGAACAGATTTGGGCTAACAGAGAACCAAGACAACATCTGTTAAGTACCGGAAGCCTTGGTTTAGGAGAGGCTGGATCAACAAGTAGTTTGAGTACTGGAGGTGCACTTAGCCCCAATCCTCTTGGTCATCTTGATCCACTCAGTCATGATGAAGGTTATGAGGATAGTGATGATGATAGTGACCACTATGATGATTACAGTAGTGATAATGGTAATGATATTAAATGATAAATATTAAATGGTAAATAAAATGTTTTAAGGATTTATAAGAAGAAATATAATTTAAAAGATAAATGACTGATTTATCACGATAATTATTAAGTATCAATATTATTTTTAATCTATTATAAAAAATTGACTAATATTCTGCTTAAAATTATTACTTTAAATTTTTTTATAGTAATTTTTTTAATAGTAAATTTGAATTATTACATTTAACATTTATGAATTTCAAAAAATATAAATAGAAGCTATTTGAATATTTCTAATATTTAACATGATTTATTTCATTTGATAACTTACTTAATTATAAGATTTATTTGTGGTCTATTATAAAGCAGATATATATAATTTTAAGGATGAAAAATAATATGAATCTAATCTCAATTGTTTCCAGAATCTGGAGGAAGTGATAATGAGGATCATATAGCAGGTGGAAGAGTATCAGGTGAATCGCCTTCGAAAGATAAGCAAAAAAAGGAAAAATATTTTTGGCAATACAATGTACAAGCAAAAGGACCAAAGGGTCAAAGATTAGTTGCTCGAGCTCGCCTTGAAAATCCACATGTGCTAAACGAGGCAACAGATCCAGTCTTCAGTCCACAATGTGCATTGCGAGGTATTAAGCACAGTGGTAAAGCAAGAAAGGGTGATGGTAATGATTTAACGCCAAATCCACGCAAACTACATAGTATAGGCAAGGAGTTGGACAAGCTGTCGCGAATTATTAATGATATGACACCAGTTTCTGAGCTGCCCTTTCCAGTGCGACCTAAGACACGTAAAGAAAAGAATAAATTGGCTTCACGAGCTTGCAGATTAAAGAAAAAGGCACAACATGAAGCAAATAAAATTAAACTTCATGGTCTAGAACAAGAACACAGTTGAGTAATATTCTATTGATTCCCTTTGCTTTAATTTAATTCTATTTTTCTTATGAATTCATTTATATATATTTTATAGACAATCATGATTTTTAATACTTTTAAAATTAACGAGTTTTTATTAATAATTTTACTTTATGATATATTTAAATAAAATAAGCTATATATATATATATATTATAATTGAATTTGTAATATTTAATAAATACATAATATATTTATACATATTTAAATTTTTCGTTATTTATAAAAATATTTATATATATTAATATTGTGTAATATACTTTATTATGTATTATAAAATGTTAATTATTAGTTGGTAATTCAATCTATATAAAAAAAGATTTGTAAAAATGTTGGGTTTTTTTATCAGATGAAGATATGCTAGCAATTTTTACATTTTCTTAAATACACTAAAAATATTGAAGATTTTTATATATTTCTATATATATTTTAATGAATTCATTTTCATTTTTAATGAAAAAATTGAATTTTATAAAAATTATAAATGAAAAATAATCAAACAAAAAATTTATGTTTTAGAAAATGTTATTTAAAATATTAGTTTTTAAAAACTACTAATTAAGATTTATTTGAAAAAATGTATTTCAAGTTTTAAGTAATCTGAGTTCAGTCGAATCTTTTTAATCTTTAGTTTGTAACATTTGAACCATATTTGACTCTACCTTGATTCCTTTTGCTTTTAATTTATTGTATTGAGAAATAAATCTTAGAGATATTGTAAGTATTCACTTTTATAGATGTAATAGTTATATAATAAAATTTGCAATCTTAAAACTTGTTCATCATATATTTACACTGATGAAGTACAATCATATTCAAAGTATTTATTTTGCTAAACATTGTTGTTGATGTATGACCAAATAATTGCATTAAGCTAAGTTTCTCATTTTTTATTTCATATCTTCCAAACAAATTATTTTAATGAAATACCAATCAATAATTAATATAAAAATTATTAATGTTTGTTGGTTAATTTTCATTTTCTTTCAAACGTTTTTATTCCAATTTCCAAAATAAAAATTTAATTTCTGTAAGCATTCATATTTTAAATACTTTCACAAATTCAAATAGAATCAATAGATTTAATGTAATATATACTTTATATTGTACAGAATTTCTACTACTATGTCGACTTTAGTTTTATATGATTAACTTAATATTCATGTTTTTAATTAAAAAATGTATAATTATTGAAATATTTAGATTCTATATTTTTATCAATTACTTTTCCAGTATTCCATCCAATTATTGTTATTATGCCAAAAAGAGATGAAAAGCCTCATTTCATCTAAGATTTATCACCAAATACAGTTAAGCCATTCTCATTATTTTTTGTTTTATATCTATTCCAATTACTGCTGTCCTTGCAATTTTCTTACAAACAATTAATGACGCGATAAAAAATGTCTTGATATTATTATTATAAATAAATCAACAAGAACAATCAGTAATTATCTGTTCAATATTTTCTATTACTTAGAAACTTAATTGTTTCAAATTATTTGTTTTTAAATAAACTTTGCTTTATATTTCATAATATTATATATTAATTTCGTCCATGTATAGCAATTTTTAAAAAATTTGTTTTAAATAAATAGTTGTGGTAGTACATCAAATATGGAATTCTGTACAACATTCTCAATATTCTTGTAATAAGTTACATGATATAAATAAATATATATTGATTACCAAACTAAAATAATTGAAAATTTATAAATGCGTTAAAAATTTATATTTATTATCAAAAACAAAGTATATTGCAATTGAAAATTCTCCAAACTTATTTATTTTCAATTATATTAAAAATTAAAATAAAAATTTTCTATTATGTTTTAATTAAATCTATAATACTTTCGAGTTAAATATTCAAAAATACAAAACACTTTTTTTAATTTTAAAATGGCATCTGTTTAAAATTATTGATTTCAAATTTAAGTTAAATTTAAAAAGAATTATAAAATTAAAAAAGAAATTCATGTATAGAATTATATCTTATTAATGTATTTCTTATTAATAAAAGAATTTAACAATTAAAATAATGTAAATGCTATGTAATTATACTAATAAAAATTGTATGATGTAATATATTTTGAATAATAATGGTATTATAAATAACATGCATGTTGAAATCATAACTGTCATCAAATTATTATTTCTGAAAAAAGCATTGGAATAATTAAATAAACTAAAAAATTAATTATTTAAGATTTCAATTTTTAGTCACTATATAAAGTAAGGAATAATCATGATTGATTATTAATTATATAATATTATTTAATGTATAAGATTCTATTTTTTAAATTCTAGAGAGACTTATACATGGTATAGTACAAGCAAAACAAATATTATCTGTTAAATTGTCTGAAACTAATCTTGAGGCTCAAGAAGAACTTACCCGGCAAATGGAAAAAGTTTGTAAAAATGCAACCAGTGAGTATCTATATTAATGAAATATTTATTTATAACATTTTATCAATAATATTAATATATTTTTTTGTTATCAGAAGTAAAGATAGCCAATCACTCAACAGAATTTGTCAATAAAGTGTTAGATAAAGTGAAATCTGGAGTACTTGATGGAGGAATAGATGATTTTTAGTATATACTCTTTAAAGAACTAATAATTTTAGTTATTGTGTACAAAATATCAATGGTTGGGGTAAATACTGCTAAATGTAATAGATCTACAAGTGTTTAAAACTACCATGATGAAAAATCATTATTGTAACCGATAAAAATTAAGAATAATCGATTACGTCTTCGTTTTAAATAATTATAACAATCAATTATCAAGATATACAATAAATTAGCTATGGAGAAATCTGTGCTTGAGATTGGCAAATATGTAGAAAATAATTTATATTTTTCATTTAAAAATGCCTTTATAATACAAAATTCAATAATAATATTTGCCCCTCAAGTTCAGAATAGTGGTCTACCTCAAAATGAAACGCTATACCTGCATAAATTGTTTAAATATTTAATATTTTTAAATTTAATATTCATTTATTAAATTAACTAACTAGAAAGCACTTATTATTTCCATGTTCATTTACATTTCAATATGTGCACAACATTAACACAAGTTTTTATTTTTTCTAAAAATAAATTATTCTAAAAATATTATATACACTTATTATATATATAATTTTTTTCATTACTTTATTTAGATTTTATGTAATAATTCTAGACATTAAATTGTCTATTTAAATGTAAAAATTGTAATATTGTGTCATGACTAACAACATTACATCGTTTTTAAAATAAGCCAATTAATGTCTAGAATTAAAAAATGAAAGTATATCATAAAATTTTAGATAAATAAAAAAAAATAAAAGAAATGAAATTAATTGCATATAATTGTTTTTTTTTGGTAGTTAATGTCGTGCACTAAAGAAATATTTAAATATCAAACCATTTACTTAATAAGACAAATTTAGGTTAATTATTTTAATGTTAAATTTAAGAAAATGTAGCTCTGGCAGCAACTTAAATATAAATTGTAGTGATGCCACATTCAATTATTTTTTTAAAAACGCGCTGCGCGTGTATTCGTGCATGTATGTATCTATAGTTAAGCGCGCGCATGGATGTGTGTTAATTATGGTGAGAAATACTTTAATAATATTTTGTATTTTTTCTAGTAAAAGAACTTACAAAAACTTATTTTTATGATAATTCATATTACAAATTGATTTTGCATTTTAAAAACGCACTCAACATTGTAGTCCTACATACATTAATTGTTTATATTTTTAAATTATAATAAATTTGTTATTGTTCCTTTTATTTATCAAAAACTATAATAAATATTATTTATATATAAATATTATAATAAAAAACATATGAAAATTTTTTATGAATTCATTTTAACGAATTTTGTTAATATTTCTACTGTACTGTTAAATCATTTACTGAACTTTTATATTTAAAGTATTATATTTTTTAACTAGTTCAATCAACCAGAAAATGACATACTGGTTTAATTTTGAATATACACATTCATGCACGTGCATGCAAAGTACCTAGGCACAAATAATACATATATATCAATCATAATATTTGTTTTCATTTATTTTATAGCCTATAAAAACTATTTTTTATTTTGTAATTACTTAAAAATTAAAAAATAACAGTATTGAAATTAAGTAATAAAAGTGGTATAAATTTTAATATATTAAAAATGAAAATAAAATAAATTATCTAATTAGCAGTTAAATCATTGAAATTGTATAAAATGTTAGTTAATAATTTTATTTTTGTAATTGAATAATTGTAGATACAAAATTAGAAATTTTTATGTAAATTTTTGATATTTATACATGTCAACATGTTACATATTAAATAAATAAAAATGTTGCAGTTTCATATAATTGTATTATGGTACTTATTTTATTAAATAATATATTAATTTTATAAGTTTTCATAATTATGTAACAATTTAAGTAAATTATTAATATTATTATATATTAAATAATATTATTAACATTAGTTTATATTATAAAGATTATATGAATCAAACTTTTACATATATAATATTGGACAAATTAATAATGCAATATGTTTAGGTTTGGAGCACTTACAAGAAATTTAATTCTTCGAAATTTGTAATTGTTATAGCTCGCAAAATCGTAAACATTGACTTCGAAATTTCTCGATCATTTTAAAACCTTTGCTTGCGAACATCCTGTAATGTTTATCTAGTCTCCACATAGTAACTACGGTAGAATTCTCGAACGTTTTCAGTGGGCATTATCTCTGACGTCATGTAAGACTTGGCATAGTAACACCTATGCATTGTTGCTAGCTAAGTAATTGCCGTACGCATATTTAAGGGACGCACGCGACAAGTCTAGCTCTCTCTCTCTTCTGAAGATGCCATGGCACGGATCACGGTCTCTTAACAGAACCGTCATGAAATAGTGATGTATCTCAACAAAGCCGCGACGGAACGAATAAGCCTTCAATTTCGTACACGTATTCAACAGGCTTGTAGGCTGACTGTAAATTTCTAAATCAATTAGTTTTAGTTATTACTCTACATAGAAACTAAACTCTGCCTTATACCAGTCAGTCACCTTTTACTAAATTTCCGCACATAATTCAGCAAGACTCTGCAACAATAAGCTAGTAAGCCAATAGTAAAGCCAATACATTTAACAACTATTTAAGTGCACTTAAATAGTTAAAAATCAAATGTTCAAGTAGTCAAGAGTGCTGATTGCATTCCAAGAGTGATTACGAAATAAGAAGTGTATTACCTGCGCGCTCATCACAGAATTCGGTAAAACACATAAATTTCTATGAAGTTAATTAAATGAGAAACCATTCATTGATAGCATAAACGCGCCGGCCTCGTACGGCACTGATGGTGCGAATGCACCTGCTCCGACAGGCACTATACGATTACAAAGCTGAAAGTTCACCCGCGAATGGTTGAAGGTGTATGAAAGGGCACCAGCTACAAGGCATTATTGCTTGAGTCAACTAAGAGGAAACGCGCTATATATGGCAAACGGCCACCTCACACACAACTGATCTTCGGTTAAGGCGACGCGCTTTCTGTAACACTACTGTCTTCGGATGCTGATCTCCAGATTAGAAAATACAAACAAATATAGAATATTTTAAATAATTCTACATAAACCTTAAAAAATAAAATATTTTACTTTACTTGCACGATAGAAGTTAAAAAGCAATTTATGTAAATAAAACAAACAATACAAATTTTTTAATAGGTCATTATTAAATGGTGACAGATAATGATTAAGAGATAATCTTACGTAATCGAAAGGCACTTTTTGTCAATATTTCTACAATGAAACAAATTTTAAAATGCTCACATGTTCTAATAGTTTCGGTTAATCAAATTGTAAACAAACATTATCAAGCGAATTGATTCCATACCAGATTAATAATTTTAGCTTTATCTGAATCTGTTACTTAAACCGAATCAACTTTATGTAGTAAATATCTATATTCATCCAGATACTATAGAAATATTTGAGGCCGATATCGGAAAGCACATGGTTCATAGACGTTCACAATAATCTTTTAATGTGTGGAATAGAAATTTGTAAGATTCCATTTATACTAAATATATTGTACTATGATATTATCTCATTATTTTATAATGGTGTTTAATAATAAATTATTATCTAATGATAATACTTATAAACAAATTACAAAACTGCTTAATGTTTATATTTAACATTAATATTTTATAGAATACAAGAAATTGAATAAAAAATGATAAATATAGTTTTTATTAATATATAAGGAATCCATTTATAAAAATATTGCTATCAAATATTTATTTCGAAATTCCACTGATTGTTGAAAAAATCTTAAAAAAATTTATAAATAACAAAATGAATATATTATTATTACATTATATCTTAATATATTAAGTTATATAATTATATTAATATTTTTATATTTATTTAAATCACGTTTCAATTGGAATTTTTATTTTATATATAATTTATTACATCGTTTGATTATAATTACAAAAACAATATTTTATCGTATGGAATATTTCATACAATATATATGTTAGAAAAATTTGAATAATATTTTTAATAATTAAATCTATTGTTCTATTATATTATAAGATTCTTCTTAAAACCTATGTTGTAATGTAACTTTATGTTTCATAAGATGGTTAACAGAAATAGTTGTCATAATATTATTTGTGGAAGTATATATTATATAATTGTTAAAAAATTGATTGGATATTTATTTTATATATTTATATTATATAATCTTAACAGATTTCATGAAGTCGTTGATATAACAAAATATTTTTAGAAAAATTGAATGTATAAATGTACATTTTGATTAATTAAATTAAATACATCAAAGAATTAATGAAATTTTATAGATCACCTTAAAAAACGCATTCTTTTACTAGGTTCATCAGTGATTACAAACCATTTGAATTATGACAATTATTCTAAAACATTGTTTCTTTACATTGTTTCAAATTATACGGAATATAAAAATTGGGTGGTATTGTAATTTATATTACAATAGCTTGCAAAATAGTCCATTTATAATTATGTAGATCATAAATTAAAGTAAGATAATAATAATAATATTTAAATTCAACTCAATCAAATGAAATTAGTAGAGATAATATTGCAAATTTGAGAAACATGATCAAATTATATTACAAGAATAAATATATAAAATCTAAAAAGAGATCAAATAATTAATATAAATTTTACAAGCACTAATAGAGTAAGAAAAACTTTAAGAATAATGGAATAAAAGATATTTACTATGCGTTCTGTACAGTAACTAAATTATAATAAAACATTAATAAAAAATATAAATCATATTTTATCAATCTTTATACATTTTTTAAACATCATTAAAAAGAATTCCTTTTTATAAAATGAAATTAAATAGGCAAATACAATTTTTATCTATTATAAAACTATAAGTAATATTTAAATTAAGTGAAACATACACATCATTCATAATAGTTTTTACCAATGATTGTAAATGATTAAAAGCAATATTGTCTTAATAGATGAACAATGATAGGATTATAAAATATAGTCTATCCAAAATTAATGTTGTAATTAATAATAATTTAATATTATATATATATATATATATATATATATATATATATATATATATAATATATGAATTATTAAAAGTAATGTAAAAAAATCAGTCATTGTATATTTATTCATTTATAATCAGAATGATATATCATGAATACTAACGGTAGGAAGCGTTGAACTCATAGATATTGTAAAAATATAAATAAATTTGATAAATTTAAAGATTTAATAGCAACAATATTATTTTACTAAATTTCTAATGTAGTATTATGGTAAAAAAAAAATTCGATGAAACTTCTGAATTTCATTCATTGCTTAGGTTGATTAAATTAATATTAAAAAAATGGTATATACTAGACTATTTAGGATTTAATTTACAGCTAAATTTGAAATCGTAAAAATATTCGTTCGTTGTGAAAGAATTGTCAAGCAAAAGATTTCACCCATATTATTTAGATATATGTGAGTTTTTAACATTTACATATTTTATTAGTTTAGTATTAAATCAATTTTTCAAACATTATTGCTTTGCATTCTCAGAAATACTGTTTCTAATCAGAATATTTACATTGATTTTTATTTCGAAAATTAGATTTACTAAATGCTTTTTGATTTAGTAAGCAAATATGTTAAAAAATTGTACATAATTTGTTTGATATAAAATAATTAAATCAATTAATTCACTCTAATAATAAATATTAACTGACATTAATACATTATTTTTAAATCTTGAAATACATTTTTTTAATAGCTCATATATCACCATTTTGAAATAAAATATAATTATTTAATATTTTAATATATATCAATTTGGAATAAAAAGTATATTGAGTTTATCTCTTATTTTTTACAGAGGCTTGATTGTTTAAGGCATATTTACTAGATATTAATCACTGTTTAAGGACTTGAAACACAATTTTGTATATACTCACGAGTATTATTATAATACTATGTACAAATAAGTTTGTAGATATTTAAAAGATTATACGTTTCGATGTAATATTATTAAAGCTTAATCCAGCTTAATTCCTTGGATCCAAGAACTATAGTCACTTGTACCATCACAATTGAGAGATAGTTGTTTTTCCCACCTCCTAGATTCAAGCACAGCTTGTGCAGCAGTACGGCCACTAAGATAAGCACCATGTACTGTACTATAAAAAGATGAATGCGTGTGTTCTCCCGCAAAAGCTATTTTAAGTTTGGAAGAATCTCCAGCTTTTGTAATGGGTTCTGCGAGACGTTCAATATCTATTTGGCTAGCACCCACAGCCATAGCTGTATAGGAACCACGCGTATGAGGTTGCGAATACCAACATGTACGAATACAGGTTTTTGGTGTAGGGACAAATGGATCATTCAGAAATTTACGTAGAACGTTGGTACAAACACGTGCGACTTCATCACTATCTAAACTTTCCATATGCTCAGCAGCTTTTCCTGATATCCAACCAAGTAATAGTGTATCCGAAATTTTAATGAATGAATAAATTTTACGGAACCAACTTTGAATGGGATCAGCAATTTCCTCAACAGCTAACTTCCTATCATCCCATAATAACATTATTTCTGAAATACCTGGATTCAAAAAAGGTCTGTCATATTCTAATATTATTTTATCAACTGTTCCAAACATTAGTTTGTCGATGGCCTGAAGTTTGGAAGTTGTTAGTGATGGCACAAATATTTCTGCAGCTTGTTCTTTTAATACTCCTAAAGGCAATGTACAAATTACTTGTTCACAATTTATTATTTTTCCATTATCACATTCAACTTTTATGGCGTCATTTGATCCATTAGATCTAAGTTGTGAATCAGTTTGCCATCTGCAATATAATTTTATTTTACTAATGTTTATAATGTATTTAAAATTTTTAATTCTAATTAAAAACTTATATTTTATTTAATAATTATTTTCTTTATTTCAAATAAATTCTAGGATATACTTGACTTTCCTTTACATTAACTAATTTTTGTTAATTATAGAATCATTATTAAAGGAGTTATTGAAAAATCGTAATCACAATTTCTTATTACTAATATTGTATCTTATAAACTGTAAGAATCAGGAATTAATGAAAATGTGGATTAAAAAATTTTATCGACATAAATAAAAATAAATAAGTTACACGTACAAAATATTAAAAATTTCTAATTTATTACATTTGTATTATATTTTTATAGTATTCCAATTGTATATCAATAAAATCCAAATAATTCAGTGTAATTCATCTGAGATAACTAAAGAAGTTTAAAAAATAATCAAGAACTTTTGTAATTGATATATTGAAATGAATTTCAAAAGTATCGAATTTTCATATATGATAAAATAAAATAAATTTGTAAATTATAGATGATGGGTGATAGAAAGTTAATGATATTTAAGAATAATTAGGATAGCTTGAAAAGCACCACGAATGTATTTGTGAAATGAAGATAGTTTCTCTAACGCAAACCAACTACAACTAGAGTATTACCTTTACTTACAGTGTTGAGATCAAGCACGATGTGAAACTTCTAATTCTTTTATCACTAGTATAAAAGTACACTTTAGACGCGATTATTTACTACTAAAAAAATATTAATTAAGCTGTATTTAACTAGCTATATTTCCATAACTGATAGTACTTCTGATTGTTCGTAGTTTCAATAAAAATTATTGATATTATCGAATTTATTTATATCACTATAAATAATAACAATTCAAGGCGAATAAAAATAGAAAGTATTAACAAGAATAGTATTCGAGATTGTAAGAACGCTTCCCAAGTCGTGAGATTTCTGGAAAATCCAAGTTGTTAAGCATCTGGCAAAAATATGTAATTCAAAGTTGTGAGAAACGAGTCATAAAGATATAAGGAAACCCACGTTGTTTCACATCTGGAAAAAGGGTATTATTATTTTTTTTTTATTATAATATTACATTCAAATATTGCAGTATATGGCACACAACGCATACTCTGTTGTCAAATATAGCTACAATGTAGCTCGGATAGTGAAGCAAGAACACTTCAACAAGTCCCCCTCATAGTGGGGATGCAACTAAGAGGCGCTCTGATTGGAGCCGCCAAGAAAGAGCTGATTGGATTGGAGACGTCAAGAAAGAGGTAAGTCGTAAAGACCACGCAGTGGTCGAAAGAACGCTTTAAAGAAATACGCACGCAAGGCGGAACCGCTTCTTTTTATAAAGAACGTTGTATAAAAAATTAATTCCACTAATCCGGCTCGAAGAATCAAACTTATAGAATTAACTAAGAAAACCACTGATTTAATAATTAAAACATATAATTCTTATTGCTGTTTATTCTAATTATTTTCAATATATTTCCAATTTAGGGATTATTAATCGTGATAAGATTATAAATGACCTTTATGTTTCTCAATAATAATATGGCGTTGTGGTATACTTCTATGGGAGAACCAGAAGGTTGTGAAGTTCTTGATCCTCTGGAAAAAACGTTAAATAATGATTTACTGTGGAAAGGAATGGGCTATAAAACTATTACGACTTTTTTGAATACTATGATTTGAGAGGTTATGGCTGTTTATTGTACTCTTGAACGATCACAACGGTTCTTGTCTACGTCGTGGTCTTGGCACGTGTTGCAGCTGCCTCTAAATAATAAGTCGTGTAAGTGAGCACGAGCTTAAGATAGAGGTTAGAGAAAATGCGCGCCACTGAATGGCGCGAATTGCTGGACTTGCGTAGTGAGCATGCGTGAGAAGTTTCTGGACACCAACTGCTTGTAGGTCGGTTTTCTGAAGAATTAACACTAATACAGACTTACTTGAAGTTGTAGTGTGATATTCCTTATTTCTCCTCACAGGCGTGAAAGTGAAGCTTCCATTTAATGAAATAAATTAAATAGTTCACTGAACAGGTCCCACTAGGAACCCCTTCTTGTTTCTTGTATCCAATCAGAGTTCGACTTTGGGCAGTGTCTGGGCGTGTGTGGAGTCGATCTCAGTTGTATTGATGGCACGTAAGAACGTGTGTATTAGCGTAGCTTACGTGTGGAGTCGATCTCAGTGCATTGATGGCACGTAAGAACGTGTGTATTAGCGTAGCTTACGTGTGGAGTCGATCTCAGTGCATTGATGGCACGTAAGAACGTGTGTATTAGCGTAGCTTACGTGTGGAGTCGATCTCAGTGCATTGATGGCACGTAAGAACGTGTGTATTAGCGTAGCTTACGTGTGGAGTCGATCTCAGTGCATTGATGGCACGTAAGAACGTGTGTATTAGCGTAGCTTACGTGTGGAGTCGATCTCAGTGCATTGATGGCACGTAAGAACGTGTGTATTAGCGTAGCTTACGTGTGGAGTCGATCTCAGTGCATTGATGGCACGTAAGAACGTGTGTATTAGCGTAGCTTACGTGTGGAGTCGATCTCAGTGCATTGATGGCACGTAAGAACGTGTGTATTAGCGTAGCTTACGTGTGGAGTCGATCTCAGTGCATTGATGGCACGTAAGAACGTGTGTATTAGCGTAGCTTACGTGTGGAGTCGATCTCAGTGCATTGATGGCACGTAAGAACGTGTGTATTAGCGTAGCTTACGTGTGGAGTCGATCTCAGTGCATTGATGGCACGTAAGAACGTGTGTATTAGCGTAGCTTACGTGTGGAGTCGATCTCAGTGCATTGATGGCACGTAAGAACGTGTGTAATAGCGTGACTTGCGTGTAGTGAGGTCGATCTGTGTGGTGGTAGTAAGCTGAATGTGTATAGCTTACGTGTTAGTTGGAGACAATCTGTGTATATTGGAGGTGATTTCTGTGTAAGTGGTGTTGACTTGTAGGACGGCGATCCGATCTTGATGACTGCTTGATTGAACTAGTAAGAGATCGAGAGCGTCAAGTGCAGCTCCTTAAATATTCTCGTACGAACTTGCTGCGCCGATAGCGCATCGGTGGCTGTTGCTATGCCGATATTTGTCGTGACGTCAACAGGGCATAGCCTTGTAGGGTTAATTTGTTATTACTTTTCGGAATTATAGTCGTATATTCCGCTTAAAAATGCTGCAATCAGTAACAGGCAGCATGATTGATAATTCATGCCTTCACTTCCACTTCCTTCCGGGTTTAGTCTTGAATATGCTAAAGTCGGGAAAATGTCTAAAGGTGGAGGTGCGTCGATTATTGGTTGTCTCTCCCTTCTCTGGGACTTATTGGTATGAGGGATACTTTAGGGCATGGTCGATTGGCTAGCGCGATCGACAAGTTTCGGCGTAATTGAGAACAATGTAAGTATTGTCTTAAGATGCCGAATGCGCACGTGCAGGGTTTTGGATTGCTTTGAAATTTAGGTAATGATTTGTACTCGATAGTTTACGTATATTTGATACTCTTTCAGACTTTCCATCTTCTTGGCAGTAAACAACAAGATCGTTTAACTGCATCAGAAAATCATGAGCACGTTTTTTGATTTGCGAGAATAAATAAAATAACTATCCACGAGTGTTTTCCAGATGTACTGACCTTCTCGAGTGTCCAACGACCGTGGAAAATTGTGGCAAGAAAAATGTTCTCGCAGTCTCGAACAAACGTTAAATATCAAGGATGTAGACATAAATAGTAAAGGCCAAGAATAAGAGGCCAAGGCTAGTCATTTCCTACTCGTAATAAGTGCAAAATACACACTCGCAGCAGTGCCAAGAAAACAGTACTGCACAGAGCACAACACAAGGCAAAACCTACAAGCTACCGCATGAGGCAAAATCTGTAGAGCGACCAAGGTGCAGAAGTACAAGGGGCAAGTTTAGTTCCCACAAGAGAGACCAACATGGCGCCGTACCCGGTAATCTGCAGATTAAGAGCCACCAAGAGCACACGTGCAAAGTCTACAAAGTAAGCAATAAACTGATAACAAAGCAACACTCAAACTACCACCACGTGCCACTACACGAAGAAGCGCTGGAATTTACGCCCTCGCACTTTTACGTGTACAGTTACCCCACCACGCGCACCACATAAAGAGAATCAGGGGATTTACAACCCTCTACCTATACATGTAGTGCACCTTACCACCAAGTGGCAGCCATAAAGGAACAGCAAGAGAGCTAAGATTCAATTATCAACTTAGAATGATTATAATGTAGTTTAAGAAGATAGCAATAAAAACCAAGTAAAATAAATGTGTTAATTATTGAATACATGCACTATCCCTTCCACTTACCCACAATCCTTCTACCAACCATCTGGAAGCTTACTCTAATTGTAGACATTTGGTCCTTCAAACCGGATACTCTATTATTAGACAAATAGTAAATACTAAAATTTTTAGCATTTACAAAAAATACAAAATATTAATTATAATGGACGTTCAAGAAAATTAATAAATTTTCTCTATAAATTTTTCCTTTTCCCTCTCTTTTAACTTTATTTTTTGTTTTTACTTTACTCATAAAAAAAATTCTCAAATAAAATTACAATTGTTTATGTTATCCAACTAGTGTGAATTACGATTGGATGTTACATTTTTAAGACAATCGAATCTTTTTATTTAAATATTTTTATTTAAAATAATTTTAATTTTAAATATTTACAATATTTTAACCTAAATAGACTAATATTGTCAAATATGTAAACAGATAATTTTCTGACTATGTTACGATTAGAAAAATGAACTATCTAAATATATTATCATAAATACAGAAAACTGGGGGATATATAATTAATAAATATATCTGATTTTATATAAAACAAAATTGTATTTTTATTTAACATTTATCAATTATACACATCTTGAAAACTCAAATAAATAGAAAATGTGGTGATGAAATATATTTTCAAGTTTTCTTAAAACAAAAATAATTTAATCAATACTTAAAAATCAGTACTCACATTGATTGCTAATAATATTAGAACTAGATTGTTCTGGATTCTACCAAGAAAGTGCTTCATAAACAGAAGTTAAAAATCTTAGTTGACTATGTAAAGTAATTATTACATATTTCATTACCAAAATTTGAAAATGTCAAATTAATCATTTATTTGTAAATTTGATATATTACAATACTTCACATTGCCAATGTATCTATTGTATCAAACTATTTGATAATACAATTTAAAATTACATTCATTTCAAAGATGCTCTTAATACATGAGGGTATCAAATACCTCAATTAATAATTTTTTAATTTAACGGATCATAAATAAACTACATAATTTTACTATCAATTTGTATCCTTACGTAAATTATCCTTAAACATAACATTATTTTATATTAATAAAAAAAATTGGAAGTTCTTAAGAAAATTGGTTGATAATTTGTAATTCAGTGTGTTTTGCAATTAAAAGATAAAGTGAGCGAATACATATACATAAGTAAAAATATATGAAAATCAGTAATCAATTAATGTTCTGCTTTTAAATAAGTTTTAAATTATCATAGTTTTCAAATATCACACAAAATTATATATTTAATGTATTTTATGTGAACTTTTTTTCTATTATACAATCTAATACATATATTATACAATATACTGCTGTTACGGATTCAAACAGTTGAAAAGCGGAATACAAAAGTGACAGAGATATGAACGCGTAATTCAATTATTTTAACAAAGCAATAGCAGCGAATCTTCCAGACTATGCCCTGTTGACGTGACGATAACAAAACACCGGCGTTTCAAGCAATAGTACGATAATATTTAAGAGCTGCGCTTTACATGCTGCAGTCAGTCTTTCTCAGTCTTTCTTAGTCTTTCTTAGTCAAGTCTATTAACAATTACGCAGTCATTATAACGTGAGCACTATTTAATCTTCAAGGTGTCAGTCTACAATCATCATTCACTATACGTTTTAAACATCTATTCAGTTATTTCACTTTAGTGTCAATTGCACCAACAAAAAATACAATTAAAATTCAGATAATCAAGAATACAAGAAAGAACTTACACTATTACAATTGAAGAATACAAGAAAGAACTCACACTACTGCAATTGAATAATTCTCTATCTCAATAAAAGCAACCAATAACACTACAATATTATAATTTTATAAGCAAATAATTTATAATCGACTTTAAATATATTACATTATACTTTTATCATTTCATTTGTGCATTCTTTTTTCTTAATTCATTATGGCGAGAAATTAATCCACTGAACTATTGAATTGGCAGTTGGAGCCATAAAAATAAAACATTAAAAATCGAACAACTGCGTAGTATAAATTTTATAATAATATTAATAAAATTTCAAGGAAATAAAAAAATGTTTAAGATTATTCTATTTCATAACAATTTCAAGTTTTGCGAATTATTAATAAATATAATATTAATATAGGCAAAATATATATTGATATTTTAACAAAAAAAAAATATATTAACATAATTAAAATACATCATTGTACTTTATTTATATACATTAAGTTCTTAACAAAATTTATTAAATAAGAAATAAAATAATTTCTGGAATTCAAGCCTAAAAAATTGAGCCGTAATTTGTTCCGAATTGAACTACCTAACAAAAAAAATAATTTATTGTCTGTTATAATACGATTCCGATACATTATATTTAGCTTAAGGCGTAATATTTGAATTACACGTTACAAAAATTGCACTGGAAATTTAGCCGCGTACTTTGTCCGCATAGCAACAGAAGAAGCTTCTCGAACGTACTAAAGCTTATTTCCAGAGAATTTACTAGAACCTCCAAGAATTTACAACGCTAAATGTACGCAATCGTATTTAAGAAGCAACGAATGGAGAAGGAAATCAGTCTTGTTGAATAATTCAAGTGAAATTAGTGCCAGTCATACCAGTAAAAGTTGAACTCGTCTAAGGGAATCCTGCAAGGTATATTCATTTGTTTATATTGATTATTCCATTATTGCTGACCAGCTATCAGTTCGTCCTCCGCAACGTGACGATAGTCGGACTGCATTGGGGACGACGACATAGACTGGTATCTCTAGGACCTTATTAATATACACGTAATTTTCGTTAATTAATTAATTAATTAATTAATTGATTCACCCTACACGTAGTTTTCGCGGCCCACGTCTACACTATCGGCTAGACCCTTGCAACTTGATTCTTATCAGACCGCTAAAGAGGGGCGCTGATACTGACTAGTGGCCCCGCCAAATTCTTATTACACTCGCGGCCCGCACCTGCAATATAGATCAGGCCCTTGCAACTTGATTCTTATCAGACCGCTAAAGAGGGGCGCTGATACTGACTAGTGGCCCCGCCAAATTCTTATTACACTCGCGGCCCGCACCTGCAATATAGATCAGGCCCTTGCAACTTGATTCTTATCAGACCGCTAAAGAGGGGCGCTGATACTGACTAGTGGCCCCGCCAAATTCTTATTACACTCGCGGCCCGCACCTGCAATATAGATCAGGCCCTTGCAACTTGATTCTTATCAGACCGCTAAAGAGGGGCGCTGATACTGACTAGTGGCCCCGCCAAATTCTTATTACACTCGCGGCCCGCACCTGCAATATAGATCAGGCCCTTGCAACTTGATTCTTATCAGACCGCTAAAGAGGGGCGCTGATACTGACTAGTGGCCCCGCCAAATTCTTATTACACTCGCGGCCCGCACCTGCAATATAGATCAGGCCCTTGCAACTTGATTCTTATCAGACCGCTAAAGAGGACGCCGATACTGACTGGTGGTCCCCGCGAAATTATTACTGTGGCATAGCGATAATATTATCGGTCACGCCGCAACGAGTTGGTTCTGATCAAACCAACAAAAGAGGGCGTCGACAATCCGTAATAGTCCCCACTACCTTCACGAGCCGAATAACGCTCAGTACAATTCTAGCGTCGACTCAAATGACTAGCCATTCACGAGCTGAACAACTAGCCACCAATTTGATCGCCGATTCAATCAACTAGGCAGTCGCGAGCCGAACAACGAGCCGCTAATTTTATCACCGAATCAAACGTCAAGTATTCGTGAGCCGAACATGCGCCGTTAATTTCTCACCGAACGTTAAGTATTCGCGGATCGAACAACGTGCCGTCAAATTGATTGCCATCAAGAAAGTCGCCAGTCAAACGGGGCTTTCTTGAAAACCATGGTCGAATCAATGGTCTAATGATTCTCGAACCGGAGAGATTCCTTTAATTTAGGGACTAAAGCATGTGCCCAGTATTCACAATTCACCTTTTAGACTTGCACTCTCAGACGACGAATGATATTTATAAATGTTAAGTATATTTATTTTAGTATTTTGATACTAGTGCAAAAATTCATTTTTTCTCAATTTGCTTGAAGCACAGTAGTTGTTAATAATAATTTCTTTGTCACAAGTAAATATTTTTAAAGCGAGAATATTTACTGCAGTCTTTTTTAATCTTAGACTGATCTTCGTATCCACACTTTTTAAAACATTTTATGGTCCGTGGATCAAGTAAAAACAAATATGATCTAGTTTTTAAATATTATACTTTAAAATACATTGTTCAAATTTTAACTGTATTGCATAATATTTTTAAGTATCATGTATGATGGTGCATATTTAAATTTATATATTTGTTTTAATATTGTATAATTATAAATATTAATTGCTAAAGCATAATTCATCTGTATTCTTAATTAGATTATTTTTTTGAAATTATATTTTTTACATAAATAAAATTAGACAAATTAATGTTTAAATTGTTTAATTTTTAAATTAATTCAATTATAAAATATCGTTCTTTTTTTAATTATATATACAATTCAAATAAAATTAATTAGATTAATATTGACTATGTATTATGAATAATATAATTACAGCTATATTTCATTGATAAACATTTATTTGTATTATAAATTAAATGTTAAGTAGCTTTTTACTAGATTTTATAGGCAATTCAGTAAAGATTAAAATCTTGAATTAGTAATCATATATTTAAGATAATTATTTTTTATATTTCAAGTTTATTCATAAATTGATATTGAAATGGTATATAAATGTTAATTTAAATATATATCGATTAAGTGATTTCATAAATATTTGAAAAACCGTGAAAAATATATACTAAAAACTTTAAAAGTTTTATCAAAATGTTAAAAATGATTAGAATGTATTTAAAAAAATTAATTTAAAAAATACTGCAGTTAAATAAATATTACCTTATTTTTGTAATAGCATGTTTAGTGAGAATTCTTTCTTTTGGTATATGCTTACAAATGGGTTCTAAAATAGAACTATAACCTCCAGGTAAACTTATATTACCACCTTGAAGTTCCGTATATGATCCCATTTCCATTAGATCAATTTCTTTCATATTGTCACATCCAGTTATACAAGTTTCCCTTTTGAGTAAGCAATCAAAAAGCAATTGTCGAATCTTTTTGTCTTCTGGTGATAAAGATGCCAAATATAGATTAGTTTCAAGAACAATATGTTCTCCTACACTATGAATTCCTTCTGGTGGATTATAAGAGCTTAAAAAATATTCCTCACATCTTTTCAAAAAGCATATATAGGCTGTATATATTTCTTCCAAGACAGAAAATGGTATTTGTTTACCATCTTCCATTGCAGCAACAATTTTATGAGGTCTTGATATACTCATAATACTAATAAGATCATTGGTCATAGCAAGTTCAAAAATTGGATTACCTAATACTCCATGAATCCAGTTGGCACCTAACTCTACTTTTTTATCTCCTATATGCATATAACATATTTTTAATTACAAATTTTATTTTCAAATAGGGAATTAAAAATGTAATTGTAAAATATGTTACAATGGTAATATATATTTAAATATAATAATAACGAATAAATAAGAAATATTATATTGAAACATGAAACGAAAATAGATTTAATTAATAAATAATTACTTACCAATATTTGTAGCAACAATTCTACCACCGACACGAGAACGAGCCTCGACAATTAGAAAATCTTGCTCTGCATTTTTCAAAAGATGATTAGCGGCAGATAAACCAGCCATACCAGCTCCAACAATGAGTACTTTACATGAATGCAATCCATTGTCCACCGATTCTTCTGTAGATGCCGCCATGACCATGTTGATTGATTATGTATTTAATTGTAAATTTCTAATCTGTTACTACAGTTCTCTGTTATAATATAATATGATAATCTTAATTTTGATAACGTAAACTGATGTTGTAATTTATGTGTATTTTTAATCTGTAAAAGAATTACAATTTTTAGCTATATAAAATTTTAAATAATTTCCAAAATCTAGAAATTTAATTAATAAACTTTTATAGCGTGATAATCCTTTTAAGTACATATCATATCATTTCATTATAACAATAAATATTACAAAGTTGTATATGAAATATTCCAATTATTACAATTTGTAATTGCACTATAAGGCGTGAATGCGTATAGTAACATGCAATTAATAATACAACAGAATGTTATAATGTTAAGCATTTTGAAGTACTCAAGAATTAAGAATCATTAAAAATATTATTATATAAATCTATAAAATATAACGAAAAAAACTAATTCGAATAGCTAATGTAATCAGCATAAATTGTTCAATTCACCTCTTAATTTTTCATTACTTTTATATTAGATTGATACACGAATGAATTCGGAATATTTTCGAAAACTTTGCAAATTATGAGTTACGCACATCTGAAAGAATATCGTTCGTTTGTCGTTCATTCATTTTAAATATATTTAAATATATATACTTAAGTACTTTCAATAAAATAGAGCAGACACAAAAAATGCATTATAAGTACTTGATTAAATAAATTAAAATAACGAAGGACTAGCAGTTGAGTATTTCAGTTATATTGAATTATTTTTTTGTTCGTTATTTATAAATACAAAAATTTAATGATTATAAAAATTAAAAGAAAAATTATTATCAAAAATTTTGATTGAAGAAAAAGGAAAATGATAATTATAATAAAATATGCAATCGCTTCCAATACTATTAAATAAATAATTTCATTTTTAGATTTAAATAAAATACAAACTAAAAATGTATATTATAAAAAGTAAAAAATATAAATGAACAAATGGTAGCCTTTCGCTATTTTAATTTATAATATTTATAAAGAACAATATAACAACACATTGAATTTCAAATTTTAATGTCCTTCATTACAGTGTTATATAAATATTGTATTTGAAATTACGGACATATTCAACCTTAATTTAAAAATAATACCTTGAGTACTTCTATAGGTAAATATATTCATTTATATACTTAATTACAAATTATTTATGTTAAATAAATAGAAAATTAATTTTTACATTTTGTTATTTCATACTTTGTTACTTCATAATTAAAAAAAAAAATTAATTAACAGGACTATATACTATAATAATGATGGGAAAATTGCTTGAAAAGATGTACAAAGTTTTCCTCCCTACATTTTACATAAGTAGATAATATATTGATGAATTTTAAATATTGTATAAAAAGCCGGTAAAATATAGAATATTAAAATTGCATTGCAAAATTGCAGAATAGAAACATACAGTAAAGAATAACATATTAACTATATACAGTAATTTTGCAATAATATTTTATTATTTAGTAAATTATTGGTATATTAGACTGTAATTTTAAAACATAATAGTCTGAAGGAAAGTGAACAATAAAATTAATAACTAATGAAAAATAATTAAATATTTACATTAAAGACAAAATTCAAATAAGATAAAAGAGTTTAGTATATTTTTGCTAAGATTTGTTACATTTATGTAATTCAAAACTTATCATTCAATGCTTTTATATTTATATTTTTATTGAATAACTATTATTAATATTATCAATGTTATTAATATCTATTTACTATAAAATAAAAATTATTTATCAATCATTTTCTATTATCCATATATAATATCATACCAAATTGTGTCAGATAAAAGTGTTAAGTTTTAATTTCGACTTTTTTAAAATATATATTTGATTTTGAATTAATTTTTTTATAAAGTAATGAAGTAAAACAAGAAATGTCTATAAATAATAAATTATAAATATTTATAAAGATTATTTACGAATCACTTAAAAACTTTTGTTACGAATTTCAGCAGTTTTTAAGCGGAATAAAAAGTGGGAGAGGTATGAGCGCGCGAGCATTTGTTTTGTAAAAAATGACTAACGGACTCAAAGAATGCTTATAACAGAAAAACTCGAATATACTACTATAATTGCAAAAGTAATAACAAATGAACTCTACGAGACTATGCCCTGTTGACATCATGACAAATATCGGCATAGCAACGACCACCGATGTCATGCTGCACATGACGCTCTCGATCTCATACTAGTTTAATTAAGTAGTCATCAAGATCAAATCGCCGTTCTACAAGTCAACGCCATTTACACAGAGATTACCTTCAATTCACACAAATCACCGTCCTACAAGTCAACGCCACTTGCACAGAGATCACCTTTAATTCATACAGACCGCCCCCACCTACAGAGATAGTCTCCCAATACCATCACACGGATCGAACTCACTACACGTAAGTCACGCTATTACACACGTCTTTACGTTCCATCAATGCACCGAGATCGACTCCACACGTAAGCTGCGCTATTACACACCTTTTTACGAATCACTAACACACGGCTCTGTGAACTAAGTAAGCAGCAATACCTAGACCACGGCATCATTGCCATTCATCAGTGACGTCACACACCAACGCCACCAGCCACGCCTCTCCAGATTATCGGTAGAGGCAACGGTGGCATCAATTCTCCTCAACAGTGACGCCACACACCAGCGCCCCACCCAGGCCTCTCCAGCGTATCGATAGCGGCAATCGTTGGCCTCAACACTCACCTATCACACCGTGACCCTCTTCACGGCATCATCATCCTTTATCAGCGCATCTTACACTACCACGAATCCTAATCACAAGTAGGAGAGTCACGCACCACACTCAAGAATACACTTATAAGATTATCATCACTCACATCACCTGAAGAAACTCTCACCCATTCATTGTATCATTCATTCAATCTCACCTCAATAGACCACTGATTATTTATTATATCATTATATTCAATAAAAGGAAAACCAACTCATACAAAGGCAGTATTGAATTATTGCATTGTCCATTCCACTTGCCAGCAAGCCTCCCTTCATCATCTCAGGGAAGCGTTTAGTAGTTATAACTTTATATTAATTAATAGTCTGATTTAACAGTATAAATACGTGATAAATCAATCGTTAAGAATAACTTTAAATTTTTTTATTTAAATTTAATTGTTTATATTAAAAGATACATAAAAACTACTAAAAGTTGATATTTCTTCAATGAAATTATTTAGTGAAATATGTAGTAGCTAAATATTATCATGAGTTTCATTTATAGAGATTAAGTTAAAGGTTACTTTAGGTACCTTCTTATATACGATATCCATATATTAGATTAGAAATTTCTGAGTTATGTACTGTCTGGGATCAGACTAAAAACCTCCCTGAGATGGTGGATGGAGGTTTGCTGGCAAGTAGAAGGGACAATGCAATAATTCAACACTGCCTTTGAACGTAGTGCTTTTCCCTTTATTGAATATAAATGTATAATAAATCGTCAGTGTTCTATCGATGTAGAATTAAATATATGATACAATGAATAAAGAAGAGTTTCTTCAATTAATATGAGCGACAAGAATCATGTAAGTGTATTCTTGATGGCTTGGTGCTTGATTCTCCCACTCGTAGTTATGAACTCGCAATGGTAGTGGGAGATTCGCGCTGATAAGGGGCAGCGATGGTGCTGCCTTTGCCGCTGTCGATGAGAGCTATAGCGGTTTGAGTGGGGGGCGCCTGTGTGACGTCACTGATGCGAGGCAATGATGATGCCGTGGCGAGAGTTGCGCTGTAAGGGGGCAGCGATGTTTCCGCCTTTGCCGTTGCCGATAAAAGCTGTAGCGGCCTGTGTGGGGGGCGCTTGTGTGACGTCACTGATGCGGGGCAATGATGATGCCGTTGCCGCTTGCGAGATGTACGCTGAAGCGATCTAGTGGAGGGGTGATATCCGCGTCACGTTCTGCTTGACACGTGGGAGTATTCCTCGTGCCGTGTACCACTTATTAGTATTGCTGCTTACTTAGTTGATGGGAGCCGTGTACTAGTAATAGCGTAGCTTACGTGTGTGGAGTCGATCGCAGTTGCATTGATGGTACGTAAGAACGTGTGTAATAGCGTGGCTTACGTGTGTTGAGGTCGATCCGTGTAGTAGCGTTGGTAGGCCGTGAGCTTGGCTTCCGTTGATTCTAGTCGATCTCTGTAGTAGTAGTAAGCCGAATGAGCTTGGCTTACGTATGATATGGAGTCGATCTGTGCAGCTTTGGATGGCCGAATGAGCGTGGCTTCCATTGAGCAGGAGTCGATTTGTAGAATGTCGATCCGATCTTGATGAATGCTTGACTGAACTAGTAAGAGGACGAGAACGGCACGTGCAGCTCCTTAAATATTCTCAGACCAACTCGATCCGCCGATAGCACATCGGTGGCTGTTACTATGCCGCTATTTGGCGTAACGTCAATAGGGCATAGCTTTGTAGGGTTCACGCGTTAATACTTCTCGGAATTATGGTCGTACATTCGACTATTTTGCGTTGTGAGGCTTTTCGAGTTCGCAGAATTGTTTATGACTCGACGCAAGTTTTTCTAACTAAACATAGGTGACTTTACCTCTCCCACTTTGTTTACCGTGTAAAATTGCTGCAATCCGTAACATGTACCTTTACTTATGTAACTTATTTCTTATAAACTTATTTTCTTATGAAAAGTAAAACACTTTATATTATTGGTGTAACATAAAATACATATATAATATAAAACACTTTATATTATTTGTTATTATGGCAAGAATTACATATATATAAAGTTCATATAAATACAGAGGTTAAATAATCAATTAAGTATATATTACAATATATTTTCAATAAATATATCAATATAACTAGTTACAATAGTTTACACTAGTGTTTTGTTGTTTACTGTAAATAACGATGTTGTAATGTAAGATAGCTAAGAAGAAGCTGTAAAGTTAAATTAGTTATATAATAAACATATGAAATGCAATATATTATAATTGTTTAAATTAATAAAGCAAATAAATGAAATAAAAAAGTGTCTAACACACAGGTAAAATATATTGTAGTAAATCATTCTTTTCAGTATAAAAAAAATTCTTTTTCGAAGTTTAATTATTCTGTTGCTTGATAAAGAAATGGTTGTTTATTTCGTTGACTTAAAATAAAGTATAGGTATTTTTGTTTACTATTGGTTCGATAATTGTTATCTAGTTAGAAGGTCAATGAGTAATATAAATTGTAAAATCTTTTTTCAAATATAAAGCTGTCACCTATTTGCAGGTCAACAATCTTTAGAAATGGATAGATAAATAATAAATATATGTTATTAAAAAATGGATAGTAATACATGAAAATGTGATAGTCTGAAAAAATGTAATTGAAAAATAATTATTCTTCTGATAATAGACATACTATTTTTTATTTATTTATTACTATTATTATTAATTTTAATTTTATTGAATTATAATGTGTTTTATTTGCGTAATTTTAATTTGATTTTAATATGATTTTGGAACTAAATTTTTATATTACTTATAATTCTGTAAAGTTAAAATAATTGTTAAGTACAAAGAGTTTTATTTAATGTATCCCAAAATAATTTTAATAATTCAATTTTTATTCTGTTTAATTGCTTATCTGATTTTACTGATATATTTTTATTGTTTAAATTGATTTATGTTTGTAATAAATCATAAAAAGATTGAAAATAATTTTTTTCGTAAATGGGAAATATATTTTGTTTATTGAATTTAACAAAAATTTTTGTATTTTTAATATAAATCACTGCATAAAAATAGATATTTACAATTTATAATATTTATTAGTTATTAAATTGCAATGCCTGATTTCATTTTCTTTTATATTCTTAATGAAATTTAATATTACTATAAGTTTGTGAAAATATATCTTATCCTTCAAAAATATAAATCAGAATAATTTAAATGGCTTATTACAAAATGTTATCAAGTTCAAATTTAATCGATATTAAAATTTTAATTCAGTTTATATGAAATTTGCTCATTATTTTTAAATATAATCAAAACAGGTTCAAACATTTGAATTATAGATAAGCTTGATATATAACAATAAATAAGTTTATATATAAAAAAAATATATAAAAATCATGTATAATATTTACAACTAATTTTTAAGTATATTATAAGTTAAGTAAATTTATTTAAAAGATCATTATTAAAGAATTTTTTTATTTATTGAAGTACAATTTACAGAAATTAATTTAATGATGCACTCACTTTTAATTATTATATCATTGTTAGAATATTTTAAAAATGAATGCACTTTAATGAAACAGACATGAATTAATTATTTTAATATTGTTTTATTTATATGCTATGTTGTTATTATATTGTTTATAAAAAATATTTTCTTAAAATATTGATATTTATTTCTTTTTTCTGTACTATTTTTGTAAATATTATTTATAAATATTTTATATTCATTTACATGTATTCTATACAGTTTCTTGGTAATATATCTGCATTTTCATGTTGAAATAACTTTATACATAACTTTAAATTTGTATTTGTAAAGGATTATTTGTTATTGTGTTATAATGCAAGTGAGGTTTCTTTAAGATTGGTTACCATATAAGGGAACAATGTCTGTTGTGATATCTTGATAACATTAATCGATGCATAATATTAAAAATGTGTTAATAATAAAGTATACAATAGTTGGATAATTTTATTAAAATTTTATAATTTAATTAATATGTGAATAATGTATAAGCTTTAAAAATTGTTATTTGGAAATATACTTATGAAAAATATTTGATGGTCCATTTATTTTAATTAATTTTTTGGTTTAAGTTTAAAATAAGAATTAATTAACGACAAATATGTGCTGTATATTATAAGTATTATCATAGAAAATAAAATATTCTACATTATTGCAAACTCAATTATATGTAATTCAATTATTGTTTTATACTACTTAATAATAGATGATTTATCTTGTTGATTTGAAGATGAGTGAAAATGCTCAATGTTGTAATTATGTGAATTATTGCTATTTGATTATGTAGACAAGTATTGATAATAACTTGTATTATGTATATACAAGTGATTTTTTGCTTTTCAAATGATCACTCACTTATAGGTAACTTAAGTTGCAAAAAAAAAATTCTATATTGAAAAATGCTGGTGATACTTAGTTTTACATTATAATACTTTTTAAGTTTTATGAAATTATAAACTTATTATTATATCAGTAAAAAACAATCATTTAATCTATAATAAATTAAAGAATCAACTAATATAATATAATAAATTGTGGAAGAAAAATTTAGAATATTTTAAGATCCCTTAATTTATTTATTTACGTTTGTTTTCCTATTATAATTTAACCTAATAGAGTAATAAACTGTTCAAAATTTGATTACAAGTGTGTATGGATGATGATATGATTATTCTAATTATAAATATTTTATTATATTATAGCATATGAAATATACCTTATTACCTTATTAAAGTGTGCTATTTCATACATGTACATTAATACTTATAAAAATAAAATTTACAATAGATTAAAAAGAAATTACTATAAAATATTACCAAAATATGTAAACTGAATTTTGTTTTAAAAATACATAATTAATATTTTATTTGCTTTATTTAAAATTTTGTATTTTATAATCAATACAAAATGCATATAATAACAATTATAATTTTATCCAGATATAATCCATTAATTTTAATTAAATTAATTATTTATATACACATACATAATAATTGAATGGTTTATGTAAAAATGTAGTATAATATGCATTTAAAAGTATATATGAATTTGAAAATAATAAAAAATTATTAATGTTTTGATAATAAAGGAAAGCTCATATCTTTAAAAGTTTACAAAGAACTAAGTAGATTTGTAATAATATAGGTAATTAGAAGATTAATTTCAATATTAATAAATAATTATTGTTTATATATATATATATATAACAAATAATATAATAACAAATCTAAGTGATGTGGTGTATGTATATATATGTATGTATGCTTATATATATAAACAAATATTTTTCAAAATGATAAATATATATAATAATATATATATATAATTATTTATTATATGCTAAATAAGTTCTTAATGTTATTATGTATAGTTAGTATATAATATTTACCATTTTAATGATGAATTTGATATTTTTAATAATTAGTAGGAACTACACATTACTAGATAGAAGATGAATTCAATAGTCTATAGAATTTAGTCTGTTCACAGTCATGAAGAAGCACTATAATTATTATAATTATATTACTGCTTGATATTATTTCTTATTTGTTTCATAGAGAAAGTAATTTTGAACTTTAAGTTATCCTATGATTTAATCTTCAAATTTGAGAATTTGAAATTAAACTAACACACGCTATGTAGTAATTATTAGCAATAATTGATCTAACATTATTCATACCTTAAATGTAAACTAATAATTTTATATTTATTATATTTTATAATTGTAAGTACTGCATACTATTTTTATTATAAATTTAATACTGCATTTTATTTGTTTAAATATTTTTTTTAAATATTTGAAAATACATATTCATTAAAAATTATTAAGGAGATAATTATTCATATTATTCATATTAAAGTTAAGTAATTTAAAATGTCTGTTAGCAGCTGAAATTGCGCATGCGTTTTTAATCAGCTGACCTATTAATGAATGATGCAACTCTACAAACAGAATTATAAAAATGATAGTAGTAGTGGTAAGTCTGTAAGGATAAAGTGCATCGGTGGGTACATCGTCACGTACTACGAATCTTCAATAATAAAAAATCGCTATTACTCCACGTAACTTTGTTTTTAAAATGATGAATGAGGAAGCCAAGAAGACATTCACAGTTTTTAGTTTATTTGAACCCACTGAAGTGTGTAGCGCAGTGCCTAAAACTAGGTCTGTATATAATTATTTAATGTTTATTCGTTTTTACCATCATGTATTTTTAGCAGTAAATTATAAAATGTTTTATAATTATATATTTCACAAAGTCATTATTATCAACAACGTTTTAAGATGTTTATTTAATTTGAATTTATTTAATTTTTTCGAGTACAATATTGGTACAAAACTTATATTAACACGAAGAAAGACGCCAATGGATCACACAACTTATAAAAAAACAGCCTCATTTTCTCATTATTGTTTTGTTATTATTTACGAATTTCTTATGTTGAACATAAAAAGTAGGCAATGAATAGTGAAATTATAAATGTTGATATTCCATTAATTTAATAATGATAATATCATACTATAGCTCAAAATATCATTTATACATCTACAAATTTAGTATGAAATAAAATCTTTATTATTTTGCTTTAATTTTTTTAATTGTAATATGTTTGTTTCTCAAAAGTGAAATTTTTAATATGCTTTAAAAATATTTACATAGATTACATAGACTTGATTAATAACAAATGCAATTTGTAGGTTTATTCTTAAAAAAAAATAAAAAAAAACCAGTTAGAAAACTTTTTATATAAAATTAATATTTAATGAATGTACTAAAGAAACATGAATCAGCGTTAGTTAAAAAATTCTAATATTTAATATTTTGAATTATTTACCAAGAATATATTTTTCTTTAATATATTTAAAATTATAATTACAAATAATAAATATTTTAATATTTTAGTTATAAATATATTATCAAAAAATTTTTACTATGATACCTACTAGATGACAAAATATAAATGTCATTATTTATAAAGCAAAATACAGGAGTTTATAAATTTTTTACTAATTTTGATTGTATTGTTACATTTAATTCATGAAATGTTATAATCAAAAATGTAATTAACAATTATATATCAAAAAAATACAAGACTTTAATCATAATGTGTTTTCCAGATAGATTTAATTTTGTTAGTTCTAGAAATATTATATTATTTAGTAGTATTTAATACATATTTTAGTATTTTCTGAAAAGTATATTTAGTAAGTATATAATAAAAAAAAAAAATAAATATATTTATTATTTTTATTTGTAGACAAGAATTATTAAAATGGAATGGATGGGGTTATAAGGATTCTGAATTTCGAGTTAATAATAAAGGTGTGATTGAGTTTACCGGTAATAGGTGAGTTCTTGTCACAAGATCTTTTATTTTATTATAAATTAATTAATATATTTATTCAGTTCTTTGTTATGTAATCATTTATTGATATTTATTTTACTTTTGAACACATCAGAGTCCTAATCATAGTTAGTAAATTTATGATATAATTTTATTATAGGATTAGGTTAATTTTAAGTAATATTGGATACTTAATTTACCTCTTTAATTAATTTTAATAATTCCAATATTTATAACGTAAGAAATTTATTTGAAAAATGTAAAAAATTCTTTAAAATATATGTTGTGAAATTCAAATACATTAAAAAAATAAATTATCTATTTTTTTTATTACAAATTTCCTTTTTAGAACTTACTAAAAAGAGGAAGCACTAAAATTCAATTAGAAAAAGTTTTATAATTATAATATCTGTAATATCATATACCTTTTGCAGAAAAGAATAAATGAAAGTCCTATTTAGATTTATAATACAATTCTGCTGTTGTAATAAATTTGACAATTTGAGAACGTGGTACATACAATATTTTATATTAATTTCTTTTTTTAATTTTATTAAAATCTGTTTTTAGTCAAAAGTCTGTGTGCTGTATTTATTACTAAATTTAATATGTAAATCATTAAATATTTCAACTATGAGCAATATTTCAAATGACTTACGAAATATCAGGTATGAGTTTTATGTTCTTATATAATAAAAGTTTTTCAATTATATTAATATTGATTACTCTCATTAATCAAATATAATAGCTATGACAGTATTCAATAATTTCGTTGTGTTACTCCTACTGTATGTAGATTATTATATACCAATTTGTATTAAGGACAATTTTTTTACATTTATTTTTTGCCTTGTTTGAATAGTGTATGATTTTTCAGTATAGTTGATACACTATATTATGGTTTTAATTTGGAATTAAAAAACAATTTCTAAAAACAACTGTCACATAATTTTATTAACTTTATTAAGAAAGATCCTCTCAGTTTCCAGATTTTTATTTAAAATAATTTATAAACTATGTCATTATTTTTGTTTTGATCCAAATAGCCATTTTATATGCTTTGTTGACGAATGATTGAATATTGAGTTGTTCTGGTATCTTTTATAACAATTAGTAATGTAAATAAATAAAAATATTTATCTCTTATCTAATCACTGACGAAATATTTTTATTATTTAAAATTATAAATCACTGACTATTAATTATATATAAATTATATGTAAATTAAACTCTAAATTATTTATTCTATGAATATTAAAGTCACAAAATGTTAATGAATATTGCTTACAATTAAAAAGATAAATTTAGCTTGATACATTGACAAAGTACAATTTTCCTTTGTTCTAATTCTATACTCATTACAATATATATATTGTATAAATAATTAGTTGTGAGTACTATAAATTACTGTATATTTACAGTTTAATTATTGGATTTAAATATCAATTTATAAATTATATTATTGTTTATATTTTGACCATTGAATAAAGTCAATCAAGAAATGATACAATATTTTCAAGTATGCTAATTTAAAATAATTATATTACATAAACAAATAATAAATTGATTGAAAATAATTTTTTTTAACTCAGTATATATTACTGTAATTTTATATAATTACACATTTTTTGTTTAGGCCAATAAATAAAGAAAGACCATTATTTTCAAGAGCTGCTATGTCTAAATGTTAAAAAATTATTATTATAGTTTATCTATGATAAAATGCATTTATTGATTTTGATATTAGGATTTTTGTTTATAGGAAAATATAAAATATATTATTTATCTTCGAATCAGTAGAGTGTTATTATCTTTATCTTATAATTTAAACTACTTAAAAACAAACTCATTGTTATAGTATCATTGTTTCTTTGATTAATATTTATTTTTATTAATGGTAGAATTAATCAATATAAATAAATCTTGGAAGATAGAAATTATTTAGAAATATAAATTTTAATTGTTAGTCATTGTTATTTCCAAATTAAATTTATTATTTATTTGTAATATTATTTTAAATAAAAATAAAATAAATAAAAATAAAATAAAAATAGTATTCAATATAAATAATATATTAAATTAATGTTTATATCTATATACATATGTTCGGGATTGAAGCAGTCCCATGAATTTCAAACAAAAGAAAGGTCATATACGCAGTCCGGCGTACCGCATGTGCGCCTAGACTGACCGCGCGTGCAGCAAGGCTGGCCACCACGTGCGCCTAGGCTGATCCGCACGTGCGGACCGAGGCGGTCACTCGAGAAAATGTTTACAAACAAGACTCGGCAAGTCCGAGCAAGTTTACGATTTGAAATATTATTTACTGCCAGCACTCACAAAAAGGGACGCCTTCGAAACTTCTAGAAGCTTCGTTTTCTCACGCCAAAGGAAAATTTCTGGAAGGGACGCGCATCGACACTGTTGTCGGCGCTGAAGACGCCGCATGCACATTTAAGCGCAACACGCCATGAAGCGACGCTCATTCGTAAAATCACTTCGCTCTCCATCAAGCGTAACTGCCGGTCAGTGCAAGTATACTGTAAAGACGCCGCGTAGCCACATTTTCGGCAACATAAGCTCATTCGTAAATTCACTCCGCTCTCAATCAAGCGTAACTGCCGGTCAGTGCAAGTATACTGTAAAGACGCCGCGTAGCCACATTTTCGGCAACATAAGCTCATTCGTAAATTCACTCCGCTCTCAATCAAGCGTAACTGCCGGTCAGTGCAAGTATACTGTAAAGACGCCGCGTAGCCACATTTTCGGCAACATAAGCTCATTCGTAAATTCACTCCGCTCTCAATCAAGCGTAACTGCCGGTCAGTGCAAGTATACTGTAAAGACGCCGCGTAGCCACATTTTCGGCAACATAAGCTCATTCGTAAATTCACTCCGCTCTCAATCAAGCGTAACTGCCGGTCAGTGCATAGTATACTGTAAAGAAACCGCGTGGCCACATTTTCGACAACATAAGCTCACTCGTAAAGTTCACTTCGCTCTCCATCAAGCGTAACTGCCGGTCAGTGCATAGTATACTGTAAAGACGCCGCGTGGCCACATTTTCGACAACATAAGCTCACTCGTAAAGTTCACTTCGCTCTCCATCAAGCGTAACTGCCGGTCAGTGCAAGTATACTGTAAAGACGCCGCGTGGCCACATTTTCGGCAACCCTAGTAAAGAGTACCCGCGTGCATAGAAAAGATAATCGGCAATTCTTTAATAAGTGATTACAGTGAAGCCAATGGAATTATAATCAAAGGGAACATTACATACACAGCATCACACTTACGCTCTCTCGAAGTGATTACAGTGAAGCCAATGGAATTGTAATCAAGGGGAACATTACATACACAGCATCGAATACATCCAACCTGCAGTTCACCAGGTACATCTTTATATTAATAAATAAACAAGTCACATCTCTCGCTATTGTCGATCGGGCACACTTACGCTCTCTCGAACTAACCGTTCGACTTGGTACAGGCCCGCTAGCACAAACAGGGCACACTAGCGCTCGTCCGAAGAACACTTCGGAGCCGTGCAGGCCCTGAACAGCTGACGCAAGAGTCACTGTGGTTCACACACATTGGTTACACATGACCAACACAGATCGACTAATAGACTCTACAAATACGGATTATTAAATCCTTCACGAATTAGACATATTACTTCTAATTGTTTTTACCTGTGACTAGATTCTACTGCTGTCCCTTGTACATAATCAAAGACATAATCGATTACATAATAAATTCCATTTAAGATCTGACACCACATCAAGTATAGCTATTCATCAATCAAGCATACTTGATTCAACTACCATCTTCTCATGCTGCCTCACAAGCATGATTGACTGACGACATCAGCTGACATTGACAACATCAGCATAACCTCAAAGCAACACAGCAATATCCAAAGAAGCCTTTATAGCAGAAAAATCACAAGAACACATATTTTGAATAATCCAACAAAATATTTATTTCTACACAACAGTGCAATATTATTATAATTGTTTACACTCATTAAACCTTGTTTTAAAATAAATATATTATATTTTTCAGCCTTGTCCGTTATTGATTTCCTTTAAAAATTATCCTGCCGAGAGACTAATCCACTGAACTATTGAATTGGCAGTTCGAGCCAAAAGCTAACCCTTTAAATCCGAACAACATATTATAATGGAACTTATCAATGAGAGTTATTAGATTCTTACATTCCTGCCATGGAGACATATGTGTAATTGAAGACTATATAATATTTACTTGATAGTTAACTGATTGCACATTACTGTAATTGTTTATACTGTACTACAGTATTTATTTAAAGTATATTAATCTATATTTAGAAGATGACCTTTGATACACTAATGCAAGCTTAAATTGTACCTAGATAAGTATTTATATAGTCAATGACTATATTGGTAAGATAATAGTGATTTTATATCATCTCTAATAGCTGTGTTAGCTAAAAATCTTAATCGAATTATGAATCTAAATTTTAGATGTGCTCATTATAGGCAAAATTCTTAAATACTACGAAAATAATTGGCTATACACAAAGTCAATCGATTAAATAATATAATTTAAAAAAATATTTTATTTCAATGAAAAATTATTAATTTTATTTGAGAAACCCTATACCTATTTCTATATCTGTTTATCTACTTATCTAGCACATCTGACAACGGTTGCTACTAGGTGATAGTTTCATTCTGGATTTCATTCGAAATAGTACAAACATACTTTTTTACCTCATATTTGATATATATATATATATATATATAAATGTAGAAACAATGTATATTTATAAATATTATTATTTCAATTAATTATTTTTTTATTAAAATAATTAAGTAAACAATTCATTAATATAAATCTAGTTTATTATTAACAATGTATTTTATTAAAAATTATGAAACTAATTAATTTAGACAAGTCATTGTTGATCGATATAACATTTTGTTTAAGATGCATTTTTGTTATTCATATTTACTAGCAATAAATACATAATTAGATTAATAATTATATAAGTATATATTATTTAAATTATTTAAATATTAAATGGTATTTTCAAATTTACTTAATTAGAATAATAAATATAGAATATTAAAACGTATAATGTAATACAATTTACACTCAACTATATAAAAAAAATTGTGAGAAGTGTCTAAAAATAGAGTACCGGGCGAGGAGGGCCAAGTATCTAAGATTAGGTGTGAGCTCCCAGATGTTGATAGGAGGATTGCAGGCTAGTGGACAAGATAGTACATGTATTCAATACAGAGTAGTTTTGTTATTTAGTTTTATTTTATTTATATAATTGCATTAGTTGAATTATAATGAGTTTTAGAGATTGAGTACTTGCTTTTCTTGATTTGTATGTTTTATTGCCACTGAGCTATCACGTACGTCGCATACACAGGAAGAAGTTGATGCCTTGCTGGTTCTCTATATGTAACACACGTGTAGATAGAATAATACACACAGAAGAGCGAGGTCGTAAACCCCCGCGCTTCCTTGTATATGAGCACGTGGCTTGTATTATGTTTTGCAGATAGCTTTACGTATCTGCAGATTGGCGTATAGCTTGATATAGTTATGTATTAATTTGGAATGGAACGTTACCTCATGAGTCTGCACGTTGTGTATAGCTATGTTTTGTCTTGTTCTCTGAGTTGCCTCGTATGGCTCCCTGCAGTTTGATTCTGTATACTGTGCGAAATGATATTTGTAATTGTCGATTCCCCTTTTTACTTATATTGCACTGCTGCGAGTGTATGATTTGATTATCTAGCACTTGTGTTGAATAGAATAACCTTGCGTAATTAGCTTGGACTTTCTAATTGTTTGACTGCGTTTTAATTGACTTGTTCTTTTTCTGTTAGATAAGATAAGATAAGTGATTGTGCCGTGCCGGTGTTATCTTTTTTAAAGCCTTCTCTTGACCACGCGGTGGTCGGTGAGAATTCCCTCTCTTTTGGTGTCGCCAATCAGAGCTGTCTTGTCGATCATGGCGTCGCCAATGAGATTTAGTCTTATTATGTGTCCAATCAGAATTCTTCTTTAGTTTTTGGTAATTCTAATCACGGCGCCTTTTGAGTGGTGGGGTCTCCTACCAGTGAGTCTTTCCAAGATGTAGGCTCCAATGCGAACGGATCTTGCTCAACTCCCCTCCATGATGGTGGGTCTTGATGCCGCGCTTTTCCCTCTCCATCCTAACACTGTTGCATGCATTTCTTATAATCATGCGCGTTGCGATCGGTCATTGTTGTGAAGGTTAGGTGTAGCATTGTTTTTGAGTGTATCATCTGGCTTGCGTTTTTCAGGCTAATTTTATGATTTGTGTATGCCAGATGTTTTATGGCGAGGCCGTGTCAAATGTCTCGTAGCATTAGTTTTATGATTTATTTTGCTGGACACTTGGACCTTTGTTCTGGCCAGATGTGTTTATGAAATGTATTTTCTTTAGATATTCGTAGTTTTGCTGAATTGTTTAGTTTTAGTTAATGCGAGGCGCGTTTGAATGTTTATTTCTCGAGTAGTCGAGAGTTCGCCTTTTCCGGAACTCTTATCTCGGATTTTCCAGATGTTTAATGAGCTGGGAGTATTCTTACATTCTCGAACAAGAAGCTATACGCGTTTTATTGATTCTAGAATCAATGGTATTAAATTAATACAAAAAAGATTAACAGTAATCTGACAGATAGGTTAAATAATTTTCTATAGTGTCAGTATTTGGAATTTTGGATTCATTTAACAACGATCTATAAAATTAATTTAGAATTTTTAAAGAAGGATTTTTTATTAAAATATTTGATGAGCGATCATTATATTCTAGGCGCAAAATTATGTATTGTGGATAAAAATTACAAAATAAAATAAATTTATATTTTAAAATCATTGTATGTTCTTGCATTATTTTAAATGTTAGATTATTGATGTTTAAATACATATCTACATTTATGTAAAATATGTATTAACAAATATGTAAAATTTATATTTCTTACACTTAATTAGTATGTCTGTAAAATGTAATCGTAAAAATATAAAGAATCAATATAATAATATGATTTATATAAATATATAAATCGTAAAATGTAACTGTACTAGTTTTATTTTAATATCAAGTCAAATTAATTATAATTTCTTACATTTTTTGGCTTGTGCTTAAAATAGAAAAGATTGTGTAGTAGCTTAAAAAAATGTATTAATATTTTTATAAATATACAGATATCCAATAGGTAACAAAGAATTACCATACTTCACATCGTGGGTAAAAAATACTTTTAACGTGAATTTGGCAAACCAAGTAAAACCTAAAATGCTTCCAAAAGAATACCCAGAGCCAATAATCAACAATACTTTTTTGGAAGTTATTACAAATTCATCCATTAATTATTCATTACATGGAATTGATCGACTTGTAAGGTCACACGGACATTCTCTACGAGAAATATTTATGCTCAAAAAGGGTATACTTAAACGAATTCCAGATATTGTTCTTTGGCCAAGTATGCAATTTTTATTTTATATATATCTTCAAAGATTTCGATTTATTCAGATTTTATACTACACATTGTGTAAACAATGTATATAGATATATAAAAAATATTCGGACTTCGCGCATCATCGTAAACTTGAATATAGATAGAAATAAATTGTTCAATAAAAAAAACCTAATTCAAAATAAATCTTCATTTCATTTATAATTGACTGTTTAAGAACACCGCAATTGTATGCAATTGTATTTTTTTTTTCAAAACAACATTTACTTGTATTATATATCTATTATTTATTCTAGATTAAGTTTAAAATATTTATGTAAAAGAATTACTCTAATTATGAAATAAATATAGTAATGCTGAACCAAATTAAAGATATTTTATTACTAAATGAAATTTGATGATTAAGTTAGAGCTAAATTTTTGTGTTTTCAATTTTAAGAATTTTATAAAGGTGGCGTATAAAAGATATATTTTATGTTTGTATATTTCGAATATTTAGAGTATACAGAATAATTAATAATATCATATAGGATTTAAAAATTTATTATTAATAAAAGTAGTACGCCTTTTAAATAACTTTTAGTGATTTTTATAAAGAAAATTCTAAAGTATGAAAATTTTGTAGGGTATATTAATAAAAATTGTGTGCGAGATAACCGAATATAAACAATAAAATAGATTTCCATTGTAAATAAAGGTTTAAATTAACCAGCAAAAATCGATACAAAAGCATTAACTATAATAATCTGAAGCGCAGCTTTTGGGTGGCCATAAAAAACAATTTATCCACTTATACATTCGATGTATGGAACATTCAATTATGATCAAGTGCTTTTCGGCGATACACTTCGTAAAGTAATTCAGCCAATTTATTTATATTTAATAGTTTCTTACTCTTTAGAAAAAATTTAAAGAGTAGAAAATTTAAATATGAAAAACTTTAAAACAACTGCTTATTTTTTTCTTTATAGTGCCGCAGTTACTCTATTTTTGTTCATTATTATTCAATTATTCAAGTTATAAAAATATTATAAATCATGTACTACCTCTTACATTTTTAACGACTTAAATGATCGCAGCTGTGTCTAGTTAATATAGTAAGAAAGGCTAAAATTGAAAGAAAAGAAGAGATATAAACTAGAATAATCTTAATAATAGTATAAATATTGTAATATAAAATTGTGACAATTTTTATTTTCAGTTTTTAAAATTTTAAATGTGTTTGTCTTAAAATCATGTCTCAAAAATTTATTATTACTGTATTACTTGAAAATATTTTAATATCTTTAATTCAAATTGATTAAAAAAATTACTAATTAATTTTCTTGAAAGTAAATAATTGTATTTGTTACGGATTGCAGTAGTTTTTAAGCGGAATAAAAAGTGGGAGAGGTATGAGCGTGCGAGCATTTGTTTTGTAAAAACTAATTCCAAAGTAATAACAAATGAACTCTACGTGGCTATGCCCTGTTTATGTCACGATAAATATCGGCATAGCAACGGCCACCGATGCAATTTCGACGCAGCTTGTTTATACGAGAATATTGTAAGGAGCTGCACATGACGCTCTCGTCCTCTTACTAGTTCAATCAAGCAATCATCAAGATCAAATTATTGTCCTACAAGTCAACGCCATTTACACAGAGATCGCCTTCAATTCACACAAATCGCCGTCTTATAAGTCAAACAGCACTTACATAGAGGTTACATTCAATACACAACGATCTATCTCCACACACGTAAGCTACGCTATTACAGATGTTCTTACGAATCACTAACACACGGCTCCGTGAACTAAGTAAGCAGCAATACCCAAACCACGGCATCATTGCCATTCATCAGTGACGTCATATACCAGCGCCCCACTCAAGCCTCTCCAGCTCATCGGTAGCGGCAACGGCGGCATCAATTCTCCTCAACAGTGACGTCACACACCAACGCCACCACCAGGCCTCTCCAGCGTATCGGTAGCGGCAATCGGGGCGTCAACACTCACCTATCACACCCTGACACTCTTCACGGCATCATCATCCTTTATCAGTACATCTCCCACTACCACTACGAGTTCTAATTACAAGTAGGAGAGTCACGCACCACACTCAAGAATACACTTATAAGATTATCATCACTCATATCACCTGAAGAAACTCTCACGTATTCATTGTATCATTCATTCAATCTTACCTCAATAGACCACTTATTATTTATTATATCATTATTATTCAATAAGGGAAAAACCAAGTCATATAAAGGCAGTATTGAATTATTGCATTGTCCATTCCTCTTGCCAGCAAGCCTCCCTTCACCATCTCAAGAAAGCGTTATTTAGTCTGATCTCAGACAATAAACAAATTTAACATCTATTCTTTTTTTTAATCAATTGTACTTAAAATATAAAATTTAATAGTAATTATTGTAAAATATAATGTAATATACTGAAAATATAAATATTGTTCTCATAGTTTTTGTAATAACATTCGTATTATTTACGATTAACAAATATATTTTAATGTTTAATTACTAGAAAATCATGAAGATGTATTATGGATAGTACGAGTGTGCATTGAATTTGGGGTTGTTTGTATACCTTTTGGAGGCGGTACATCAGTGAGTGGCGCAGCTAACTGTCCTGAACATGAAAAACGTACAATTCTCAGTCTTGATACATCACAAATGAACCGAATACTTTGGATTGATTCTGAGAATCTGCTTGCTTATTGTGAGGCTGGTATTCTTGGCCAAGATTTAGAACGTGAACTTAGACTAAGAGGGTTGACTTCTGGACACGAGCCAGATTCTTATGAATTTTCTAGGTATGTGTAATTGCAGATGTAAGTGACATGCTTGCAAATTCATGAGCAATTTTTTATTCGATAGCTATGTACATAATATATTTAATAAATCTATATATTAAAGTATTGCTTTATTTTCCTTTGTTGGTCACAACAAAAGTTATCTAATTGGCAGTATCATACGAGAATTATGTTATTTGGATTTTAAAAACCCAATTAAAAAAAAATTGGTTTTGTATAAAAATTATTATTGAATTAATAATAAAAAAATGGTATAGATGACGTAATAAATATATTATAAATATATGTCTGTTCAGGATTGAACTACCTAACAAAAAAAATAATTTATTGTCTGTTATAATACGATTCCGATACATTATATTTAGCTTAAGGCGTAATATTTGAATTACACGTTACAAAAATTGCACTGGAAATTTAGCCGCGTACTTTGTCCGCATAGCAACAGAAGAAGCTTCTCGAACGTACTAAAGCTTATTTCCAGAGAATTTACTAGAACCTCCAAGAATTTACAACGCTAAATGTACGCAATCGTATTTAAGAAGCAACGAATGGAGAAGGAAATCAGTCTTGTTGAATAATTCAAGTGAAATTAGTGCCAGTCATACCAGTAAAAGTTGAACTCGTCTAAGGGAATCCTGCAAGGTATATTCATTTGTTTATATTGATTATTCCATTATTGCTGACCAGCTATCAGTTCGTCCTCCGCAACGTGACGATAGTCGGACTGCATTGGGGACGACGACATAGACTGGTATCTCTAGGACCTTATTAATATACACGTAATTTTCGTTAATTAATTAATTAATTAATTAATTGATTCACCCTACACGTAGTTTTCGCGGCCCACGTCTACACTATCGGCTAGACCCTTGCAACTTGATTCTTATCAGACCGCTAAAGAGGACGCCGATACTGACTGGTGGTCCCCGCGAAATTATTACTGTGGCATAGCGATAATATTATCGGTCACGCCGCAACGAGTTGGTTCTGATCAAACCAACAAAAGAGGGCGTCGACAATCCGTAATAGTCCCCACTACCTTCACGAGCCGAATAACGCTCAGTACAATTCTAGCGTCGACTCAAATGACTAGCCATTCACGAGCTGAACAACTAGCCACCAATTTGATCGCCGATTCAATCAACTAGGCAGTCGCGAGCCGAACAACGAGCCGCTAATTTTATCACCGAATCAAACGTCAAGTATTCGTGAGCCGAACATGCGCCGTTAATTTCTCACCGAACGTTAAGTATTCGCGGACCGAACAACGTGCCGTCAAATTGATTGCCATCAAGAAAGTCGCCAGTCAAACGGGGCTTTCTTGAAAACCATGGTCGAATCAATGGTCTAATGATTCTCGAACCGGAGAGACTCCTTTAATTTAGGGACTAAAGCATGTGCCCAGTATTCACAATTCACCTTTTAGACTTGCACTCTCAGACGACGTTCCAACGTAATGGTCAAATGCCTAATTACTACAAACTCAACAATTCTCACTGCAATCAGTAACACCAACATCACTGTAACCACTGCTTAAATAAAGGTCACTAAAGCCAATTGTGTTTACTCTGAATTAATGCGTTAACCTCTCACTCATCCCCCCCCCCCCCATTACCATTAAACCGGTAGTACAGTCTAATCTACCCAGCGTGATCTGTGATCGTACTGGTACTTGGAATTCCAAACAATATCTTTAAAGTAAAAAGTAATAATAAATTTGTTTAGGATTCCAGTGTCGAAGTCATCCAGTGGTCGAAGGACCAAGATGTTTGGATTAGGCTATGGCCACCAGTTTACTGGTGAGAGAAAAGTGAGGATAAGTGGAAGGGATAGCACTTCTATTCAGTAATTAATAGGTCTGTTTATTGTGCAGTTGTTGCGTTTATTTTGCTGTTACACTATAATGATTCTATGTTAATGATGAGAGTCGTTACAATTTTGCAGTTCCATGGTGGTTGCACGTGTGATAGCATGCATTACATGTACATGTGGTGGGTCGTAAATCTCCGGATACTCTTGACGTAGTGCGATTGATAGTGAGTAAATACACTGAGAAATGAGAGGTCGTAAATCTATTTACCTATTGGTGTAGTGCTACTTAGTAATGTGTAATGGTGCTGCAATAGCGTGTAGTTGCACTGCAAGACGGATTTGCGTGATGGTACTGAATGTGTGTGTGTGGTAATCGTGGAAGTGATTACCTGCGAATGCCTTGTGTGCTTGGGCTTACTTAGGTTGGAGACAGATAGAATGCTCTCTCAAGATGCGTGAGATTCCCTTAATCGGTAGGAGTGAAGGTTGCAGCAATGTTCCTTCAGCATTTTTTCCTTGCAGGTGTGGTTATTGAATACTTGCGTAATCGATAGCGTGCTCTCTTTTCTACGGTTCAGATAACAGTAGCCCATTGAATACGCACACGAAGCCGAAGGCCTGTTCACTCCGTGACGGCTTTGCTGATAGAGAGCGACTATTCCATTATGATCCTGCTAAGACCGACCTTCTTTCGTGTCATGGCGTCTTCACTAAGAGAGAGCGAGGCTCATTGCGTACTTGCTTTATATATTCACACGACACTTTAGGTAGTTGGCAACAATGGATAGACGTTGCTATGCAGAGACTAGCGGGGCTATGCGGGGACCAAATAAAGATTGTAGGAGTTTCGAAACTATTCTAACGATCGAAATATTCGAAAATTCTTGGAATCAAATGTTTAAAAAAATTCGAGAGCTAGAAGGATTATAAAATTCCGAGAGCCAAAGGTCTTGGAAAGTGTTCCAATTCTGAAAAAAATTCAATATTTAAATTAAACGTAAACCATATACAGTATTTACTCATTATAATTTGTCATTTTTAAGTACAAGTTGTATATATTTAATCGACTTTTTGAAAAAATCCTTTAACTTCCTACGTAGTTGAAAAGTATCGTTAGTACATATTCTGTAAATAAATATAATGTATTATTAGTGTATTGTTGAATTTTATATTTTATCAAATACAATGGATATATTTTTAAGTAATCTCAAATATTGTAAAATTATTAATTCGTTAGTAAATTAGTATTTTTCGTTACAGCTTTGGTGGTTGGGTAGCAACACGGGCAAGTGGTATGAAGAAAAATGTTTATGGAAATATAGAAGATTTAGTCCTACGTATACGTATGGTTACAGGACGTATTGACGAACCAGAAATTACTCTAGAACATAAGGTTCAAGTTCCCCGTACTTCTTGTGGTCCAAATTTTGATCATGTAATATTAGGCAGCGAGGGTACACTGGGTGTTATTACTGAAATTGTCTTCAAAATCAGACCACTTCCAAGTATTGTAAAGTATGGCAGTATTGTATTTCCTGATTTCGAAAGCGGTGTCCGTGCACTTAGAGAAGTATTACAATATTCTCATTTATTTTTTTGTTTCACAATGAAAAATATTTGTATAAATATTTTGCTCATAAAAATAGTAGAATTTAACCAATATTAACTCAAATGATGTTAAATTATGATTTAATATTTTAATAGGTGATATTTAAAAAAAAAAAAAAGAACAATTTAATTATTGTTTTTAAATAAATATTAAAAGTTTGGATTATAATCTTTTAAAAATAGAACGTAAAAATATAAAAACAATTAAATCATATTTTTCTAACTTTTATTTTAAAATCCATCGATTTCTTATAAAATGGCATATATTATTAAATGAGGTAATAATCAACTTTAAAATTTGCAAAAAGTAGTTGGAAAAATGCCATTTATAGAATAGCCGTATTCAACAAATTGAAATTTTGATATGTGCATCCGTACTCTTCTATTAAACAGTTGAATTTTTTTTTATTTTATGAGATATTTAATATAAAGTTCATAATTTGTTTTTATATAAAAATGATATAATAGAAGGAGAAATAATATATTACTCTACAATTATTGTTACAGGTCAGTAATTTATAGATAAAAAATATATAAAAATAATAAATATTGACATTTAACAATAATTAGGCACTATCGTATCATGTAATTCCTATTGTAATATCTTTTGTTTATTTTAATGCGTAAATTTATAAGCATTGATTCTCTTTCAGAAACGAAAAGGAATTGTAATAAATGATGAATCGTAAAAACCTTTACTTAAAAGAATTGAAATATTGGAATTTTTTATTAGTATTTTAAAAAATATATGAATTGCATTGGTAAAAATTATAACGGTGCTAATCTGAAAATGGCCAAAACTATAAGTAAAAAATTTCATAATTTTTTAAGTAATACCAAGATACATTTTAAGCAAAAATTTTTCCTTAGTATTATAATAATAGTGCCTGATATAGAAAATCCATTAAAAATTTTTAATTGTTCTTCCTGTACCTAGTGTTTTTGTTTGGGATCAGACTAAAAACCTCCTTAGATGTTGGGTGGAGGTGTTGCTGGTAAATGGAAGGGGCAATGCAATTATTCAATACTACATGCAGTATTTCCTTTTTTTCCTTTATTAAATATAATGTAATTGTTACGGACCAAAAAAATTGAAAGTCAAAAGTGGGAGAGGTATGAAAGCGCAATTCAGCTGGTAAACAAAATACTAGCAATGATCGTTCCAGGCTATGCCATGATGATGTCACAACCAATATCGTCATGGTAACAAACATCAGCATTTGAGAAATAATGAGATAATATATAAGAGCTGCACTTCACGCGCAGTTCAGTTTGCCTCAGTCTATTAACCATTACACAATCATTATAAAACGCACTATATATTTTCGACTACATCTACAGAAACTACAGTTAAAATAACAATATATATAATTAATAATCAATTAAGTAATAATCTACGAAAGAAATAGTGACATTTATTTAAATTATTGATAACATATTAGTGACCATAAAACAATAGTGAAAACATAAAATAAATCGAAGCAACTCATATATAAGATAAGACCGACGTAATAAAGGCGCGACATCAAGCATAATAATATTAAAACATATTACAGGCAAGACCGATATAATAAAGGCTCGACATCAACCATATCACTATTGAAAGATATCACAGATTAGACTGACGTAATAAAGGCTTGGCATCAAACATGCCTCATAGATAAGACCGATGTAATAAAGGCGCGACATCAAGCATAATAATAGTGAAACATATTATAGATAAGACCGACATAATAAAGGCTCGGCATCAACCATACCTCATAGATATGACCGACGTAATAAAGGCGCGACATCAAGCATAATAATAGTGAAACATATTATAGATAAGACCGACATAATAAAGGCTCGGCATCAACCATACCATTCATAGATAAGATCGATATAAAGGCTTGGCATCAACCATACCTCATAGATATGACCGACGTAATAAAGGCGCGGCATCAACCATACCACTATTATCAACAATTTAATGTATGTTAAGATAGCATTTATTAATTATACAATAAAGGAAGAAATACATTCATAATACATTACAATAAAGGAAACTTTATATTTAATCTATTATATAATTTCTATACTTCATATATTATATTTAAAGAATAAAAAATGTTCCGACGTTATTAGATAATTTTGAAAGCCTAAAACCAGCTTATAAGTAAATAAAGGTTGTAGTAAAGCACTATGATTACATACTGTACTCTATGAACTTCATTTTTATAAAAAGTTATTAATCATGCTACTCACAATAAAAAGTAAATAGTTTCATAGTAAATTGACTAGAAATATTAAACATTTTATTAACACATAGCAAGTAATTGATTTTTAAAACGAAATTTAATTGTTAAATAAAGTACACAATTAGAACTACTGTTGAATCATTTATTAAAATTATGTATAGCGTTCATTATTGAACTACCCAGCAATGAAAATTTATTGCTTTATTTAATATGATTCAATTACATTTATATTTATTATTAATGCGTGATATTTGAAGTATTCGCTACGAAAATTCTCGATGAAATTGAAGCCTTATGCTGTATCTGCATAGCAATAAAGGAAGATTCTCGAATCTTATAAAGCTTGCTTTCCGAGAATTCACCAGAGTTTCCAAGAATAAAAAGTCTAAATATACGCAATCATATATAAGGAGCAATAGATAACGAAGAAAGGCAGTCTTGTTGAGTAAGCCAAAGTGAAATTAGTGCAAGTCATAACAGTCAAAAGTTCTACACGACTGTCTACGGAAATCCGTGCAAGGTATACTTATTTGTTTACATTATTCATTCCATATTATTGGCCAGCTATCGGTGCGTCCTCTGCAACTTGACTATAGTCAGACCGCATTGAGGGGACGTAGACTGGCATCTCCAGTAATCTATTTGTATCATATATTATTATTATTGCGTCTCAGCGCCAATAATATTGGTCAGGCCTCTGCAACCTGATTCTTATCAGACTACGGAAGAGGGCGCCGATACTGGCTTATGGCTTCCGCTATACTCTCATTACCACGGCATAGCATCGGCACTACTGGAAGAAGTGGCGAGAGCTTTAAAACCTCCCCGCTCTCCCGTTTCTCAGGGTAACCTAACATCAAGGACACCACGTCACGAGGATCAGGAAGTTTACAATCTTTCATCTAAGTGCCCACTAACACCACGTTCCAATCACCAAAGAGCTACAAGGGTTCCTCTATAACTTCATCAACAATAATCATCCCTGTAATTGGAAAATAGAAGAACTAGGAAGCTAAAACTGCGTACAACACAGGATAAGCTGCATTGGGAGGTAAGTAAGTCAGTTCAAAACAAGCCAAGAGCCGTGAGCCGAGAGCCAAAAGCTGAGATCTAAGAGGTATGAAAATTTGCGATTATACGGCCAATCCCACTTAGATCAACTTTGTGCCAACACATCATGAGTAGAAGATGAGGCTGAATCACTAGAAGACCTCATTTGTGACGTAAAAGACTACTAAAGGGTCTGCAGCAACTAGAACGGGAAAGCAATTCGTGGGACTGCATAACTGTCCATCAACTAACGCAAACTCACGGGAAGAATGATTAGGCGAATCCAACACCTAATCCAAGTTCGAGCAATTAAAGAACATTTATAATGACAAAAGTGAGAGCGTTACAAAAAATAAAAACGAGTTTCTACAACAGGAAGCCGTACGCAGACCAAACCACCCACAAAACGATCAGTGAGAGCATGCCAATCACCTGTTGCAGCCACTTTCCAAGGCCAACGAGGACGGCAAGGCACTACCTTATACACGTATTGCTAACAACAGTATCCTGTGACTAGATGCCCCAAATTTAAGCAATTGTCAGTCACAGAGAGAAACCTTTCAAGGAAGAGCAACGACTATGGTCTAACTAGCTTAGCGCCCCACTCCACTTATGAGTGCACCACATCAAAAATTGCAACAGGTGTTCTGGGCGGCATCAGACGATATACGATCATACCACATGACGATCAGTACTTGAGTCCAACCTAAACAATTGTAGGTCATCTCAACCCTCAAACTGAAGAGATAATAGAATCGTCTTAATGACATCAAGCACGCAGGTGCCAATCTCAAATAGAAGAAAGAAATATCAGACGTGGTAATCGGGATCGACCGACATCGCCAGTTGCAGATACAAGATCACGAGGACAACTAGGAGCTACAAGGAATCCATTGGATCGACAACCACAAGGAAGTGTCAATCATTTGACTACTGTAGCCAAGGCACAAGATTTGTTCCATTAATAGCAATCAGGACACTAAAGTAATTGGCGGAAGACTAGGGTGAAAGGTTTCCCCTGGCTGTGGCTTTCATCACGCATGGCAGACACATCATGATTCTTGGAGGTGAGAACACACTGCACTACAACCGGAAACCCAATTCATCGCGCTGTCCTCACCACCATCAAGCAGTCAGAAAACAATAAGTATAAATTGTATTGCTAATTGTACAATATAAAATTTTTTACAATGGAGTCCTCAAGATGATGCACTCACCCTTTCAACAACACCTTGAGTGAATTCTCGCCACATTACCAATGACTGAGATTCAGGCCCTCTAAGCAAATCTCCCATGGAAAAAACACGAATTCACCTCCAAGGACGTATTCAACAGCAGATTAAAGGTATTGAAAGAATAACTCAAAGGGACTACAAGGGACGAAAACAAAACATACAAGGCAAGGATAGCATGTTGTATTTATGAGCTTCAATATAAACTCACACTCTACGATGCATTACATATGCATGACAGAAAGGGAATCCATGCTCAACATTTAACGGGCAAATTACCACTGTTTCGAGTGAACCATCAAACCGTTATCAAACACAGGTGTTGGCTATGCCAGTCGCTTTAACCATAAAATTCTAGATAGAGAGAAGTAAAAATTCCGAGAGACGGATTTATTGCGGCATTCCGATATTTTTCAAAAGTATCCTACAAACTGTACACATCG